AGAAACTCCGTTTCGTTGACGATCAGCCATGCGTGAGTTATTTCGTCTTCTTTGTTGTTAGGGCATAGTATTAAGACTATTCCTTAATTTGCAAGATAATTTAGGCTATTCTTTAATTTGCAAGATATGCCGACTGCCAACAGTCGGCAAATAATTATGCTTTGAACAAAATAATATAACTAGATATTATAAATAATAGGCCTAGATATTATAAATAATAGGCCTGCCTATTATGTTGAATAAAACTTGATGTTATTGTGTATTTCAACTTGGGTGATGACCTCTTCAGCATGAATAACATTCTAGCTCAAGTCCGACCCAGGTATTCGAAAGAAAGACAGAATAGAAGAATAGACGGCGAGAAACTCAAGCAAATGCAGAGATTGACAAATTTTTACTGAATCGTTATTTTTTATTTACATTTGCCACACTCTACCAAGGTGAAGTAAATGGGTACCTGGTAGGAATTTATTCCTTGAAATGCTAGAGCGCCATATGGCAGCCGTGCTAAAGCCAGGGTAATAATCGGGAGCGCCAGGAGGGTCAAATCTGACTGACATGAGCGCTATACAAGAACCCACTATTAATAAGCTGGTGGACATGGAGCAGGAATTGAGAAGAGATAACATTATTATCAGGGGTGTTCCAGAAACACCAGAGGAATCCCCGTCGCAAATCCTGGTCGATGTTGCTGCCGAGGCGGGTGTTAAGATTGAGAAGGCCGATATCAGCACTAGCCATCGTGTAGGTCGGCCTCAGGCTGGGAAACCTCGTCCAATCTTGGCGCGGTTCGTTCGTCATGATGATCGAGTTCGCTTGCTTAAGAGTAAGAGGAAGCTGCAAGGATCAAAGTACGACAAGGTGATGGTCGGGGAGCACCTAGCTCCCGGGCGTGCAAAGCTTCTGAAAGCTGTAAAGGATGACCCAGGAGTGTTGAAGGCCTGGATCACTGACGGGAGGGTGATCTGCATTCTTAAACGGGATGGCCCTGATGGACGGAAGTATTCAATCAGTTCCCCAGATGACCTCTTTCGGTTGCTAGGCTGGAGCGAGGATCAACTGAAGAATTCTCGGCTGTTTTTGGACTTCTAGGACATTTCCGGCCCTCTTCTAGACAAGACCTTGACCATATGCAGCATTAATGTCAATGGGATTCACAGCAAATTAGAAGCAGGAGTCATTGATTTAATGTTGAGAGACTATTCAGTAATTTGTCTTCTTGAAACTAAAACTGAAAGGCCTGATTTTTCTCATTCTTACTTCAACAATTATCAAAGTTATATTTTGGAAAAGAATGGCGTGGGTAGACATGGTGGTATTCATGGCATTTGTATTCTCATTCAAAAAAATATTTCATCTCATACCTCTAGAATATTGGGCACTACCTCAGAATCTATTATGTGGATTCATTTTAATTCATTTTGTTTAGGCTTTGAGTTTATATTAGGAGCAGTTTATTTGCCTTGTGAAGGGTCAGTTTATCATAGTAATGATGTTTTTGATCACCTTTATCAGGACCTATTATATTTGAAAAGCACATATAATGTGCCCTTCAGCCTAGTAGGGGACTTTAATTCAAGGACTGGGTTACTTGACGACTTTATGGTAATTGATAATGTTATTTCTGAATTTTCAGGTTATTGTTCTTCAAATGATAATGTTGATTTAAGAGCTCGCTTACTGATGATGGATATGATACTAGGAGGCATAATATGGATTCTTCTATTAATAATAATGGTAGACAGCTTATTGGCATTTGTCAGAGTTTTGACTTGAAGATAGTGAATGGGAGATTTGGTAGTGATAAGGGTGTTGGTAGCTTTACATGTTACAATAAAAATGGAGGGAAAAGTGTGGTTGATTATGTCATTGCATCTGTTAGTTTATTTCAATATATTACTCATTTTGAGGTTGACATTTTTGATAAGTGTGTTTCAGATGTACATTGTCCATTGAATCTGATGTTTTCAAATAAACTGATTCCTATAAATGAAGATGTTGAATTGAGAAAAATTGAAAATAGGGTTGATGCTCCCGAAAAAGTGAAATACACTTCATTTAAGTGTTCTAAACAGAAGGCATCTGAATTTAAGTTGAAACTTGATCAAAGTATTCCAGTACTGATGAATGCATTGGAAATGGTTGAGAAGTCATCGACACAAGGTAATATGGATAATTTTAGTACTGTATTGGCAAATTCATTTTTGAAGACGGCAAAGGAAGTCGGTATATGTGAGGATAAAGTCTGTAAGAAAATTCATTCTAGGAAACTTATCGTGGAGAAGAAACCATGGTTTGACACAGAGTGTCAGCATGCCAGATCAAGATATTTTAATCTAAAAAATAGAATTAAACGACAGTGCAAAGGTCTAACTTTGAGTGATAAAGAACAAAAAATGGCTGAAATTAATGCTGTTGCAAAAGATTATAGGAAATTGCTACGTAGAAAGGAAAAAGCGTACACTAGGCTCTTACACAACAATCTTCATATACTTAAGAAGGATAGTCCTCAAGAGTATTGGAAAATTTTGGATGGACCGAAGCGTAGCTCTTGTCCAGCCAAGGTCTCTTTAGATGATTTTGTGCATCATTTTAGTAGTTTGAATAATGTGCAATGTGCAGCATCTGAAACACATTATGTGGATTTTGACCAGTCAATGGGCAATGATGAGCTGAATGCCCCTATCTCGGTTGATGAAGTTATAAAGATTATCCAGAAACTAAAGAATAATAAGGCATGTGGTGTAGATTTGGTTAGAAATGAGTTTTTGAAAAATTGTTCAGCAGCTGTAATTGGTTGTATTACTGCTTTTTTTAATGTAATACTGGAGAGTGGTCTAGTACCAAAAGACTGGTGTCTAGGTAGTATAGTCCCTATTTTCAAAAATAGAGGAAAGGATACAGATCCAGATAACTATCGTGGGATAACACTTTTAAGCTGTTTGGGAAAATTGTTTACTTCCATCTTGAATTATAGGATAACAATTTATTTCGAAAATGAATGCAAGCTTGGAGAAGAACAGGCTGGCTTTCGTGCTGGCTATTCTACAACAGACCATATTTTTGTTTTGAAATCCCTGCTTGACATTTACTTGTCTAAACGGAAGAGAATTTACTGCGCTTTTATAGACTATAGAAAAGCTTTTGATATGGTTGATAGGGTTTCACTTTGGCACAAATTATTGAGGTCAGGGGTGGATGGTAAGGTGTTCACAGTTATTAAGAATATGTATTCTCAAGCAAAATCGTGCGTGATAGTAGATGGTCAAATGTCTGAGGCTTTTCAATGCGATGTTGGTGTTAGGCAGGGTGAAAACTTATCACCACTGCTCTTTGCAATATATCTTAATGATTTCGAGGATTTTCTCAGTAAACACTTTAAAGGTCTCAAATTTTTAGTTGAAAATGTATGTGCTGACATTTTAGATAAAGAAGTAAACAAAGATCTTTTCTTACAATTATACACATTGTTGTACGCAGATGACACCCTAATATTGGCTGACACAGCAGAGGAATTGCAAGTGCCTTTGAATGCCTTGTCTCAATATTGTAATGAAAACTAAAGTACTTATATTTTCAAGAGGCAAAGTACGTAAATTTCCAGTTTTCAGATTTGGAGAAGATGAAATTGATGTTGTGGATGATTTTGTATATCTTGGGGTTCAGGTTAATTATAATGGAAGTTTTAAGAAGGCTATACAGGTATCACAGGCCAGGAAAGCCCTCTTCTCTATGTCATTAAAGGTTCAAAGACTCAAACTGCCACTGGATATTCAATGTGAATTGTTTGACCAACTTGTATTCCCAATACTCATTTATGGATGCGAAGTGTGGGGATATGAAGATAATATATCTAGGTTATATTTAGGTCGCAAAGTAATAGTTAAACGCCCTTGCACATCACACATGTTGAATTTATTTTCATGTTCCGGTATAGGACAGCTGAAGAAATTAGTACTCTTCTTAAGGATAATAATGTCATATTTTGCTCGTCTATATACATGTAAATCTGAACAATCCAATCATATGTCGCCCATAAAAAGAAATGTTACAACCCGAAGTGGTAGGTTAATTAAGCAACCAACAATTCTTGATCTGTAGTACAGTCTTTCTTTAGGTCAAGTATAGTTTTGATGGTTTGTTTGTTCTTTTGTTCATTTTTTTTTGTTTTTTTGTTAGTATACTTTTTGTTTTGTTTGTCTTATTACATTATATTCCATTATGTTTTTGTTTGTCCAATGGACGATTATGGCGTATTTTGTTAGTCTGCATATATCTTAACAATCCAATCACAACTCACTTACATGTACAAAAATGAAACTTATAATTTCTTTTTTTTAGTTAAGACAATAATGTATTTAAACAAAAAAAAAATTTGTAAAATTATTTTTTGTTTTTATCTTTCTTTTTCTTTGTGTTTGTATTTGGATTGTTCATGTGGTATTTTCCACTTTTCATGTATGCTTGCCATATTGTATAATATTGTATTTATGTTTAGCATAGGCTAGGTTTAGATCATTCCTATTTATCGTTATACTTTTATATTGTTGTTTTGTTGTATTCTGTATTCTTTGTATTATTAAGCTATGTTTGTATTCTTTATTATGTATCATTATCATGACATGTACATGTGTTGTACTCTCATACCCCAGAAGGGGGTCGAATGAGTCAATAAATTCTATTCTATTCTATTCTATTCTATTCTATTCTATTCTATTATTATTATTATTTTTACTCATTTCTTTCTTTTTCTTTTCCCTTCGGAACTTCCCCCTTTTTCTATTCGCAGGCATGTCTTATATAGAATTTGATAAAGAAAATAATAGAATAGTTACGTTCACTGTCATGTTTGCTAAATAATTACATTATGCATAGAAACCCATATAAGCAAGAACCAATGATAAAGGGGTTGTAATGCAAGCTGACTCTATTCGAATTCATGATGTCGCCATCTTGCGCTTTGTAGATACAGAAGGAAAAAAAGGCAGCTTCAGCTTAATGCGCATGACAGGAAGTGCATCCAGCAATCTACTGAAGTCAGTCGGCAGAAATTGTCGGCCTGTCATCAGAAAAAACTGGATCATATCGTGGATTTTCTATGCTTTTTCTTTCTATGTGTAGTATTTCATAAGAGAGGGACATCATGTCGCAAACGCCAAGTGCAGAGATTTCGAGGAAAAATCCTCTGGAGGATTTTGAGCTGCTGCAAAGAATAGGTAGCGGAACGTACGGTGATGTTTACAAGGTTAGTTTAGAAACCGTATTCAGCTCAGTGATATCTGTGAGTGTGAGTGTGAGTGACTGAGAGTGAGACATTGGTTTGGGTTAATTCAAGTTCGGTGTCGAAAGCTGGTGTTGGTGTTGTGAAAACACCAACTTCAGCCACAACACCAAACTTGAGGTCATGCTGTGGTGTCGAGGTTGATCTCGTAAAATAAGACGCATTTCTGGTAGTCTGTGACTGTGTTGAGGGATGGTGGTGTAATATCGTCTGCTGAACAGTTAGACCGAATTTTCCGTCTCTTTCGTTCGTTAGCCTCTTATTGGGGTAGGGTCGGCCGGCTCTCTCTTTAGAGACGGAAACCGTCTATACACATTCACAAAATCGAAATCCATTTTGAAAATCTTTTTCAACATGGATTTCGATTTTGACCCATAAATTCCTAAAAAGGGACTATTAATAGGGTGTCTGAACGATTTTTCAATTTTCAATTTGGGATCGTTTTTCACCATTTTTGTTTGATATTGGAATAAAAAATGTAATCAGAATAATACCTTTCAAATTTCAAGACTCACCGATGTTTCTATCAAAAGATACAGCCCCTCAAAAATTGTGCAATATTCATAGCATTTTGGTCAGAATGGACAGAAAAGTGGTTCACGCAGAGTTATAATTTCTGCTCAAAAGCTGCACAGCTAATGCACAGCACGATATGCAAAGTGTAGAGCAAGGGTATTTTCAAACTGTTGTAACAAATGATCCCTTGGGACTAGAGAAAAAATAAGTGCATGGATATATTCTTTACAGCTGGCCCAACTTATCCCTCGGGGGAGCAGTTCGTGAAATTGGTAAATCTCCGAGTTACCATGGAAACGATGTTTAAATCGCTGTTTTGAGCAAGATATTTTTAGAATTCCGGGGGTGGCCCCCTATGGGGAATATGGAGAAAAACCTGCTCTTTCATATGACACCACATTTATTGAGTTTCACCTTCAGGATCATTTGTTATAAAGGTTTGAATTTCTAATTTTTTCATAAAACCATTGACCAATTTTGCTTGGTCGCGCAATGCATGTAGACCACATAGGGATGTGTGCAATCTCTATGGGAAAGATTTTAGCACACAACATCGGGTGCGCGATCAGACACCCTACTATTAAACTGATTATTTCAGTCAAGTTGGTAAGTGGAACTGATTTATTATAGCCTAGGCCTAATTTACAATATAACATGCACGAGGTAAAATGACATTTTGGGGGATTTTGGGGGCAAAACGCTACGACCTGAAATGGCCGTGGCGTTATCAAGGGAATGTGTATAGACGGTTTCCGTCTCTAAAGAGAGAGCCGACCCTACCCCAATAAGAGGCTAACGAACGAAAGAGACGGAAAATTCGGTCTACTGAACAGTAGTCCGGGAGTAAGGATCGTCCGCACAAATACAAATAGCCTAGTAGACTACTAGTAGATCTAGATCTAGAGTAAAGGAGCCGGTAATCGGCCAGCTCCAGTTTTCGGCCGATTGGTTGGATGCAAGGTAAAATCACTCTAAAATACATCGCATATAGCATAACACATATCCCACACATACCATACCATGCCAGTGTCACTGAAGAACCACATTTGCAATGGAAAATATATCCTAAAATATCACATTTTAGCGATGTAATCGCCGGTCCCGCTACCCAAATCTGAAAAATCGAGTATCTTACGCGTGTCTGTAAGAAATATGGGTACCATAAAATGAGCTTTATTTCCAGTATTTTTCAGATTTAGAGCCCAATTTTGTGCTAGTCGCAAGCTCAAAAGTATCTCATCGCATGTATTAAATCAATGCAGCCGCACACCGCGACGCACACACGTTATCTCTGTCTAATTCAGATTCCAACTTCCGATCACCGCTGTGCCTGTCTTCGGCCAGGCGAGCACCAGGGAGCTCCGGCGTGGGATACCTGCTTCGCCCGCTTGTGCTGTACATCAGCGCGGAAACGCACGGCGCGCGCGAGCGCTTCCTATTGACTTTGTACATGCGGCCGTAAACTGAAACGCTCGGCCGATAACTGGCTCCAAAACAGTGAAAATTGAAATGAATATTGTCATGGCAATTCGTGATTTTTTTCTGGGATTCTTTTTTTGTTTAAATAATAATAATATTTGCTTCATGATTTGAACAAGAAATGATAATAAATAGGAAGTAAAGAGTCCTAAAAATAGGATTTTGTCTTAAGTGGCCGAAAACGGGCTCCTTTACTCTAGACCTAGAACCTATACGAAGAACTTTGCGCATTGAACGCTGTACAGTGAGTTTACGCGCTCTCATTGGCTGATCCGCTCAAATGGCTTCAAATTTAAGTGAGAGCGGGCCTGCTTAACTTAAGTGCAACTTAACCGATGGCATGGCAAAGTCGATACGTAATTTTACGTCACACCACAGAGATTTTGAAACGTCCTGCTTTAAACAGGTGACGCATTTCACACATTAACTGATGCACACACGGCATTGCAAACACAAAGAAAAATCAATGAACATCTCAGAATATATTTCCAGTTTGTACCTTAAATATAACAAAAATGAGAATTGTTGGAACTTAAAAAATAGTTAGTAGAATAAAACTGAAACTTAGGTGAAATACTAAAGTGAAATACTTGAGTGAAAAAATCATAACAAATAGACCTGAGGGTTGACTGAAATCAGCTTGCTCCTCGCACAAATATCATTGAGTGAATGGAGAACAGCGATAGCCAATCTGAACGGCACATGTCAGCTAGGCTAGGCGCCAACTTATGAAAATGAGGCTGAGATCGGATGAACGATCCTTTCTGTGTAAAAAAATGACCCCAGTCTACCGTGTACTATTATGGGTTGTCCTTCTTTCTGAGGATTTAACGCTCATAATGTGAAAGTCTCTGTACAAATTCAGTGTAAAATGCTTCAAGAAAATCATTTTGGGATCCTTTTTTCGCATCGCCAACGCACGGATTGGAAATATGAAACGTCTGCAATAGTGATGTAGTCAAACGTTTAACCGTCCGGTATCCGACCGCCCATGGCGGATTCCGTTTTCAATTGGACGGTTTCGTTTTCCCGTTTAAAAAAAAAAAAAAAAAATTAATTTTTTTTATTATTTATTTATTTATTTTTTAATAATTTTTTTTAATTTTTTTTAAAGTTTCGATTTATATATGCCCCTCCACCTGGTACTATGCCTGGCAATGTCTACCAGCTCAGTAATCTGTGCATTGACTCACCACTCCGAAACTAGAACAACACTCCAATTTGTCTGTCATCTTTTAGTCTTCGGACTTGTTGACAAGTAATGAATAAAACCTTATTTGAATCTTGGTTTGAAAGTAATCTTTGTAATAGATCTCAATATGTAGTTTATAATAATAATTCATCCAACTTTTACACACGGTGTACCACAAGGTTCTATCTTAGGTCCTCTAATGTTTTTAATTTACATTAATGATCTTACACATTCTTCTAAATGTTCTTTTAAATGAATATCCTTCCCGCGTGGGTTTTTTTCAGTCGGTCAAAAAAACAACTAAAAAAAAACAATTTTTTTAAAAAAATTTTATAATTTTTTTTTAAAAAATCGTTTAACCGAAAACCGTCCAGTTTTGACTGGCGGTTAAACGGAATTGGAGATATCCGTGATGTTACAGCACTAGTCTGCAAAAATGCAGACAAACCTTGTTATCGGATCAACACCCCCTACTGAGGTTCGTCTTCATAAACGCGGAGAGACGCGTCCGCATTTTTGCAGACGTTTTCATATTTCCAAGCCGTGCGTTGGCGATGCGAAATCCATAATAGTAGACAGAGAACTGAGGTTATTTTCTTTTGCGGAATCCCGCAAGTTGTCTGCGTTTTCAAGGATATCTTTGTTTATTCGGACAATCCTCATTCTCGGAACTGAAGCCTATTAAACTGACGCTCGAAATCGGTGTTGAGACAATTTAAATGTAATTTTCACCAACACCACAACGGTTTGCTTCCCATTTAAAAATATTTCACAAATTATACAAAATCAGTCAAATTAACTGTTTTACAATTAATTTTTTTATAGCAATTTGCTTACCTTCCCCATGTTGCTGATGATTAAACACAGCCAACATATGATTTACACTAAAAAAACGCTGACCTCTTACTCTTATTCTTACAAGAATTCAAGATGTTTGTTCTGCCTGAAATGCAAATACACACGGTGTACACAGAAAAAGCTGTTCCTGTGTTGCAAAGTTGATACTTTTTTAACGATAATGACGATTAGTTTAATATATTGAGGCACACGTTCATGTATGGATTTTAATGAATAACAAATTTCAGCGTTTGTGATGTCATTCTTCCGTTTGAAATATAAGATCACTAATTCTATGCGAAATCTCAAATTGGTACCGGTAGTCTGGTTAATAAGTTGATTGTGACGTAGGACGTGGATAACTCTCCTACTGTACAAAATGCCGTGCACAAAAGTTTCACTAATTTTTGTTTTTCTTGTAACTTCCTTCTCCCTTGGGGCATTACTCAAAATACATTATAGATAATATTATTATAGGTCCTCTAAAAAGAATAGACCCTCAAGGCTAAAAATTTTGAAAAATTAAAAATTTAGTCATTTTATGATTTATATGTTGGAACAGACAGGAAAGTAGTCCGACATGGCATCACCGCTTCGGCCAATTTGAAGTACCCATACCTACATGTACATGTATACCAGTAGTGATTACAACTTTCTTAAATTTAGCCAGATTTAATAGAAACTTTGATCACATTGCTTCTCTGTTTTTTCTGCTTTTGTTTAGAGTAGTTGTCTACATGTATTTGGGTTGGTTAGACAGGTCTGTGTATGTTAGTGAATTACCCAATACTGATAGTTACATGTAGATACATTTAGGCTTGTTTTAATGAATAAGAATCCAAAAAACATGTACACCCTGTACATGTTATTTCTTTCTATTCTGTGCCCACTCTACATGTATATTTGTGTACTTGTAAGCTTAGCTGTAGCTGATTTGTTAAATAATACATGTACATGTATGTGATCTAGGGCTGCGATGAGTAATCAAATGCTCGAGTACCCGCACTGTTGACAACTGCTCGAGTACGATTTCTCGTACTCAAATATTCTGCCGCAAAAAAAACAAAAAAAAACGGTCAGCTGGCACTGTCCAGGCCGACGCTTACCCATGCCAGGGAGAGCGCCGACCGCTGGCATGGCACGTACCGTCGGTAAAAATGTTTCCAAGCTCAATTACAGTCAAACTCACTATTCAGAAACTGGGACCAAATGTCCTGATTTCTGTTTGGACTCGGAGGAAAATGGATTATTCTGCCACCTTTGGTTTTTAAAACAGCATTGTTTACTGTTATTATTATTATTAAATCGGCGCCTTCAACTGCAACTCGAAGTAAAATTGCATGAGCTTTCGGGGACTGACCTGGGAAACTGCTCCCGTGGTATGGTGGTGGCCCAAAAAAAAAAAAAAAAAAAATTATAAAAATTAATTTTTTTTTTTTTTTTTTTTTTTAAAACAAACATGGCGTCCGAATATTCGAGTATTCGCTTGTAAGCCTGGGAGTGTACTCTGTTGCACTAATGTGATCATTAAAAAGAATGTTTCAATGGATTTTAATAAAAATATAATATACTGTAGGCATTTCTATAGACGCCCAGCTTGCAGATCTATTTGAATCACTACGTGCATGCTGTAGTTTGTACATGATATACAGGCCTGATAAAAACCCGATTTAAATCGGTTTCCGATTTAAAAAAAAAATTTCCTGATTTTTTTCTTCTCCTGATTTAAAAAAAAAAAAAGTTATTAATTTTTTTTTTTTTTTTTACCAGATTTTTTTTCTTCTTCCCTCTTTTATCCTGATTTTACAGATTTCCCCGTTATTTTCTCTTTATTATCCTATTTTGCCCTATTTTTTCCCAAATTTTCTTACTCGAAAGGGGGGAATGTTGTTAGATGCCATTTTTTCCCCGCGAATCCTCATTTTTTTACTCAAGGGGGGCGTGGTTGAGGGGAAAACAAAAAACCTATTTTTTTTTTAGTGCTCACTATCACCCCTGGATATAAGACTACATCAGGACAGACAGACAGGAATATACTGGCACAAACCTTGGGAGGGAAAGCACATGGCCGGCCCTACATGGGAGTGGGAGATTATATAGAGAGAGAAAGAGGAAACTTTTGATTTCCCTCTTAGCTGGTTCAGCCCCATTCCGGATTCATAATCACCTGTCAAAAGAGGTCACTTTCTAATAGCAGGGCCTCCTACATTAAAGTTGCTTTCTGATTGAGGTTACATGTACATGCGCATGGTTATTAATTAACAGAATATGATCCAAGTCTTAAATTATGTTTACGGTATCAACTATGAAATGGTTAATTAATGAGACATTTTGCTCAATGATAGTTCTAAGCCACATACCGTCAGCTGATCGTCAATGAAACGGATTTAAGTCTTCGTCAACTCTGTCTGTTGCTACAGTAGGCAGCCAGCCAGTGAAAACGAATTTGTTTAATCAATTATGGAAATGTAAGCATTACTTTAAACAACAGAGCTTTGTTATTCCAGGATCATTTTTGCTGATTGAGTTGTCATATGAAAGGGCAGAAAATAAACTTTCTAGAAATGTAATTTTCTCTTTGAAATTCAGATACTGCCCGTACCCTCTCTTCAAATTGTTTTTAATCACTCATGCGTGAAATATGCATTGTACAAGTTACATCAAATGAAGGCGGAGGATCAAAGCTTGATAAATATGTGTCATTTATTTATTATACTGTAATTGTGATTAAGTTATGGTAAAACATTAAAAACATCATTAATTCTCGGTTTCCTTATTTCTGGGATGCACTGTATAATACACAGAGATAGAAGCCCAGGCTCATTTGATTACTGTTCTAAACTTCTAATAAATGTTTATTTTTAATAGGATTAATAAACAATTTCCTAATTTTCCACAATAAATAAATTAAAATACTATAATAAATATACATTTATTTCATTATTTAAATCGTAAAATTTGTCTGATATTGTTACAATTAATTTATTGAAATATATATATATACAGATTGGGTTTGTGCCAAATTTGTTTTGATCAGCGCCTAGTACGCATGTGTATTCGTGTTTATAGCTCGCATCCTTGCTATCGTGATATTGCACAGGTCAGGATTTGGGATTTAAATGGCGTTGGTTAAGTATTGTGCATGTATTTTGAGGCTGGTTTTACGCATCAACTTGTCAATCTGTAATCTTATGAATTTATGATGACTATAATGTTTGGCAAAACTTGATTTATTGGCTTCATAAACAAAGTGAAACCTAGTCATTGTTCCAATGCATGCCCGAGTCCTATGCCTGACAGTCTCCGTTTTTGTTTCTAATTATGTTAATTATTTGTAAATATTTCTAATTATGTTTTTTATTATGTAAATTATTTTGTAAATATTGTGATTTCTTTTGATTTTTCAATAAAGCACAAATTAAAAAAAAGAAATAAGAAAAAAAAGTCTGTTTTAACGAAACCATCAAATTAAAACAGATAGTGCCATGGATGGTCGAATACCAGACGGTTAAACATTTTACCAATTTTAAAAGTAATAGTTTCTTTAATTATATAATTTGTTGTTTAAATCAATACAATACAGCTTGGACCTACATGTATAATGTCAAATCTGTTTACATTTCAAAATGTATGTATTTTTTAATTTTTAGGCTCGGATGACCGCAGCTGGAACTCTCTCTGCCATCAAGGTTATAAAGATAGAGCCAGGTAAGAACACACATTCATAAGGCATATATTCACAAACTTTTGATACTAATACATCAAGTATATTATATTGTATACAGCTGCACATGTATGCTTTAAGTTTAACCATGTATCACTGTGTAATTTGGATTAATAGAATAATTTTTGTTGAGGCATCAGAAAGTTATTCGATTTAATGCATGTGATTTGATTTAGGATGGTCTAGTACTACAGCTTCATTGAGATTATAAATTAGATGATGAAATGCTAGATTCTAATAAATGTCTAAAATATTAGCCATTCTGTACTCTGTGGGTATACTGCCTTTAACAGCAAATCTGCAGGAATTGACGTTGGATTTGTATCGCTGCTATCAAATAAGGCTCTTATTCCAAATTTCCTGTTGTTAATTCAGACTGAACATTGGGACTTGGATACAAATTTAGAATTCCTTGAGGCATCCTTGTGAAAGCAATATTGCTAATTTCCAACAGGAACTACAATGAAATTATGATCCCTATGAAACTGCAGTTATTGACAGCCTCTTAGCCAATGCGAAGTGAAATTTCTGTCCTGTTTTAAACGTGTTTGCTCGTGTTTAGGTCGTGAGGTCTATTTTTGTAGGAGTCATTCCAGATATGAACAGGAAAAAACACTTCCATTAGGAAAATTGCATCCAGACAGTTGTTAAACTATGCTTGTCTCACTAGCAGAGTTGACCTTTCCCTTTTCATGTAGGTCATTGTCTCATTGCTGGATACAAATTTGTCTCTAATGTCCACTTGTAAAGTACATGTAGATCAAGATCAAAATTTATGAAATAGGTCAAATTCACAGGGCAAAAGTTTCATGTGCAAAAGGCAGTATAGTCTACAGTATGTCTCTTATATTTTGTATGAAGCGCTAACCACCAAAGTCTCTTTACCAATATGTTTAGTTATAAAAATTCCTATTTTCTGCCCCAATAATCTTTTTTCCCTGTTTGGATTACAATTCATTCTAAATTAATTTTGGATGTTTTTAGGGATATATATTGTAGGGATAAACTAAAGGGGATAGTGAATTTTTTGTACAGGTATAGTAATGGAATGTTACTGTATTAGTGCATCCTCAAACCGGGCATAATCAGATAAAGTGATTAGTTTTTCTCAACATCATACATTGCATACTGCATGGATAAGTTGATGGGGTCTAATTAATATTAGTTCTCTTTGTCCAGAACAGGACAATATGCCTTGTCCATTTATTCCTTTAGCTACACAATCTTCCATTATAGCCTGATCAAAGCAAAGGTAATGTGATGATCATGAGGCAGGCAGGCAGGCTGGCTAGTTTCTTCCTCCCTGCCTGCACGCATGAGCATTCCTTGGATGTTTGCAGAGATTTACAGCAATCAGCCATGGGAGTGAGGAGGTAGAGAGAGATGGAGGAAGAAGGAAATAAGTATGTCAGACCGGGTAGCTCGACTGTACTGGCTTAGCACTCTGCACAAGCTTGTCTGCTAGCTGCACCCAAATCCATTTCATTACATGTACATATTACATGGCCAATTCAATGTTACACCACCTATTTTTGTCTGTGTACAGTACAGTGACAGTCCCTTTATCACAGAGCATTATGGTCTGCCCCTAGACACAGCCTGGCTGTAAAGCCTGGATGCGTGCATGAGTGTATGCATTGAGGGATGGATACTGGGGTGAAAGTACACATGAAGATCATTTTGGCAAATTAGATTGTTCACGGGGAAGGACAGGGAGGTATTTGTGGAATGAAAACTGACGTAGTTATATTGGCAGAGATAATATTTTAAAATACAGAGAATGAGGTATGACACTGTTATCATGCAGACATTGTGTATACACCTACAAACATAACATTATTGTGTTTTGTTTAGTGAACAAAGAATCATGTTTATGGACATATCAGGTAGCTTACATAGTGTTAAATAATATTGATCAAATAGAGAATTCATTTAAAAGACTGTTCCAATGTAAACAATGGAAGATAATAAGAACTGTTGAAAATAAATCTGTTAAAGCAGTACAGCTGTAGTTATGATGTTAATGATTAAATATGATTTTTAGTTCTACATGTAAGTCAAAGAATGACCACTACAGGGCAAGTTTGAACCATTGATGACAAAAGTATTGACAAAAATCATTTATCTATCAATGGATGTTTAAAAAAAGAAGTCACTCTACAGTATGTACATGTACATTTATCAGATATCCACATGCTGGTATTTGTGAATAAAAATACTTTCTTACAAATCAATATAAAGTACTTGTTAAGGTTGTTGAAAATGTTTAATTGTTGTTTCTGTTTGGCATGTCTCTTATTTAAAGGCCCACTGCACTACTTGTAGCTACTTGCGCCCTCTATATAACAACCAATGCCTAATCAGTGACCATTGGTCCCCCATGATCCTCTTTTTCTTATGTTAACTGAGAGCTGAGTTGATGAGATAACCACCTTTCCAGTGACCTTGTAGAGCGCTCTAATCCCTCCTGTAAAGCTTAAACAACTCTTTCTATGCACACTCAAAGAATTCTTAGCAGCCTTCTTCCATGACTTATTTGATCTCCTTTATTTCAGGTGATGATTTTACTATCATCCAACAAGAGATCTTAATGATGAAGGACTGTCGCCATGCAAACATCGTAGGATACTTTGGGAGTTACCTTAGAAGAGAGAAACTATGGATTGCTATGGAATACTGTGGAGGTGGATCACTCCAGGACATCTATCACAGTAAGTACACTACAAAAATAATTGTTTTATGGAAAATGGAAATGCGGGCATGGTCACACTAGCAGAAATGCTTGTTAAATTGATTCTTGGCATTTTTATTCTCGAAATTTTGCTAGTGTCACCTCAAAAATTCCTAAAATCCTTCAAGTGAAATTTTCCTTAAATGTTCCCATAAAAAAACAAAGTTGAGCTAACAATTATTTGTAAACTGCCTCATATTCGTAATTACAGGAACATTCCAGGAATCAAATTGAATTTTGAATATTTGTCAGGGTATCCACTAACCCTGTAAGATAGGGCTTTGATCGGATAGGAAGATCGGAGCGATATCCTCGCACCTGTGATCGGTATCGGCAAAAATAATCGGCAAAAAAAATCATTAGATTTTTTTTTTTTTTTTTTTTTTTAGGCCAAAAACTAAGTTTTTTGGCTATCAAATGCTTCAAAAAAAATCATAGCTGGGATTATTTTGTCATTTGGAGTTGTTGTAGACCATGTTTGTTGATATTTAGCGCCTTTTCATGACTTTGAAATTAATAATATTGGTCTATGAGAAGATGCAAAACATGCGGGCCGCCATCTTGGTTTATAACGCATAATCCAAGATGGCGGCCCGCATGTTTTGCCTCTTCTCTTAGACCAATATTATTAATTTCAAAGTCATGAAAAGGCACTAAATATCAACAAACATGGTCTACAACAATTCCAAATCACAAAATAATCCCGGCTATGAATTTTTTTTAAAGCATTTGATAGCCAAAAACTTGAAAATTTTCGGTCTAAAAAAAAAAAAAAAATTCTGCCGATTTTTTTTCCCATCATTTTTATTGATCGGCGATCGGAAATTATTATCCGATCACACCTGATCGGCTCAAGATCGGCCCCTGATCCGATGATCGGTTACAGGCCTAGTCAAGGCCCTCGCGTACACATGTTCTAGAAATAAAAAAAACCCAGAATATTCTGAATTATTTGTAAGAGGTGGCAGATATGGTATTGTGTGCACATAGCTTAGCGCAGCGGCCTAGTCTGTGTGTGTGTTGACCTCAAATCAAACTTTCATTGACGGGTGTATAAATTTCATTTTGAGACAGGGAATTTATTTTACTCAAATATAAAGTAAAAGACTTGCAGAAATATGAGTACTGCAATTTTTGTGAAAATAAGAAAATGCAATATTGTTTTAATTTAAGGAAAATAATTACAGCTTTAAAAAATCCAAACACCTAGGATCATTCTCATTTTGTTTTCTTTGTAACATTGGATAACAAATTTCACAAATTCCAACATAGACAGATAGAATAACATTGATAATTTAGATTTTTTAGTGCAAGGGTAAATATGACAATGACCCGGAATATAATACCGTGATAAAAATTCATCAAATTACTTGAAATACTTGTGAACTTTAAAAAAAAAAATCCAAAAAAAAATCCAAAAAAAAAAAAATCAAATTTTTACTCTTTTTTTTTTTGGGGGGGTGGGGGGGGAGGGTTAAATTTTCCCTCGGGTCGCGCCACGCGTTGTTAATTTCTTGGCGAGAGGCCTGGGCTTAGTATCCACACCTTAATATGCAAATAAATTAACATAATTAATAAAACATAACATAACGTACAATAATATTTCTTTCATTGATTATACTATAGTTATTAGATTGAATAGTGCTGGGGCTTTCCCTTTTTGTATTCTACATGTATAAGTGAGAGTGCGTGCAAGAAGTTGGTGTAATTAAATATTGACAATAAGGAAGTTCAGTTATAAAATATATGCAAAGTGAAATGTAATCTTTGCTGATGTCCAAAGGGTAACTTTTTAAAACAAAACACATCCGAGGTTTATTTGCTGCAGATAATTTTTTGTTAGACAGAGAGTAAATAAAGAGTTCAAGGTATTGTAGCAGGTTGATAATAAACCTTTAATTTGATAAATGATAACATGATTATGGGTGGTGATGGAAATAAATGTACAATGTAGATAACCTATATATTCAATTAGTTTTGAGATGAAAAGGATTTAAAAAAAAATTATCTGCGGGTATTCATCCACACTAATTTGTTTAAAATAACTAACCTTTATACATTGTACATGTACTGTACAGTATGTATCTTCTGTACATGTACATGCATGTGGTTTACTGTATTGTAGAGGATGCTATTGTGCATTGAACTCCAGTCTGCTATTCCCAAACTTTCTTTGATATGAAACCCTAAGGGACATTAATGAAAGGATGGTTAGCTGGATGAAATCTGCCCAAGAGAGGAGATGAGGAAGACAGTTAGCAATAAACAGACGTGCCCTCAGGTCATAGGTCATATTACATTATGATGGAGAGAGAGAGAGGGAGAGAAAGAGCCAGTTCTGAAATATTTCCATTCATTTTGGAACCCTCTTGTATATTGGTGGGCATGTACTGTACATTGTACAAGTATGTGATACCTGTATGGTTGATCATCAAATTAAATTTATGCTAGCATAATCTAAAGGAAAATATTCAGGAACTTTTAATCTGTTCATTGTTTTGTTAGACAGTTCATATGACAGGATAAACAAAGTGGAAATATCTAGGTTTTAACTTTTAATTTGTATAAGAAGCATATGAATCCAAGTTTGAGGAAAAAGAAATAGAAGAAGAGGAGAGGCAAATAGAGCTGAGAGGACCATGGCATTTTCGGTCTATTCTAATCTGCATTTGCAGGGGACACTCATTTTCCCATGGACACCATTTCAACTGAGTTTGAACTTGGCAAATTGGCTTAGATCATAGCACAGTAGAATCATATTTGGCATACAACAACATCCACAGTGAACAGTGTACTATCTGTTAGAGAGCCAGAAAGACATTTGATTTTTTGATACATACATTGTATACATATAGCTCTCAGCAGGTAAAGATGTCAGTCAATGTGGTCCACAATGTGATCCTTTTCTTCTACCCTGCTGAGGTGTATTATGGTTGTATATTGTTCCACAATCAACCGTGTCATGAGACTATAGATGAATCTACGTGTACATACTTCCTGTTCCTACACATATTTATTACCACCACAGTCACTATATGCTGTTGGGACAATGCGGACAGTGCAGTGCAAACAATTGTACCATTATTTTTCAATTCAAAGTTGGGTGTATGGTAGTGTGCTACTAAGCACAAATATTTGACTAATTTTGTATTTCCATCATAGTTTAAAAACACAAGTTGCATTAGAAGGGCTGACCCCATGTCACAACAGAGGTTCACTACAGAGAGTGACATACCATAATACAGACAAGTATACCTAAAGAAGAAAATATTATAGTCTCAAAACTCTGAGAGTAGGCAAAACATTATGATAAAGGATTTCTATAACTCGTACTAAAACATATTTGTGTGCTCTACAGACATGTCTTTACAAGTTGACTAATGAAACAATCATGTATGGTAGATAACTTAATAACATGTACATACACAGACAACAGATGCAAGTATGCATGTATAGTACTAACTATGCCTTCCATCGAGACAAACAGACAGACAGACAAACAAGATGCTTTGCATCATGCGTTAAGTCCATCAAGGCTAATAGAAGGCGGCTACAACAGCTGAATCCAAACTGGAAATGTCATTTAATGTCTGCTGCTCTGCGCTGAACCAGGACAATTCTAATTAATTTATATGAACAAGTGACAATTGTATACAAGGGTGGGTGAAGCCATTTTGAGTCTTGGCTTTAAAAAAAAAAGATTCAAACTTTTGTTTGCACAAAACGATTTTTTAAAAACTTCTTATTCATTCATAAGATCTGAAAAGAAAAGTGGGCAGACTTTGCATGGGGAAATTAAATTACAAGTGAATACATAGTGTTTGCCAATAGCATGAGCCACATCGCTTCAAGTTTATCTCTAGATTCTCACCAAACGTGTTGACTATTACAGAATTTATTATGAGCTTCGTAGCTCTTTTCATCACATGAACAATGTTATAGGTAGCAGAGATGACTCATAGACAAGGAACGCATCCGAACCTCTGGCTGTCATATCTTCTGGAGACTGCCACCTAGAGCTACTGAGCACTGCAAACTAGACTTTTAATTCAGACTTCAAGCTATCATGTCTACTTCTACTAGTGCTAGTATTCTCTTCCTTTAGGAAGCTAGTCTTATAGTTCAAACTCTCAACTATCATGTCTGCTGTAGCAGCAGGAATTCTCCATCTTAGCAAGCTAGTCCTCTCATTTAGACCTCAATTTATCATGTTCCCTCCCTTTTCACTTTTTTAGAGGTATATTTTGTGGCCAGTTATTTGTAAACATTCAATGATACAGGCAGTGACGCAGTAAAAAAATATCACAATATCCAGTTGCATTCCAATTCTCATACGTAGGCCCATATGTTCAATTTGCATGCCGTCTCACTTTTGATTGATTGATTACAAATTATACAAACTTCAGATGCATTTCAATTTACTTTGAAATATGTTAATTAACTTAATTCATGTTCACATATGCACTACATGTACATGTACATGTATGTATGCATTTTGAAGGGAAAAAATTAGAAAATACATACATGTATTACAAAAATGTACATGTACTGTACATGTACTGACATCCACTGTACTGTGTGTACATCCTCTCGTAACCATACATGTAAATGTTTTTCTGTTCAAAGTCCATTATTTGTTATGCGAATTGCATGCACTCTTGATATATGTACAGTTAACTACATAAATATATCATGGCTCAAACATTCCACAATCTACAGGTAATACATTGATACTCCATAAACTGTTTTTGTTTAAATTTCTTTAAAAGAAAGAAACAAAATCATTGCCTCAAACTTTGTCCTAGTAGTTTTCAACTTCTTATCAGGATCTATTTATATATACATGTAAGTTGTACGTCATGCATGAAGTAAACACTTCAGCTATTTGAAGAAAAAAAGGACACATTAAGTCATTATGTTGAGTTATATTCTTTTCCATGAAGTTGAAAGAACAGGATATAACCATATTTAAATGTATGCACCTGTAAAAATAGTGATTGAGCCTTGTATGCTCTAGAGACTATTACTACGTACCCTGTATGTACCAAACTTCAACCTTAGACCATCTGACATGTAATCATAACTTTAGTCTAAACATATCCATGTTAGGGCCTAGATGTACAGATCTTTGATGGAATAAGTACTAGAGCAAATGACAAATTATCAAAATAGCTGCATTATATAAAGCTTTTGTTTGAAAGTGAGAGAAAAAAAACCCTCACACGAGCTTATAACCCAAGTTGATTTGATTGAGAAGAATAACAGCAGTGTTTTATCTATTTTTGAAAACATTACACATGGACACAGGAAGGAAATTAACAAAAACCAACTGACACAGAAACCTTTCAACAAAGTTCAGGTGTACAGATAACCAAAAAATGTGACAATTTTTTAAAGGGAATGTTACAACTGCATGATCTAAGTCTGGTTACAATAAGCCTACAGTACATGTATATGTTTGAGTTATGCTACATGTCGCTTGTCATTAGTTTGATGTCAAAACGATGGTGTTCTGGTCACACACTCTTTAACAGTGTAGATGATGTTTTTATTCTTCAGTTCATGTTAAAAAAAGTTCTTGTGATTTCAAGTAAATTACCCCATAACATGCAAGAACACAAAACTGTACTTCAATGCTGTTCGTTCGGAATCATGTACATGTAGTCAAATTGCTCCTTCTTGTTTGCCTAGCGATAAAAAGGGCCCCTCTTCTCACCCATTTAGGCCAGGAAAACACAGTAGAATCAAACATGGTACCTCAGCACAAAGTCTCTCTGAAGCTGCTACGAGTGTATGTTATTGATCCTGCATCTTATGTTACCACTTCAATGTTATTAGAATTACCATATTGCAATTCCGATCAGATTAGTTTCTATCTTCCTCCGTCCATGACATATTCACTGGGGCATTCATAGACCTGTCCACCATTCAGATCTCAAGCTCTCGGCAGCCTACAACATGATATAGGCTAGTTTTCATTAGCGACAGTTATTAAAATAGCCCTCTATTACTGTAAGTGTGGGGGGGGGGGGGGGGAATTAGCCCAATCACAACTACATTGTAGCTTAAATTCACAATAAAGATTCAAATAGGGGCAATGTCACCATTGTGCTTGGATTATTAGCCCTTGAAACCTGTTATCCTAAGCAAACTAGGGCCCGTTTGTGAAATAATCTGCCAATGTTAGCTGGCTTATTTTCTGGTAGAGGCACATTCGGACTATGGTACATGTATATGCTTGAGCTGATTTATCTTATCGGTCTCAAGTTTGACTTTGTTTGGGCTAGTGGAAACACACCACTTGTGAGGCCTGAGACACTAGGTTTTCATAGAGTTCGTTGTTGAAGAAATTGATACATAAGTGTAACCGAAGTAAGATGTTTGTGTGAATCCAGCACTTGGATGAATTGATCAAAGTACAGATGTGTCTCAAAGCACAACATGCGCAGAGAGGCCATACATTCTTGTATCGTTTAGAAATAATTAACTGTTTTCTAGTTTACACATTTTGCACTTACAATCTTCTAGCCTACTATCTTCATTGTAAATCAAAAGAAAATGAATATTAATGTAATTGCATATTAAGATTATCTTTAAACGTTTGCGAGCACGATATTTTTTGAAGATGTAATTCTTGCTACTTTCTTTATAAAATATCAAAAGATCCTTAATTATACATGTAAACGTTATAATATATTATTTTAGTAGTGATCCACAATTTTCAACAATTTGTTTTCTACTCTTCTATTATTAGTGACTGGACATTTGGCAGAATTGCAGATTGCTTATGTGTGCCAGCAGACACTGACTGGATTAGCTTACATGCATACACTTGGAAAGATGCACAGAGATATCAAGGTGAGTGATGTAATAGATATCATCTTCTTGCCTCATGCTAAACATACTGGACTCACAGTTCTGTTATGAGAGGAACTTTGTATTTTCTGTTCCATTAAAAACAAAAATAAGATTGTAATGGAGACGATATTGTTTCCTTGCTTTGCTTCAATTGATCCGTGTTTGGTACAAGGTCCAATATGTGAATAATGACTCTTCTTGTCTGAAAAAGTGATGAAATTAACATATCAGTAATATTTGAACAATATTTTATACTATGCAAGTTTGCCAATATTTCAATGTTACATCACAGATGTCTTTTAGCCTGTATCCAGGTTTCATCATGTATAGTCGAGACAGACCCTGTATTTCTTTTAAGAAATGAATGGCCAATGATGCACTGCGACATTTACATGTATGTAGGACGTGACAGTTGACATGCTCAAATTTCTTCTTGCATGCAATATTTCATGTGTCCAATTTTTGCACTGCGACATTTACAACATGGGCACTGTGACATCTGCTATGTGCTAAGTACACAAGGGGACAGATTCCAGTGGCAGATAAAGCCTGCTTAATTACACGCCAGAGCATAATTAGTGCTGGATTGAATTGTCCTGGCCTATGAGCAGTGCATTTCAAGTTATAAGTACAGTTCATGTGGAAAACATGGGAAATGCTTGCATGATCAACCTCAAAATTAAGTTATGTCATTGGATCTGTTTTGTATTGTAAGAATATGTTTGTGTAATGTACTGTATGTAGCTGAATATTAAACTCGTAAGAAAATATAGACACTGTAATTATTATGTACATGTACATGTACATTGAGAATGTCCAACACTGTTCTTCGAAAGATTTGAAAACTTTTCATTTATCAGCGTTATGATCATAATGTGATTTTGAATATAAAAGATCAGATTAGATGAGGGGGGGGGGGGGGGGGGGAGGGGGGAGCTGGAGCCTACAAAGCTCCAACGCAGAACCATACATGTACCCTCTTTGTATAGCCTATCTGTTTATATTTCACAGCTTTGATACAAACATGGGTGTGACAATAGTTATCATATTTTTGGGTATACACTGCATTAAATGTTATTATCTGATACAGTGTTCAGTACACAGGTACATGCACATGTTACGATTGCAATAATTGGACTGTCCATCTATAGATAAGTAGGTCAATTGACGCCAGTACAGTAGATCATTGAGCATGAGTCATTACATGAAGGTTAACGTGCATGTGTCTCCATCAGGCAGATTTAGATGCAGTATGAACGCCTGTCTGAAAAATATAGACTTTATTTTTATGCCTCCGCCACCGAAGGTGGTGCCGGAGGCATCATGTTTTCGGGTTGTCCGTCCGTACGTCCGTACGTCCGTACGTCCGTCCGTACGTCCGTACGTCCGTCCGTACGTCCGTACGTCCGTCCGTACGTCTGTACGTCCGTCCCGTTTGACCGTTATCACAATATCTCAAGAACCATTTAAGATTTAAACTTAAGACTCGGGAATAGTATTTATCACCATAGGAAGACGATCTGATTAGATTTTGGAGTACGTAGGTCAAAGGTCACAGGTCACAGAGGTCAACTTATGAAATTCCTTGTATTGAGTTTGTTAGCGCGATATCTCAAGAACCATTTGAGATTTAAACTTCAAACTTAAGGATAGTATGTATCACCATAGGAAGACGATCTGATTAGATTTTGGAGCACGTATGTCAAAGGTCAAGGGTCACAGAGGTCAACTTATGAAATTCCATACATTGAGATTGTTATCATGATATCTCAAGAACCACTGGAGATTTAAACTTCAAACTTAGTGATAGTGTGTATCACTATAGGAAAACAATCTGATTACATTTTGGAGCACGTAGGTCAAAGGTCAAGGGTCATAGAGGTCAACTTATGAAATTCCATACATTGAGATTGTTATCATGATATCTCAAGAACCACTGGAGATGTAAAAACTTCAAACTTAAGGATAGTATGTATCACCATAGGAAGACGATCTGATTAGATTTTGGAGCACGTAGGTCAAAGGTCAAGGGTCACAGAGGTCAACTTATGAAATTCCATACATTGAGATTGTTATCATAATATCTCAAGAACCACTGGAGATTTAAAATTCAAACTTAATGAAAGTGTGTATCACCATAGGAAGACAATCTGATTAGATTTTGGAGCACGTAGGTCAAAGGTCAAGGGTCACAGAGGTCAACTTATGAAATTCCATACATTGAGATTGTTATCATGATATCTCAAGAACCACTGGAGAATTTTCACTTCAAACTTCATGATAGTATGTATCACCATATCATAATATCTCAAGAACCACTGGAGATTTAAACTTCAAACTTAATGATAGTGTGTATCACCATAGGAAGACAATCTGATTAGATTTTGGAGCACGTAGGTCAAAGGTCAAGGGTCACAGAGGTCAACTTATGAAATTCCATACATTGAGATTGTTATCATGATATCTCAAGAACCACTGGAGATTTAAACTCCAAACTTGTTTAAATTGCTCTATGGCGGAGGCATCATTTTCGACTGCGCGCAGTCAAAATTCCATCTAGTTTGTATCTTAATTCAGATATGTGCAGATTCTCTCAGCCACAGTTAGTTCTTTTTTTTTTAGTAGTTTTCGTTTTTTTCTCTTCAATTTTTGCAATCTCCATACCTGTATACAGTTATACACATGTACCTTTTTAAAATGTATTTTACTATTAAAGATTATAATCAAATATTCAATAGAGAATACCAACTGTATCAGTCCTGCCATGCAACAAGACTTTCATACTACTTCCCTGTGACATTGGTAATTGTGGTTTCTGTTGGCAGATTGAAATGCATTTCCCTGATAATAAAAACAAAAGTACAATTTTATCTGTAGGTTCATTTACATTGCAGAAAAACCCATTTGAAAACCATCATTTTTTTAAACTATCATTTACACTACTGGTAAAACCCATTAAAAACCAGTTGGGTATTGATAATTCTGTGTGTGTGTGTGTGCATGTGCCAATTGTCATTGCTCTGCATGCGTTGGCATGGAAGCGAGGAGAATCACGTGACCAAAACCCACAATAATACACTGGTGTTTTGAGGGGAGCATTTACACTGCAAAAAAAAGATTTTAAAAACTACTCTCCAGAAGTGGGTTTTTTTCCTCTACATGTACATGTAGACTGAATTTATTGTTATTGATGTTATGCCCATTAGGCGCTGTGGAATTGCGATGGACAAATGCTCATTCTTTTTTTGTTCTGATTTAATAATACAGATGCAGTAGACACACATTCAAGAACCTTGATATGTCAAAATGTAAAAACCTTATTTAAATGTTAAAACATAAAATGAAAATAGCATTTAAATAAATTTAATGATGAATTTAGTTATCCCAAAGATGTTAATCCTGCCTCAACTTATCAGTTTGTACATGTGCATGTACGTTTTAGTTGGAAAAAAGTTTTACTTTTTGGGTTTCCTTTTTTCCTCCAACACTTAGTACAACTGTTCATACTGATCCAACCTTCGTTCAGTTCCTTCATCATTAGGGGGAGAGGGGAAGAAAATGAGCACTTGTCTGTTCCTCCCACACATGAATTAAATTACATAATTTGCTGCCCCTTTCTCCCAACTGCCGTGTCTGCCACTTCCTTTCTCCTTCAGCTGACCCTTCTCTGCCCCTCCCCTCTCTTCCCTCACTTTCAATCGTATTTCCTACACCCACTCATTACTTCAGACACTTCCATGCAGCAAGCTTGCTTTCTAAGAGAAATTTGGTTTTTTGTATAAAAATTGGTAAAAAGGAAACTCTAAAGATGAATATTATTTCAATTTTTTTTTTAAAATTAAATAAAAAATGTTTATCTACCGGTATACACAGATAAAAGTGTTTCATTCATTGTGTGGTAAACATACATGTAGCTCAGTGAACAATTTGAACAACTTTTGCACCAATTCAAGTATGGTGTAATTTGTATTTGACACTCAAAATTCCTGTATAATTTTGACATATTTACTGTAATTTAATTCTTATGCACATTCTTGTCTTCATTGATGTCAAAAGAAGTAATGAATTCATCCAATTTTGTTTAAAGGTATTTTCAAGATCAGAACTTTCTTGTCTTGTCTTGTTCCCCCTTCCTCTCCAGCATTTATGACTTGTAAATCTTACCTGATTCTCTCTTTAAAAATTGATGATATGAAGCAATAATTGTTGATGGCAGTCAATTTTTTGGATCATTTTTTGTGCATACAGGTAACTTATGAAATTTTGTTTAAAAAAGAGAGATATAAATAAATTTGCAATGTATAAAGCTGGATCTGAACAATTCACATTTAATACAAATTTGTCCTTTTGCTGCATATACTGTACATGTACATGTACATGGTATCGGTAACCAAAGAGGAAGTGGTTTTGATGTGACATTGAACAAGACTGATCAAATAGTAATTAGACATGCATAGACATTTCCATTATACTTGTCAAAAAGCAAATCAGTGCAGGAAATTTCTCAACGATAATTACCTCAAATAAAACTGTTATTGATATGTTGTGTTTATCTTATTATTTTACACTTTTTTGTTGTTTTACATCTAGTTACCATAGAAATGTGAAATGACAGATCTGGAGCCCACTGTACAGTACATGTAATATACATGTACATACACTGTACATGCTACATGTAGGTCATACATGTACATTATGAATGTACAGCCTGTCAAAACTTATTAAAGCATTTTTCAAATCTTATAAGAATAAATGTGCATGTTAAAGCAAGACATTAGTTGCAATTTTTTTTTGCAGTAAATAATACATACATGTAAATTGTACATGTAATATATATGTTGTATACTTTGATTTTTATATTGCGAAATAACTTGAATTGAATGTAATTGATTTTAAATAGTCATAGAATTTTCCAAGTATTGCACAAAGTAAAAAGTAACAGTCGGGAAGCAATTTGACCAGTACAATGGATATCGTGCAGCCTTAGGATGGGAGTGTAAGTTAAGACATTGTAATCTGACTATGTAACGAGTAGTAGTTCTCATTCTAGGAATATTTCATGCAGTGTTCTCTGCATGCAAGGTGTACATGTACCTGAGCGAGTAGGTAGTAGAGTTACATACTGGTTATGAAGGAATTTGTTTGAAGTTGGCAGGGAGTGACTAAGGATGACATCAACCTCCGTACAGTTCAAGGGTACAATTTTTCTTCTTTTAGAATGGCCAGTCAGGCATTTTCAAAAGTGTAAGGGGGTAGCGGGTATGGCAGTTTGTTCCAAACACACCACCAGGGGAAATACATGTAGAACCTGAAATATTGAGAATAAAGGCCCCCTTTTATGGAAGATGGAGAGAGGTAGGAAACTTCCTCATCAAGAAACATACATTCCTCCTACATGTACATGTACATTACCTCAATGGGAAGTCCCTTGCAGTGTTACCGATCATGGTACATGTACTTACAACATTATTTTGGCCTTGTTGGTTGCTTGGGGACATCAAAAAATATATAGATTCTGAGGGGCAGAATCACCCTAAGCCCTATTTTGTCTATTTCTTCATTGATATACAATAAGCATTCATCATACTATCATGGTGTATGATGACTTTTAAATTATTTACTTGAATTTATTGCATTATTTGATGCTTATACTTTTTCAATGCCATCTTCCATCCTCTCAAAGTCGTTGTCATGGGCAGTCTCCATTGAACTGTCATCTAATGTTATTACTCTGTCTGACTCAGACACAGTCATGCAAAGAGCTTACATAATAGATGGCTTGCATTGAGCTCTATGATGCACACCAATAGGTCATCAAGACACAGACAAATTGATTTCTCTCTAAACGAAGTGATGTCATTCAGTAGCAGTAATAGAATTTAGAGACTGAAATAACCTGTACTGGAAATGATTTATGGATATGACATTCAAAAAAGATTTAATTAAGATATTTATTGAAAGGAAGTAATAGTAATTTTTTATGAAATTATATGGAGTATAATTGAAAACAAATGGAATTGCTTATTAGTATACATTGTAATTAATAACACAACATCTTTATGTACAGTATAGGCATATAATGGGCATGTGAAGTTGTGTCACAGTATGTAATTTATTTTTTAGATGGTATATTTAATTTTGTTACTTGAATAATCCTAAATCATATTCTATTCAGTTCCGTTGATCGCAGATATCTCCGTTTTCTTGCTGAAAAAAGATTTAATTTTTTGATAAACCTTCTAAGCAAATGTTATGGATATGTTCAACGTTACAAGTCTGAGTACTAGGGGTCATTCGCAGTGACCTGAATAACCTGCTCAGAGAGGGTGAGAAACTGAAATCTAATTAAAATGTTGTTGGATCTTGCCAAAATAGACTTACACTTGGCACAAATATCACATATTTATACACCTGCAATGTACAGACAGTGATATAATAGGGAAGAATTTTCATTGTAATTGAACCTTGGCAATTTTTTTTGCCCTCTTTTCTATTGTAAAGCACTATTACATTAATGTTCACATGGGTAGGCTCCATGTTCTACTGTTATTTGTTCAGATCAAAATCTTGCAACTATCACACATGATCATATATGAACACTGTACATGTATCTAATGAATATGAAAGATTCCTTTTTCTTTCAGTTCCCTCGTACAATTTGTAAAATGCCTTTATAAAATACATGTAGTCATTTCTAAAACTCTCTACTCCAAGCATCACGTAATGTGCATGTACATGTACATGTACCCATGTCATAGATTAAAATGAATTCAGAATAGGTCATTGCCATAATTATGTAAAATTATGTAAATGCTTAGTGGTGAAAATGCCAATAGGTGAACTTTTTTTGGATGTTTCTTTAACCCTCAATTTTTTTTTGGAGCTTGTAGGTGCAAGTTGATACTCCTGTTTAGTGTTATGATTATAGAGAATAGGAAGGAAAGAGAGAATATTCTGAACCACAAAGGAACTGATTATTATTTAAATTGTTATTTTTTTTCTGATACTTTATCATCATGTTCATTATTTTACTTTTCTCATTTCCCCAAATGTACCCGTTTACATGGTGACAAATGCATTGTCATCCTCCTTTTTTTGTAATTTTTTTTTTGTACCTCACTTCATTGATTTTTTCATATTTATTATTCTTATTTTATTTTATTTCATTTCTATTTTTTTAAAATATCGTATATTGTATATATTTATTTATTTATTTATTTATTATTATTATTATTATTATTATTATTATTATTATTATTATTATTATTTTATTTATTTATTTTTTTTTTTGGGGGGGGGCCGGGAGGGGGTGGGGAGGTTCAAGCTCTTCACTTTCTTTCCCCTCTCATAGATTAATGGTTCTCTGAAACCTTGAACATATTTTGACCATGTTAATGATGCTGTCATAAAGACATCTCCTACATGGCAGCAACTAATTAATCAATTTCTTAGATGAGAATATCACAAAATAAAGCATCACATAATCTGACTAGAGTCACCTCGTTTATGTATTAGATGCCAGGCTTGCCAGTGCTGATTAGGTAATACACTTTTACAAAATTAGGACTTATTATCATTTCATACATACATGGAATTTACAAATTTTATCATTAATATGATTTTTTTTTTGAGACCCCAAGGCTCAAAGACAAACAATGGTTGATTATGATAACTTCATGAAGCATATTTAGCTGCAGCACTTATTATAATTATTCGGTCTTATTCACATATTTCACCTTTCTTGCTAAAGCTCGGATGTAACTTTAAAACTAATTTTGAGTGCTTGCCAGAGAACATAATGTGCATTCCTAACATGTGTCAAAGTCAAAGCCAAGGCCTCAGTGACCTGTGTGTGTGTTGGGTGTGATATAAAGATCACATGAACGAGGCAAAACAAAATGTGCATCCTGCTGTTTATGGGCCATTTGAGGTACATTGGAAGTACCATGAAGATTCAATTCAGGTACCGTACATGTAATAGGCAAACCTAAACAAAGATAAAGCTGACTAAAGTAAAGGTAGCCTATGTTGTACGTTGTACTGTATGTGCATGCATACAAGTATGTACATGCATGCATATACATGTAGCCCTATAAAAAAACAAATTTTGTAGTACCGTTTGCGACTGACCAAAACATTTTGAAATCTTTGGTCGGCTTTAAAAAAACAATATTTAAGCATTCAAAACTGAGAAAAATCAGCTCAAAGACGGAGAGAACTTCGGTGTAGCCCCATCACTGAGGGAGTTTTTGCCCTTCCTTAGAAAGTGTGTTAACATTTTTGTCTAGAATTATCTCTTCTCCCTCCCAGCAAAACTCCCCATTGAAAAGCTACCCCAAATGCCTCCTAAACAACTATCTGTATGCTGGGGACAACTGTCTTGGGGGAGGGGGATGATCATTTTACAAGAGTGTAAAGTTCAGACGGGGAGGGGTAATCGATTGCAGGTGATTATTGTGGGATGAATAGACCATAGTTGTCTGAGATTCCTTAGTTCTCAGAGTCATTAGTAACATTCATTTTTTTTCTTTGTGCATTTTGTTAGTCCTGACATTTTCATTTTCATTCTTTTTTTGAACATATAAAATATTGTATTGTCTGCAGTTCATAACTAATTGCTGTACCCTTACAGACAATATACATGTACCGTAAATCTCTGTGTATAAGGCGCACCCTTGACTTTTAATTTTTGCCGACGGAAAAAAAGTGCGCCTTATACACAGAAATTTACGGTACATGAACAGCGGGGGGGGGGGGGGGGGGGGGGGGGATTTTGTACTCACAAAATATTAAGTTTTGAATTTTCATTTACGGTATTATTTTCTACTATTCAAATGTTTATATCAGTAAAAGAAAATTGTCGCTTTACTTGAGGGCATGAACCGTCTTAGAGGTTTTTCCAAGAATTGATAAATCCTGACTTTGTGGCTGCACGCACACAAGCAAGCAGAACATACCCTGGGCCTGACTGTCTCCATGGACACGACCTTCGTAAAGCACTTGAAATGTCTGATATATGAAGCCTGGAGGACAAAGTCTTTTGTCACATTTTTTCTAGTAAATGTTTTTAGTGCATTTTGCAACTTGATACTTGAAGTGGAAAAATGTTGACATGATTTGTTTTCCCACTGGTATTGTATAGTTTATGTAAATGTCTGTTTATGTAAACTGTAATCTTATTTTATGTGACTCAATTGACAATATTGGTGACAGACGAAAAAATATGTACATGAACATGTATTCAACAAATGAATGTCCCTGTCAATTCATATGTGGATAATTCAAAATCATCTCCTGTCTTAGACATTCTAGCCTTTAATCCTGCTACCCCTTTTCCCTTTCTCAAAATATTTTTATTTTTTTATTCCTCTGTTGAGTCTGTTATACATTGCCTGTGAAAGAAATCAGTTCATGATGGAGTTCACATGATAATTTATGACGGATATTTGAAGACGACTGAAGGCATGTCACAGGCACAGATCCTTTATCCCCTATTGGGCAGAAAATGTAATCTTTGGAGATTTGCAGGAAATCTGATATTCATATTCATATACATGTACATGTCAAGAGAGGGAGGAAAAATACATTCATGCTACCATATTCTTCGTCACTTGGTAGTAGAGACCAGTGAAATTAATGCTTTGTCTTTGATAGTTGAATCAATTGCTCATATTTCCATGTTGTTCTTTTCTATTAAAGTGTTAATTTCTCAACAATATTCTTTTGAAATTATTAAATATATATCTTTTTAAACAATAGTGAAATTCATTTATGTTTTGGAGAATTGCAGTTATTTTAATGTGTAAATTAATATTAATTAATCTTTCATCCAACAGGGTGCCAACATTCTACTGACTGATGATGGAGATGTCAAACTTGGTAAGAAAACATTCTCTTTCATTTAAATACATTTTTTAGTGCATGTCATGTGCAATGTACTGGTCAGTAAATAATAGATGTCATTATCTACAGTGTTTTATTATTTATACAATTCATTTTGGGAATGTTTGTTATTCCATGCATTAAAAAAAAAAATATGGATAATTACATGTAGGTTACATAATCAAAATAACAATTCAAGAAAAACCCACATTATTTCATCTAAACATCCTTACATGCTGTTATGCTGTTTTTTATTCAATATGTCCCATCAGTATCACGGCGTTAATATTATCCCATATAATCATATCCAAATGTACATGTACGTGCATGGTATTATCATAAGCAATGAGATTCATATCCTACATCAATGAGTTAATGAATGCTAGTAATCCCCTTCCGTGCATAATTGACTGAGCCAAGGCCAGCGAGAGTGAGACCACTCCAAAGAAAGATCATTAAAGGCCCTACACCCATATCCGTCCGTCTGTACTAATGAATGAGGATTGCTTTCTGAAAGATAATAAAGCTTATTGGAAACTCTCAGACCTTCAGATTGTTCAGAGAAAAGCCCTTTCTTTTTATGTTTTGAAACATTTTAAGTACTTTGTCATGTGAGACATTTTCAAATGGCTATTTAGTAAAACCCCATATGTGCAATTTTATATCACTGAAGTGGTGCTTATGGTGACACTAGTTGATAGACATATTTGTTGTGCAATTATTTGTTTGTATAATTTGTATAATATTTGGTTACTATGAAAAAAGATACTTTTTATGCACACGTACAAGTACATGTACAGTGGCTGCATTATTCAAGGCAGTTTGAACATTCTTTTACAATTTGCATTATTGTACTAATGCTTGGGAGACTTCCGCCACACAAGAATGATATATTAACAAAGAATTAAATAGCTTTTAATACAGAGTCAATATTATTTTTTTTCATCACAACATGATTCAGACATTTTAGAAGCATTTTGCTCCCTATCAGTTTGATATCGGTACTGGAATATATTCCTCCAATGATATCACCAGTCACAAGTACATATGCATGTACATGTATGATTGGCAAGACTCAGCTAATATCAGCTGGCATTTTATAGGAAGCGTAACATGCCATTGGCTAATCCCCTCGCTAACTCTCAAGGAAATTGGGAAGTGGTCGCCCAGTATTAACACATTACTGTGAGATCAATAACGGATCGGGCTGGTGCGGATTCCGAATTGTAATTGCCTATTTGTATTGACGCATGTATGATAGCATTTTTTTGTATTTGGATATAGCGCATTTGTCTTTTATATCATGTTGTAAATATGTCTTTTGCTGTTGATAGGGGGGGGGGGTTAAAGGTAATAAGCAAGAATAACTATTTATTCTACTCCATATAAAATAGAAAACTAATATGTTCGCAAAGGCTGTTTTTCAATTCTATAGGTAAGGAGATTTCTTCACCTTCTGTTTCTCTTTTCTTTTCTGTGAGCTGTCCTGACCGTACCTTAAACATTTATTCTAAACTCTTTCTCCATCTATCACTTGCAGCTGACTTTGGAGTCTCAGCGCAGATCACACAGACGATAGCAAAGAGAAAGTCGTTCATTGGCACTCCTTATTGGATGGCCCCTGAGGTGGCTGCTGTGGAAAGGAAAGGGGGCTATGACTTCCAGGTGAGTTTGAAGTTATCATCCTCCTAGTTACATCATACAATGGATACACGTTCATAGGAAGCTCTTTTTTAGTTCAATCTAGGCATACATTTTATTGCATGGGGTTAGGAATGAAATGCTACTACATAAGGTAACGTATTCTCACACTAACTGGAGTATTTTTTCCATTCAGATCTATTCTCATTAATATACAATATATTGTCTATTGTCTGAACGGCTAGTAAAAGACCTTCTGGCTCCAAACAGATGATAAGTATCCTTTTAAACCCAAAGTGCATATAATAAATAGATAAAATGCATAGATAAAATTACTCTCATGTTTTTTTTCCAATAGATTATTAAAAAAATAAGTCATAATGCATATTACCACCATCATACTTGTCTGTACACTTCTCTCAATGCATGTAGTAGGGATGAGCTTTTCTCTCAACGTGTATGCAAAATGGACTTGTAAATATGGATACTTTAAGGCGTATTAGTCTGACCTTTTCATCCAAGTGTGAGATAATGAGGCATCATTATTAGGACTTAATATCTTCTAAGTCTAGGAAATTAGTTCCCCTTCCACCCTTCATTTAGTTGCGGTGGCGATCCTAACTTTTCAAGTGAGCAGTATTCCATCAAGCCAGCTAAACATTTCATGATTCGTCTTTTCATAAAAGAGGAGAAAGCTTGGCAGTAATTCCAAGAAAAGAAATGTTTAGTCTCATGCAAGAGAAAATGCATGCATCTACACATCCATGTATGCTGTGTGCATCAGTTGTTAATAATTGAAGCCAAACACATGGGTAAAACATTTAGATGACGTGTTGATTGCCGGTCCAAAGTGTTGTTGATTAATTGCTGGGTAAATAGCTAGGTGTGAGCTGAATAAAATGCATACCATCTGGTTCTGTTTTTGATGCTTTTCATCGCTGGTAAATCATAACAGTAAATCTGCCAGCGTGAGAACATTTCCCCTCGTCTATCTCTGCATTTTATTATTTATGCCACGGTTAATGTGAGACTTCTTATACTATATAAATCCAGACTTGCTATAATTTCTAGGTTATGAGACTCTTCCTTGCAGAAATGTGTTCAAAGGGCGGTTGTTTCATGTGTTAGTACATTCAGTATACTTCTAGCTGAATGTTTTTATCTGCATGTAAATCTTAACGTAAGGTAATTATGGTACAGGGATCACCTTGAATATGAAGAGTTGATTTGGAATAGATCATTGTACTTTGATGCAGTATATTGAATAAAGGCATATGTCAAAATCAAAAGGCATGACATATTCCTATTAACTGTGATGGGGTGGGGGATTAGTTAATATATTACGGTAGTTATGAGGAGTGGATTCCCTCATCTCCCAAGTTGTTCATTTTTGTGCACATACATGTACATGTACATGAGTAATGAATATGGTATCTCTGCCTTGACATTGAAATTTAATTTTTACCTCGATTACCAGGATTTAATGATGATTCTGCTTTTAAATATGCACACTTTCCACTAAACAAGGGAGATTTCTAGTCAGTAACTATTTTTTTTCAGGAGCACACATGCCAGTCCAGTTACATCTTAACAGGTGCCCAGTTAACACCTGGGTGAAGACAAGCAATGCTAATAAAATACCTTCCCTTAAAGGTAATACAAAGTTTTGGTATGGGGTCATGAATTTGGTTCAAATGAACATATGCGGTCCTACAATATTCAGTGATCGTTGTTGCGTTTGAAATCGAGTCTAAAGTTATGAAATTGTAAATAATAAACTCTTTATGTTGTATAGCTCCCTCTCAAGGTCAAGATATTAATCAAGCTATAAAACGATATTTCTTGACTCAAATCTACCGATTAGTTGTTCCCGTTTGGAAATTATATATCACAACTACATATTCTGAGATTTTCATGGTCGCAGCTACCATTGTACGGTCGTAGGCGCTAAATGAAATTCATCAAAATTTACAGGGAGCACCGGTAAATTTTTATGTTCAATTTTTCTCGAAAGCAGAAGTAGTTTAGGGGCTAATTTTTCTAGTGCTTATAATACATCCACAGGGGCATCCAAATATATCAAAATTGTAAAGAATCACTTTCCACCCAACTTTCAAAATTTCCCCAAACTTTGTATTTCCTTTAAGGAAATATTCTCTTTTTATTACTATTGCTGCGATCACAGTTAAAGCGCATGCAATGCACATGTACCCAGACTCATGTGGAAACTTGAAATGTGGCATTTCAACCTACTAAATGTTGTTTAGGAACTTATTTGTAGTCAGGGCACTGACCAAAAGAGTGTGTTGTTTAGTTTGAATGGCTCTGCTGTTTTTCATGAATCTCAATCTGAGTACTCACATGGGGACCCATATTGAGTAGCTAGATTGTGTGAAATGTCAATAACCTCTCATGGGAGCTCTCACACCGTCACAGTTCAGGCTGTCAGAGATGCACTGCATAGAATAATGAATACAGTACACAGTTCATTACACCAGGTTGTATTATACATGCTGCTCCATCATCAGCAGTTTGTTGACCTCATGGGAATATCTACTCCTGTCATTTATTATTATATGCGCTAAATGGTCTTGGGAGATTTTCTGTATTGCATGAAAATGATGTCATTTTTATTTTGAGGTTGATGGGTTGTTTTTTAAGACACCATACAAGGCCATGAATCTGCAGGAGATGACCTCCTGTATTAAAGGTCATCACAGATGTGGTATGATGGCTTCCGGAAGGAAAGAAAAGCTCAAAACTAGTATTGTGCACTCTTTAAATAGTTGTCCTCCTGACCAATATTTTAATGAGAAATCATTGTAGCCCAGTTGTGCTGTTCCTTATTTATAAAAATTTACTTTTTAGAAATACAGAACAAACAACATGTTCATGTAATGTGCAAAATGTTCGCCATGGTAAACTATTTTCTGAGGTTAATTACTGATCCTATGTAAATACCAATGTCATGATACTAGAAATGTGTAAATGAATATTTGCTTGAAATGTGTTATAATAGATGTAATAATATTCATTTCCCTTTTAGCTGTTCAGTGTTAGCTCATTATTCTCCAAGTACATTTACATGTAGATGTGAAACATGAAGTGTAGCTTTATAGCTACATTGTCTGCTCAAAATGAGTTCAGTGACCTTCATGATATTCGCCTATCCTCAAAAAACTTCAGTACAGACAAACAGTATTATTTGCATTATATATTTCCTTAAACTATTTGAAAAATGAGTACCTTTAAATCAGGTGACAATATATCTTTATGATAGATTTTCTGCTTGAAGGACCTGTTGGCATGCCTGATACACAAGACAAATGTATACACAGCTGCAACACCAAATGCATGCAAATCAGTAGACATTTGTCAATAGGACAAACATTTATTCAAATCCCTGATGAGTAACGTTAGCTGAAATACAAACTGATACTTATCCACAAATGTGTAAAAGTCGCCATAGTCATTGTATGCAGTTTGAAAGCACAAGTAAAATATTTGTTTTTATCTGAACAAAGAATTGATTTCCCTTTTTCTCTTTGGACTCAGTGCTCAGATCAAGGCTGCGGAAGCCAGTATTCTATTTACTCTATGAATTACTTTCAGAACCCACAGTAGAATGGGTCCGGCTCCCAATGGAGTAATATGTGTTGATTTAGTAGCATTGGATGAAGACAATGTATTATCATGCATGACTCATAAAGGGAGGAGTAAAAGAGAAAGAAAGCTGTTCTGGATTTGCCTTTGACCTTTTCCTCACCTGTTTGATGTGGTCTGTTTGATCGTGGTCGAGCTGAAAATGTCGCAATCAAGTGTGTTTGTTCTTAACATTGTGATTGCTAGACCCTGAATATTAGCTGTCTTTTATTTTAAACTCTTCATGGTATTAATTGAAGGTAGTCTTTAGTTATGGCGATGAAAGAAAATGAGTTTTATTATTGAATATAAAACCAAATTTGACACTGAAGTTAATCTGAAAATATGCACGGAATTGTCAGGAAAAATACCAGTCTTAGGAAAGAGAGTCAGAAATGGGGGTAGCCATCATAACTTTGTGTTATTCATCACTGTTACATGTACCGGTACATGTGTTCCAGTATTCATTTTTGTTATACCTCTAATTGTACACATATAAATAGTTCCTAATGCCAGCAAATTGTTATGACCTTGTTCATACCTAACTGATCTAAAAAGGCCATCTACAGTACTGGCTATTGCATGATGGACAATCCAGATTTTGTTTTCTCTTTCAAACCAGAAATCTCATTACCAGTATGCAGTTCTAACTTCTACTGTTGTTATTGATAAGCTTTGAATTAATATGAACCCCTCCCCTTTCCCCTCCTTCACATTCAAGGTCTCTGTCTGCATGACACAAGTCAAGGCCAGAGAGCCCAGAGAGTGGTGCATAGCCATTACTCAGAGTGACACAATCAATCTTCCCCATGTGAAAGGTAGCCTGTTACATGATAACAATATATCTGGACCAGCCCAGTCAGTTTGTTTGTCCTCAGTAAGGTCACAGGGGGTCAGGTTACAGTGAAGGCATTTATGTGTAGTCTTTGTACAAGACATCCTTATATGTGCTTTGGTGTCTGTAGCCTGTAGGCCTATTTGTAGCTTTGTCCCTTCTAGCTAAAGCCACCTTGTAAAAAATAACTACTTGTAGATCTAGATGTGTGTGTACTGTGTGAATGGTGGATGCAAACACTCATGCTACATCTCCAGTCCAGGCAGATCAAAATTTGAAAAAAGTAACTTTGCAACACTGCTCAGAATATTGGTGCATTGTTCAATGTATTGTAGGCGCTGTTTTATAGTGGAGAGTGTTAGCCTTACATGTAGACCTATACTAGAACTTATTGTGAAATTTGAAACAAAGGCGCTTTTTCTAAGGATAAAAAAAGTAATGCTGCGCAGGCCAGGTCTTAGATTTGAAAAAAAATATGCACAGTACATGTACATGTACATGTATGTATGTAAGTTTTGACAGGAAAAAGGAAAATGCCCATTTGTCATGGTTCTCAATCGAATGATTGTCTGAAAATTTTGGGCTACTACATTATGATAATTACCTTAACTTTCATCTAATCTTATTGCTGTATTTTTTAGGATTTATGCCAAGATGAGAAAGTGATCAATGATAAATGTCAATTTAGTGCACCAATTTGCTGTCTAATTCACATGTACACTGTACACTAGAGTGATACATTTAGGCAATGTTCCCATGGAGGCTTACATTTGACAGGGTGGGCCTAAGGAATGAATTCTCATTTGACAGCATTAGCCTTCTTTATGATTGCAAGAGAGTCCATGCCATGGCATGCCAATCAAACATGCATGATCGAACACTGGCTTCGAGGAATGAAGTCTGTTTCAAGAGACTAATTAGTTTGAACCCTAGGCAGACAAGTGTTGAGGGGAGGGATTGAACAATGTAGTGTATTGTCTTCTTTTCTTCCCCTCCATACACTGCATGAATACCTTCCTTTGACACAGAGGTTAACCTGTCAGGAAATCTACCCAACCAATTTGCATACAACTGTCAAATAAATTAGGCTTGCTCTGGATCTCCCAAGATAAATATGTCCCTTCAAATCTTATACTAGGATATGTGTGTTGACATGTACAGACAGTGCACATTGCATGTAATTGTAAATCAGTACAGTTCATGTTCACATGGATTATGTAGCTGTGTTTGATACATGCAACTCACATGAACAATAGTCAATACATATGGTTGTAATTTTCTGCTGAGAAACGGAAGAGTCCAAACTTGTCATTTAACACATAGTTAGTGCCTTTCTGGCTCTCCGGTGACTAGTTATCTGATCATTGCCTGCAGTATGATAACAACAAGAGAAAAAAACATGAATGTTGTAAAGAATATGACTGTTCTACTTGTACACAACATTCTCATGTATTATACCAACAATCCTCTCATCATGTACATTTGTACCATTTTGCTGTGCATAAGCCTCTACATTCTATTCTCTACACCAGGGTTTCTCAAAGTCTGGACTGCAGGGCATGTCCATCTGGACCACGGGGAATCTGCTTCTTTTTTTAATGAATTGTAGCAATACCCCTTCGATCAGATACAATGTACACCTAAAACAAGCCTTGTTTTCTTCAGTATTACAAGTGTCATTACTGTTTTCAAAAGTTTTGAGTAGCCTCTCTGTGTCTGCATGAAACAAAAATGAATAATGTTTGAGTCCAGCTCTCCAGCAATTAATAGCACATTGTTGTTTAATTCATTTGATGTAAATACATCAAAATGAATGTAAGAATTACCTTTTAGCTATCATAGAATTAGAAATCACATGTGGACCGTCAAGTAAAAATGTTTGAGAATGCCTGCTCTACAAAGAATCCACTGGGTTTTATGATCAGTATGAGCTTCCAATTAAGTGATCATCTAGTAGGACCTACATATGCATGTATCAAAAATTCGACATCGTAACATGTGTTGATGTAAGAGCCTGCCAGTAAGTTGTCCATTATCTTTCTAGAATGGATGGGTATGATGATTTGTGTGGTACTAAAACATGACCTAATGTGTAGTAAATGTCTCTTTATTCTTTCTTTTCGAACAGTGTGACATCTGGGCAGTAGGTATCACAGCCATTGAACTAGCAGAGCTTCAGCCACCAATGTTTGATCTACATCCAATGAGGTAACACTTTGATTCTCACAAACTACTCTAATATGACATACAAAGCTCCTAAAGTGCAGCAATACTGTCCTTATTTCAAGTCTTTTGTTAACCTAAAGATAAACTTGAGTTCTGGTAAAAAAAAGAAAATTAATTCTCACAGAATCAAATGAAACTTACACTGAATGTTCAAGATTACAAATAAATTTCATGTGCCAAACAATTTTGGAAGAAAATGTATACTGGCTGAGTAATGAGCATAGAAAGATAAGGAAATTAATGTATAGTAGCCCGACACCATTTGTGTAGTCCCATTTACATCTTTCTGTGTACAGTGCTTGTAACTCTACCAAGACTGGGCCAAATTTCTTATCATTTTGATGATTCCAGAACCTTGCAGTACACGCCAATACATATAAGCTATATGATCAACCTTTTCTGATGATTCCACAACGTTTCTTTCACAATGCAATCGCATGACCAGAACTCAACTTCATCTTTAAAATGTATAGGGTATTTTTCATTTCATACACTGATGTCATGATTACATTGTCAATGTAAGATTTGATTAAGTTAGCACTGAATTTAATTTGTGAATATTTCAATTGCACTTAATCCAATTTAAAAAGTACAAAGGCATTCAAAATGTCTAGACTAATGAGACTTTAATTGCAATTATCTTGTCTAACTTAACAGAATGATAGTTGACTTCTCTCTGCATGCACAATGCATTCAACGCTACATAAAGTTCATTATGCACAGTATTTCTCCCTTGAACATGTTGGTCTGTATGAAATATGTTTGAGACCCTCTTCCATAATTGCCCTTTCAGAATATCCATTTCATATTCAATGGCCCACTACTTGAACCTTAATTATGCTTTCAGGATGCTATTCCTAGTGCAAGAATCATCAAGCTATAGAGCAGTTGGTCTCTCATATCGGCAATAGAAACTTGATGAATGTGAATGAAGGGATTTGGGTATTTTACAAGATAGTGCGATATAACACAATATTTCTTTAACCCTTTCACAACTTTGCGTGAGATATCGTAGGCTACGGTATTAGGAATATGCATGTATACTAACACCAAGGTAAGTATGAATCAAGAGAATAAATGTCATCTTCTTTCCGTCCTTCCTCCATGCTTTGCTTGGCTTGGCTTTGCAGGGCTTTGTTTCTGATGTCAAAGAGCAACTTTGTTCCACCGAAGCTGAAGGATAAGAACAAGTGGTCGCCGATATTCCATGCATTCATCAAAACAGCACTAATCAAGAATCCAAAGAAAAGGCCTACTGCCAGTAAACTTCTTCAGGTGAGATAAACTGACTAGTTACCATGGCAATCCTATAATTGTTTGTAGAGCACATTGATCATCAGAACCTGGTGGATAAAAGCAATATCCATATTATTAGAGAGAAAACTTTCTCCTTCATATACAGTCTTCCAAGGTAACACTGAGAATCCAATCAATATAAATATATCTCAAAGCCTTGTAAAATTGTAGACTTCCTATCATTACCTCTTTACTACTTTATATTAAAAATGGTAAATTTCAATTTTAAAATTACATAACATGAATGGTTTGCATAAGTTCAAGGAAAGTAAAAGAATGGAGAACCTATGCATTTATGTTGGTACTTGATTTAACAATGGTTTTGGCAGAGTTCACATGTTCATGTATGTAACCTTATTGATGTATGTCTGTCTAGGGATCTGTATGAGGTTGAGGGAAGTTCCTGAATTTGTTTTAAATTCAATAGGTTCATATATATTTAACATGGGGTGGAACCATTTTTTGTATTGCAACTTTCCCACCTACTATAAATGATCATTCAGAGAGTATGCTTGAAGTAACCTTTGGATTTTTATAAAACTGCAAGCAAATCTGGATTAATAGTGTATAAGAATTATAATAATCTTATTATCAATATTCTGTTCCTTGAATTAATTTTTTTACATAATGAAATTTTCTTGTAGCATGCTAGAATATTACTGTTATTATTTTGTTAAATTTTGGTTGTAGCATCCTTACTTCCAAGACAACATAGACAGGCTGACTGAGCAGACGATGAGGCAACTGTTAGAGAAGGCTCGTAATGTCAACCCAGGCTATTCACCCATAGAAGATGATGATGATGATAGGTTAGATGAACAGGTAATCATATGCTCTCTAAACAAGAGTGTCCTCTAATACTTGATCCCTTGATGGTATGAGACACTCCAGCTAGACTGTGGTCACATGCATTCAGTTGATGAAGGGCTTGGATTGTATAGTCCCTCCATCATGATCAACATTGAACCCGCACTAATTACTACATTAAGTATGACTGCTGGATGGTGACATATGAGCAGAACAAAATAAAGAAAATATGCTGTCAAGATATTGCTTTTATATTCCTTTATAGGGTGAGATTGGTATGAATTGGGAATTTATGTTAGAGTTTTGGCCCACCCCTGTCCTTCCTGCTATTTTTGGGCTAGGCAGACATGCCTGGTTATGTTGTTTGAAAGGCCATTTTGTTCTTACTTGGCAAAGTTCTCAATTGTCATTTTAATAGAAGTATATTTTTACCATGAGATGGTGCAATGTTGATGGTAAATATCAAGCCATTTTATCCAACTCTAAAATTTATTATGAAATCAGAGTATTCTGGGACAAAGACCATTCAATCTATATTTTTAAAAAGTGTAGCATTATCTATAGTTTAAGTGAGCCGTTTAAAGTCTCAACTGTAGCATTATGTACCTTTTCTTAACTTTTTATTATCAACTTTTTTTCCAGGCACTAGTAAACGTGAAAAAGAGAGTATCATCTAAGAGGACAGACCAGAAGGACAGACCTGCTTCAGAAATCAACAGTAAGATTAAATATCTTGCATTTAAATTAAATAGAAACTTAGATAATAGTCAAATATAGATGATTTGTTATGGAATAGATTGTTGGAAGTGCTCCTTCACTCTATAAATAAAGAAGGACAATTGAGCTAAACAAGTAGGTTCCAGATACAAAGACAGCTTGCATTCAAATACAATAAACAGCAGTTAAAAGAGATTTTTATGATGCCGCTGAGAATTATCTACTAGTTAAATTGGTAAAAGACAACTAAATTTACACAGACAAAGAAAGAAATTTAAAAAAAAAATCAGATAAAGGGTGGGATGGGGTGAGCAATAGAGGATAATATTTAATTCTGTAGTTATGTTTTGAAGCTCATTTTTAGAAAGAAGTTCACCAAATGTATTGTAATTTTTCACTCCAATGTCTATTTATATTTCCTCTTTTCTGTGCTAAAGTGCAAGGAATATTCGCAACACTTATTCATTTAATGATAATTCTTGTTCTTTAGTGGACTTTGTGAAGAAGGTGAAAGAGGTTCCCAGGATGCCACCTGATGATGATGGCATGCTCGGGGAAGGTAACTACCAAGGAGCACATGAATGGACCCCAAGCAACGCAGAAACAGAGGGAAGAAAGTAAGTCATTGCAATAGCATTCACTTTGCCTTTGCCACACATTAACTCAATAGCACTGCTCTTATGTCTTCTGTATCAACCCCCTTCTTATTTGGAGCGGTTTCATTTCTAGGTTATTCCCTGGCAACAGTACTATATTTGAAGGCTATATATCATTGGCTATTGTATAACAAGAGATTAATGCCCTTTTATATATCTTAATGTGTTTCCTCAGGCATATACCTTATTAACTTTTCTCTTCATAAAAAAATGCAAGAAAAAAAGAGTATATTGATCAAATAGTAACAGATTTGAAAGCAGACTCTAGCTAAAATTTTGATCAAGAGTGATATATAAAAACTAAATACAATTTTTTTTTCTTTAATAGCAAAAAATAAAATATTAAAGAACAAAAATGAGCAGACCTATGTGTATGGTATAATTCATTGCATACCATGTCATGGTATACTTGAGTTTATCAAACTAAATGGCCATGTTCGTATGTTAGATATAGTGTCAAAGTAGTGTAAACAATTGGCAGCAACTTAATATATGCTGTCCAGGACTAATGTTGTCACGTTCCTTCCCCGCCCGATCACACTGTACTTCTCATGGTTTGTAGGAATATATTGCATCAGATTTATTGCCTACCTGATTATTGTTGATGGTCATGTATAAACATTGGAGAGATGGACTCAGCATGTACACCATACATCCATCAATGTGATGATCATTCTCAAATCAGTTCAGAACAGAAGCCGGTCTAAAGGTGTACATTTGATAGGGGATGCACTATAGACATTTCAGTACAATATGATTTTCCTTGTTGAGATAAAAATTAGTTTGATGATCAGTATTTCTTATTTGAAAAAGATACAATGCTGTATAATATAGGATGTAAGTTTGACAAGCAACTTAAATTTGTTATTGATGAAGGGTATGATGTGACAAGAGGTTAATTACAATTGAGAAGATCAGAAAACCGGTTTGAGTGATATATTAATGCTTGCGATTAATTATTTTGATATTTTGAAGTACATTGCATGTGGTTATTTCATAGCTCTCAACTTTATTCCTTCAATCTTTTAATAGGGAATAAAGTACTACAAATTTAATCATGCCCTGCTGTTTTTTAATAGCCCAGAAGACTAATGGGAAATTAATTGTAGATAAATTGTCTGTACATCGTTTATAGTCTGATGAACATCACAAACAGGGTCTGTTTACCAAGACTACATTGAATCCTAATGGATGTCTGTATTGGATGGGTTGAAATGGGTGAACGCAGACAATTGCTTCTATCAAGTCTTGTCTTCCTTATGATCAATTTGGGAACATGGCAATGTCTCTTGAGATGCTATGACGTCAATGTATCTAGATCCCTGGTTGCAGGTTGACCATCTTGCTTACAAATGGCCAATAATGTTTATGTCTTATTTATCATTCTTCCGTCTTCTCATGGCATGTTTATTTGAGAACAACACCCCTGGCCCTGTGCAGTGAATTACTCAAGAGATGGGAGGGATGCAATAAATTTATTAACGCTAGGATGTAATAATGTTTGTCCTTTGCTTTGGTGGAAATGAATTTAAAAGAACAACGTGTCTTTTTTTTATGCATTCCATTCTGTCGTGCCAACATGATAAACATACATTGTTATTCACATCAATTTAATTGATTTACCTACAATGATAGATAGTAATTGGTACTTCAATAGACCAGCAGTTCACTTTAATTGAAGAAAAGTATGCATGTTGTGTACATATTTTTAAAACTTTACCTTCTCCAGCTTTTTGTCTTTTGTAAAGCGCATTTGATTAAAACTATTAAATCCTATTTGCAACTTGATTCGACTGCATACTGACAGTACCATCAAGTAGCCATGACCTGTCCAATTCAAAGTAAAGCAAGATAAATCTGCAGCGGAATGAGCTATAAATATTAGATGAAGTAATATTATCTTCCAGGTGTCCTAGCCTGCATATTTTGTGCTCTTGTTTGAAGATGTCTAGTAATACGAGATGGGTTCATCCATTATTCTGTAGAAAACAGCTGTGCTATGGTGTGAGATTGGGGCCTATAGTTGCCTTCCCAGGTCTGGCAACACTATCAATGAAGTTTAAGAAAATAGACACAAGTTTTTTTCATGAGCTTCAATGTAAAAGAAGAGAATAAGTGAAATAGATTTTAATATTCACACTTTCATGACATAAAGACATTATAAGGATGACATACCAAGTATGTAAAAAGAATGAGATTAATTAGATGTCCTAAGTTCTTGAAATACAATTAAAAATGACATTAATTTGTCATCTTTAGTTTTGTATTAATTATACCTATGCATTATAAAAAGGCTTGTATACTTTCAAATTAGATTTCTACACTATTATGTACAAATCTGTTTCAGTTTGATTACACGTGCCAACTGAGCCATATTTACCAGTTCTCATTGCATTTGATAACCATCCAATCTGTGGCCTAGTCACTTAGATGTTAATATGCCCTCACACTGACACCTAGATATCAAGGACAGTCTTCATTCCATTCTAAAGATTCATCTATGTCTCATTAATGGCATGTAACCATCTTTCCTATCATTAGCTTCATTCCCATTTGATTACTGCGTTTTAAGACACGTGTGTCTTGTGACATGTATGCTAATTAACTGGTCTAGATCATTACTTTTAGTTTTAAGGTCGAGATTTAGTAGTATTATGTAATGTCAGGAAATGTACCAAGATTACCATTTCTTATTTAATCACCAGCTGCATTAATGGAATGATTAGCCACCCTGTTCTCATTTCATCATATTCCTCTTTCCCAAGTCTTTAATTGAGAAAACACCTTTATTTAGTTTTCTACACAAGTCAGAGGTTGTAGCTTACTTTAGGTGATTACAAAAACAAAATCAAGCAAAACGAAACAAAACATAAAAAAGACAAAGATTAGCATAATCATGCAGATGATTACTAGGCAGTACCAATTAAAAGAATCCCTTTTTTTCTCATAGCAGTAAGACAATGTAGATTTCATTCTTATAAGAAAACTTGAATTAACATTTTTATACTTGCTTTGCCTTGAAAATAATAATGCTTTGGAATCGATGTTGTTTGGTTTGTGTGTTATTATGTTGCTAAATGATAGGCTGAATGCATAGATTCCTATTTACATTGTAGGTCTATAACATATTCATTCAGCTGCAAGTTTGCAAAATAGGGTTTGAATTAATATTACACAATTTAAAAGTAACTTGTAAATGAAATATAGAAAACAAAGCAAAATGTCATGAAATTGCAAGAAAGTGGCATTCTTGTTTCTAATAAAAGAGCTGTATAGTATGGTTATGGGGAACTTTGACAGGAAGAAATGAAAAGGATCACAGAATTTTGAACTATTGGTCTAGATAAGAGATCAGGAGAAATATATTACCAGGCAGAGCTGAGGATTGAAATGGGTTATAACAAAATATCACAAAAAATATTGCAAAATTATTTACTTTACTTGTATCAAAGAGAACTGTTGCTGAGTTAGCGCCATGAGCGTCCCTGGACGGTGTGTGCGCTCTATAAGTTTACACTATTATTATTATTATTACCATATCTTTACCAGAAGGATTCACTTATTGTTAAAAATGAACAAATTAAAGCACAGGTGTTGTACCTTCCCCATGAGGCCAAACTTTAGGGTAAGACCAAGAATGGATGGTGTGTAGAGTTTATAAAGTTATTATCATTAGAGAGGAGGGGGGGGGGGGGGGGGCTACTAGTCTGACATTATCCCATTGTTTCCTTAATCATTTTTAGTTTAAAATTTTGAATCGATCTCAAATCTATTTTTTTTTTTTGGGGGGGGGGGGTTCACTCTTGCCCCCTTTGTGCCTGGTACACCCCGGTGTTGTGGCATCTAAATCTACAGCCATGATCAACACTTCCTTTAATCTTTTGCCTCCCTAGGAGTTTACTTGCTTCCGTTGAGGAGGAGCTACAAAAACGGTATGGAAATGTCTCCCAAATTCAAACCCTTATGTGTTTCTTGTCTCTAACCATCTCACCGCTTTGTAGAGTGTTGTGCTTGTGCTTTCCTTTTTCTTTGCATGCACCTTATTTCCTCTGCTTTTCTCATGATCATTTGGGATATGTTTGCTTTTAGTGTCTTTTACTCTTTTTATTTTTTATTTGATTGTATCTTTTTACCTGAGGAACAGAGATTGTCCAAAAGGTTTAAGGTGGAAATGTCAATGATACATGAAAAATGATGAACAAAATACTCCGGGCTTGAAATTGATGTTCTGCTTAGTGCAGCGAAAAAATAATCATAGGACAAACCTAAACAAATGAATAAAATCTATAAACCTTTTCACATTTAACATGTATAAGGCACACCTGCGTGTATAAGGATCGAACTTTTCCCCTGAAAATTCTTGCTCTTCATCATTTTCTTGCCTTCCAAATATTAGAAATGTAGTAGTGATTTTTTTTTTTTTTTTTTTTTTTTTTTGGTATGGGTTTATAAACTTGTTGGTGAAAAGTGTAACAATTGACCCGTCATTAATTTCTGGAGGAAAAAGACCTGAATGTGGATGACTATTGAATTATAAATACACTGTATGAAAACAAAATATGTGCAAAGCAAACATAAATATCTGAATAGACATGTAGCAATAACTCAATCAGGGCTTTTACAAAGTTATTAACTTGATTTAATGAAGGAATTTCATTGAATGAAAGAAAAGACCAATACTTTGGATATCGGTAAACTTAATTTTTTGTTTGTGCTATGTCTTCCAATTAACTCAAATTCATCTATTTTCTAGCACCCATGTACACTATGCACTACCACTGATGTTAGGTTGCTACAAATACTAAGCCATGCCTTGTATTGCTTTCAGCCCATGTTGTGCATAGTCTGGTGAGGGCAAGATGGGTCAGTGTTATCTCAAAACACAGAGGTAATGTCTTTCTAGCTCTCACTAGAATAATATTCCCAACAAAACCCTGTAGCATTGTGAAACCCACTCCCAGGCCTGCGAGGTACATAGGCTCTGCTTTTTCAGCTTGTTATTTGTACACTTAGTGTTCTTTTCATGAAATTCCAATACTAACCATTTTATAAGGTTGTATATTGTAAGGATTCTAATAACACAGCTCTCTTTATTTCTGCTCTTTAATATAAGATTGTTTTAATTATAGGAATTACTCCCCCTTTTCCATAATCTATTATCTCTTTGATGATTATAAATAAAACAAGTCTGAAATAGAACTCATGAGGATATTATTCAATCACACACTTAGTTTTCTTGATAATCAGGAAAAGAATTCACAAAATACAAATCTATATTATGGAGTAACATTTCACAATTTATGAAGCAGTAAAACTTCACAAGATGATGTTATGTAGAAGCTTCACCAAATATGTACCCTCAACTTATATTTTGCCAACAAGAATTCCCAGTGCAATTATCAGACATATCAAACATTTACAAATTATACTTTAAATTGATATACTTTAATATTCCATTTATGGGGTAGAATGTTAGATTTGAAACTCAAACAATTTTACATCATTTAGGATTAGTTGTGTGCTAAGATAAATACCTGCTTATTTTAGGAACAGGGTGAATTCTTGATCTACTTATTTGGCAATATATATATATATTAAAATGTAGGTGTTTATACCAGTAGTTTTGTGTTATATCAATCAATTGGGCAAAAAGAATTTCCGTTTCGGTTTAATAAAATTTGGAGTGGACTATTAGGCTATTATTATTATTATTATTATTATTATTAGTATATAGTGAATAATATTATATAGAAGGGTTCAAAAGATATATGTACATGGTGTCTTAAGGTCTTTTATGTTACTAAACCTATTTGTATATGGCTGTGTTTAATTCATTATTTCTTTAATGGTCTAATATCATTTTATTACTCTTAGTGCTGTCTGTTGCAAACACCTGTTTCTTTGTGGTGCTGTATACACATCCCTTGCCTGAATGATTCCCTTTACTCTCATGTCTATATTATGCATTACATCCAATTCATATCTATCTATAGCTATTACAAAAAGGTATTTAATTTCATCACAAGACCAATATAATGTATTTATCTGTAATGAGCAAGTTAATAGTAAGAAATTAATGATAATAATAACAATATATCTAGATATTTAACGGAATACTGTCTCTATAAAGGGCCATCTATTATGTGTTGAAATTATATACGATATGTATAGAATTTGATATAGCAATCATTTCAGTAGACTCTAGCCAAAGTTTTCTCATCCTTATATAACTTTAGCCTGAGTTATCTTAGGCTTAGTACTCAACAGGTTAATTGTGTTTAATGTTATTATCTGTGTTGATATTTGTCAAAGAAAGCACTAAATCCCAAGGAAATTTATTTAACTACCTTTAGTAAATACATGTATTATTATTGTACCTGTAGTGGTTTGTTATTCATATTCTAAGCTTATAATACAGTCTTGTTATTGAGAGAGAGATACAAGTGACGTGATGCCTTGGTATAGTAGAACACTCCAAACTCCCTTTCTGAGAGAGATCATAACAGTATAGAAAAGGCAAAGGGGTTGTAACTCACTGGTGTAAACACACAATTGGTGCAAACGGTTAGGATAAACTGTCAGACATTTGACAGATATTGCTTTCCATGGTTGTGAGCCGAAGATTCAAAAGATCAATTTCCAAAATAGATGTTTTAAATTGCACAAAGATATTTTTAGATTTGATAACTACAAGTGTGACTCTATATCTATTTGGTTGTAGCTGGGGAAAGAGGTTTCTAGACTTGAGAATAATCAGGCATGATGAGATTTCTCATGTGCCAGCTGGTTTTATATCCTGTTAGTTTTTTCCACATATGAAAAAAAAATTCTTAAAGGAAGACAAAGAAAGAATTTGTGTGAATTCCAGGGGGGGGGTACAGAGGAACTCTACTGGGAGAGTATGTACCTTTGAGGTCTGTAGCTCTTCTTCGTCTCCAATTCTTCTCTCATCTCATGCCTGGTATAGAGAATGGAAGGCTTGATACCCCATTGTCTCTCCTAATACTATGTTGGTTGTAGCTCAATGTTACTGACTTGCATGCCTTTTTGCCTTGTCTTGTCTTGCATGCATTTCTCTCTCTTCATCTCTTTGACATACAGGGGTCATCAGACCAATGATTTCAAAGGGGCTGAAGAGAACACAGAGGAGGGCAAACAGTAAGTATCTTTGCCCCGCTCTGCTTTGCCCGCCCGATGTTTTTGTTCTCCTTCTTCCTCAAACTTTTGATGAGTTTTCATTATCTCTAATAGTAGAAACAGTACTAAATTTCCTACCATTCTGTCAGGTTCACTCTCTCAGTGTGGGTGTGTGTGTGTGTGTGATAACTTGATCTGTTTTTATGTCTTCTTATCATACTCCTCTTAACCCTACCTCAAGATTAGTTACCTTTGTGATTCCATCTATGCCCTAGTCCCTTACATACTCACTAGAAGGTGTCCATCCCTATTGTAGAATTAAGTGCTATATCCAGGTTGTGACCTTGATATTATATTTGAAAAATATCAATAATTAAAATTAATAAAATATAATAAAGTATACTGTATTAGACCTGAAATTCCCCATTTATTTGTGAATGGTTAAATGGATCATAGAGGTAATTTTGTTTCAAAATTTGTTGTTATTTTTTCAAATTAAAAGTATGACAAGTACAGAAACATATATATTTCCAAATGTTATACCAATTGTATATCAAACATACCATACCATAGTTACCTCATAGAGAGAGAAAGAATAGTCTTCATTTTAACCAAGCATTTATTGTTCCTCATAATCAGTGGCATTCATTTATGGTTTGGGAAAACTGTACTTTGATTCACCATATATACTACTTCCCTAGGCTATATTCATATGACTCTGCATGAAATTTGATGCAGTCTACATGTATCATTCATCTGCAAAAATATTTAATGAAGTTGGGGATATTCCAATGAGGAACTAAAGCCAATATCTCTGGTTACTCTTGTTTCTCTTTCACTAGATTTTCTTCATATATTCCTTCTTTCTAAAGTCGACAAAGTCTTCCTAGATAGCAGTTGGCTTTTCTAAAGTTTCACATTTGTTGTGTCTTTTATCTACTATTTTTTGCCAGATTATTGTGGTGTTTTTTTAGAAAATATCAAAAGTGGAAGCCTTTTTGAAATTGGCAAAATTCATTTTACTATCCATGTCCAATACATATCAGCTTACTTATTGAATGATATCATATCACTAATGATCCATAAATTGATTCATCATATACTTCACATACAGTTATTTGAATTTACTGCTTATCCTCTTTGAATTATTGCATTGATTATTGAATTTTGCTGAAATTATCATACAATTATCAGATCTAGAACCTGTTTATCATTATTGAATGCTTCATCTGAGCATTTTCAAGTGCTTTCTCTGGCTTTATGTTGAGATGTTTGACACATTTTAACAGATCTACAGTATATAATCTAGATGTTGAGCTTAGTATTTCCATATGGAAGTGTGTACAACTCTTTCCTATTTGCAGTGTGTTTGTTTCACTTCTGCTGATATTACTGATCTTTCTTACAGATGTGTAGTATTATTAGATCTCAAGTGTATTCCAAGTCTGAATGTACAATGATCAAAACATGCTGGCTGTAGGGGAATCTTGACATTCCAAAGTATTGCTAGTATTCATAATCAATCTTAATGTGGTAGTTATCAGTTTCAAATCCCTGTACATGAGTGCCATATATCATAGAAAAGGTTGAGTACATTGCACTTTAGATTGATAAATCATTCCACAGAATATAAAATATATAAAGTAGTGGTGGCGAAAGTTGTTGACTTTACCAGCACAGTAGTAATTCGGTATTTGAGTACGCACATTTTTTTCACCCTAGGAATAACAATATGTGTATTTTGGTGAGAAATTTATGCAAAAAAATGATAGTTATTGACTGGACCTGGATAAAGTAAAGAACTAATTTCAAAATGATTGCCTTGTGTTTTTGAACTATGTGGAACAGACATCCTTTTTATCTTATCAAAATTTAATGTCCAACTTTGGAATCTGATGAAGCATTAGCCAGTACTTATATGTGTAATTAAACAAAGCATATCTTGAGAAATAGAGGATAATCTGCCATAAGGTCCATTAGGCTACATCTAAAAATTAAACAGTCTTAGACGTATTGTATTGAGAAAGTTGGTTGAGGATTTGAATGAGAGTTAAATCATATAAAATGATGAGAATTAAAAAAAAAGCTTTCCCTCATCATCATCCTTCATCACAATTCTTAATTTTTGTTTTAGCTATTACGATATGTTGGATGCAGCGTCCGAAAGGTAACATTTTCTTGTGTTACAGTTAGCAGCTGCTGCTGTTCCCTGTTAGAGTGTTACCTTCAAAATGCATGAAATCTTACCACTCTATTTTTCCCTTACAAATTTGATTCATTTGCTTCATCTTCTTTACTACTCCAGGCTCATTTTATTGTCAAAAGTATTCACATTTATTCTCCCCTTTTTGCTTGCCATGCCTCTTGCTACGTACTTCATGTTCTGAAAGAATGGAAGTTTGAAAACAAAGTGTTTGATTACTCATATTATTCTTGCTTTGACTGTTTATATAATAACTTTCAATTGTAGTTTTGTTAATATATCACAATTTCTATCACATACTAATCAACATTTTCTTACAAAAATAAATTATTGTTATCCTGTCTTACCAGTTATTTACTGATATTTTGCATGCCATTATGTGAAGCACTAATATATTGTGCATTATATATGTTAATATATAAATATATATTTGTTTATTTTTTTATTTTTTTTTTTTTACGAAATGTCTCTCGTTCATATCCCTTGGTGTTTTTTCCAATACTAATATTAAATCAAACTATGTTTATGTGTTGGTATCTTGGTATACTAAATTTTCTAAATTGGAATAGTAGTGCATTTATCCATACCATTGGTATCACTGTGAATAACAAACAAAAATTGTGCTCTCCCAAATATTGTAGAAGCATATTAAAAAACTCATGTAGTAAAAGAAAATAACACAAATTTTAGTACCTGTTTATAATGGCTTATAATGAATAATTTTGTATCATCTGAAACCTGAGAAACCTTTCTAAGCATGCTGAATGTAATATTTTATTCAGAGGCTTGGTGTACCCTGTATATGTCTGTGCCCCCAAATTTGTGTCATCTGTAATGGTATATAACCAATCCTATTGTATTACCAGGTAATTGAACTGACTGTCTGGTATAAACGCCCTTCCATTGCATTGACATCCAATATACTATAATTGATTGATAATTGAATGTAGATTATGCAGCTGTATAGTACATGTACATGTATATTTATTCTCCCTGTGGAGCTTTTCTTCTTGTACATATTTGTACAATCAGTAACCAATTATTTGTTTTGTTTAATTGGAGTTAGATGTTTATACTTGGTGCTGTGCATATAAAATCAGTATGTTCATGACAGTGGACATATAACTACTTATTGTTATAATTAGTGACTGAGAAAATGCATGGCTCAAATGCTGTGCACTTGAAAGAGGGCATCATTATGATATTATCTTACAATTTATTTCATTGAGTGGTGAGAATAACCCAGGTACAATTACGATTACATGTACTTGGGTCAGTCATGTACATGTATTTTGCCTGTCCAAGCTATAGCCTAGCATAGGGTATATCACACTCCCTCCACCTGTCAGTTCAATACAAATATCTTTCTGATCCTATTTCTCTACACCTACTTGTTATTTTCTGGAATTTTGACCAGGAAATAAAACTTACCGGTACCTTGTATTTTGTGGTATATAACAACACCCATCAAGATAATACCCCTTTCTTAGGTGACTACATTATATAGATGCAGATTGAACAATCCCAGTGTTTCTGTGTTATTGAAAACAGGACTGTGGGATTATGCATATTTAAGCAAGAAACACAATTTTGTAAAGAAAAGGACCTATTGATATTGAAGTGTCCTGCAAGATGCTTTAAATCAATCTTGCTACATTGTTTGTACATTCAGTTATTGGTTCTGGTCTTAACTAATGCTATTCTTGATATTTCTCTATGTAGGTGTTAAGCTTGGTTTGCGTTATTTCTTCTTTATGCCTGCTAACCTTTTACAAATTCTGCACTCTTTCCTGTGCTGTTTTCCATGTTGATTCATTAATCTGATTATTTTTGAAGGAGATTTATAATGTCTTTGGGGCAAGAATGTTGTTGATGTGAAACAAGTGTAGAAGTATACTCCTTTGTATCTTCACTGATTCTGCAACAACCCAAAATGAAAAGTACAGTGTACATACATGTATGAACATATCCAACACAAGACGATGGAATACATGATAAGAAATCTTAATGTGGTTTGTCTGTTTTTTTTATTCCCATGTACAGTGACACATTACCACACAGTGATCGACCTCCACCTCTTCCACCTAAGGTGAGTGATTGATACCAATACATTATCCAGTCACCGACAGGTGCCTTATCCGGTGCATCACATCGCATACCATCATTATGTACATCTATTCAATATGAACAAGTCATCCTGTATGATAAAGAGAGTAAAGTTTATGCTCCTTTATCAGTTTGCTGCAGGTTTTTTTTGCAAGGAAATGGTATATCATGAAATTTGTATTACCAGTAAAGAAAGAGAAAAATAGTATCATCCCTTGTTTTTACTCTGCAGCAAAAGTCAGTGAAGTTCTCAGCATCAAATGGAACTGCATCCAACGCATCAACAAGAGAAAGCGCCCCTCCATCAGTGCCCCCATCCAAACCAAACAGACCGCAGCAACAGAAGATGATGAATGGAAGAGCCCCCACCACAGAAGGAGAGAACACAGAAGATATCGATAATAAACCGCCGATCGTTCCACCCAGGAGGATACGAAATGAATTCTTAGAACCACCGCCCCAGCAAGCTAGCAATGGACTTCCTCCAACACCAAAAGTCACTGTGAGTCTCCAGTTTGATTACTGTATAGTTATTTACAACCTGTTCTTATCCTGCAATGCTATGTAGCTTCAATTGATCCTTCCTATCATTGATAGGTTCTACTTTGTTCTGGGTATTCTAAGCTCACTTGGTTTATTAAAATTGGGTAATAAAGTAAAATACACAATAAACCTACTAAATAAAGATGGGGGTAAATCTAGTATGAAATTATTGATCATTAATTGGTTTGTTTCGTGGATAAGAAAACAAATTGTAAAAAGCAATTCTTTGTAATCTTATAGTATTGCATATGTAATTTATTACTTGTATTAGTCTTAATTACTAAGGAAAAGCCTAGATCCTATTGTGTAATAAGCAATATAGGACTGATATTTGATGTGAAAGTAAACCGAAACAGAATTTGAACTATAGTCAAAGAAGAATATGTAGTAGGATTTCATAGCAGGAAAACCAATGCAAATTTTTTTATTTCACCAAATGATATCCAAGTGTGGAAAAGACGTACTCCTTAAGTAGAATAAAGCTACATAAAAGTAGTCTTTCAATAAGTTTTTACATTTAGAAGATTTTTTTCTTTCTTAAGAAAGTCATTATCTACAGGTAGTTGCGTATATTTTATTCAATTATCAAAGACATATTCTGGTTTTAATGAGAACAATATATCCCTTCTCTACGACCTAGAAGCAAAAAGGGCCCTGTCAATGACTGTAGTTAATTATTGTTAGGCATGCTGTGAAATGTCATTCAAAGAAATATGTGATGTCTACATTTAATAGATATTTGTGACCAATGGTTGTATTTGTATTCATTTCTAGATGGGAGCTTGTTTCTCCAAGGTCTTCAATGAGTGTCCATTAGTTATACATTGTTCAGCAAGCTGGGTTCATCCAGAAACAAGAGGTATGCAAATGTCTTTTAGTTGATTAAAAAGCCATGTGTTGTCAATAGATACATTGAAATTATAATTCAAGAAAATGTTATTTCTCTATTTTATAGAGTTGTATTATATAAATGTAAGCTGTCATTGATAATCTTGTAGAAATCTAAATAGATTAGTATAGATCAAGCAGTTTAAAATTTAAACAAACAATGGAGATTCATAGCACATTTGCATCAGTATTAAAATGGAAAATTTTCAAGTTCAGTTTTATGTTTAAAATAGGAAGTCCAATACTTGTGATTACACCTAAAATAATACATTTATACCTTCACATGATGAATATTTTTGTTGAAGCTTACTTTAGTCTTAGTGATAGGGATATATCTTCATTTCTTTTGTTACAGATCAGTACATTATATTTGGTTGTGATGAGGGTATCTACATGTTCAACCTCACTCAAATTCATGAAGGTGCTATGGACCAGGTGAGACCTCATTTATTTTATTTTGACAAGATTAGAGATACAGAGACATAGTGAGGAAAGAAGAGAAGGGTGGAGTTGAAGGAAGGAATTCCTTGAATGCTGTGAGCGCCGAAATCGGCTGCCTAGCAGAGCCGGGGTAATAGTTGAAGCGCCTTGAGCACCATGCATTGTGGATATGTGCGCTATATAAATATCCAATATTATTATTATTTTATTAAAAGGAACAATGCAAATAGGAATCAGGAGAAAAGAAGAATGCAAATTGAAAGGGAGAAAGCGAAAAAGAGATAGAAGTGAGGAAGAGAGGGGAGGGTAGGTTAAAGGAAAAGAAAGGTTCAGAAACCAGGAGAATATGTTATTAACTAAATGCAGATATTGAAGTACTAAGTACTTTGAATAATAAGTTGCACTCTATGTTTCAGTTTCAGAGATAATGGGTCAAGTTAATGAGAGTTTGCCAAGATGTTGTAGGTACAAATTACCAATATAGCAGTTTAGGATCTACATTTAAAATCATAAGTGGTTTAAATAGGTTCTTAAAGAGAAGGTTGAGTTCTGGGAAGAGGTGAAAAATAATTTGTGAGCGTTATCATTCTTATTATGCAAGTGTGGAAGAACATCAGATGAGACATTTTCCCTGAAAAGAATGGCTCTTCAAATGCCTTCATATTCAAAATATGTCATGTAAAATCGTAAAACTCGGGGGTGGGATTTTTACGCCACATGTTCGTGTAGTCCCATATACATCTTTCTGTGTACAGTGTTTGTAACTTTACCAAGACTTGGCCAAATTTCTTATCATTTTGATGATTCCAGAACCTTGCAATACACACAAATTCTTATATGCTAGATGATAAACCTTTTCTGGTCGATTCCACACCTTTTCTTTCACAATGCAATCGCATGACCAGAACTCAACTTCATCTTTAATCTATTAAAATGAGTTCAATTTTCTTTCACTTTATAAGATTCAAATATTAGTTTTTAAAAAATTACAAAAGACTTACTAAGGTGTCTTATTCATCTTCATTATCTACGTGTTTAGACCAATCTGTCAAGCAAACACTCCTTGATATACTGTATGTTTGTATACTTTTTTGTGCAGATGTTTCCTCGGAAAACAACATGGTTATATATCATCAACAATATCATGATGTCATTATCAGGTAATTTATTGTAAACAGACCATGGACAAATTGGAATTCTTGAATCTGATCCCCAGGAGCCTCTTTGTAGTGCAATGCATTGCTCAGTTTGAATGCTTTTGGTTGTACGGATGGGATTTCCTTGTTCAGAGAGTTCCTTATGACTTGTTTATGTTTGAAAAATGAAGTGTGATCTTTAACAATTGGAGAACAGTAAAAACTATCAGCAAATGATACTTCATTCCATCCAAGAGTGTTTATTTATTTATTTATTTCTGATATTTAGACATGGTGACTCATTATCACCAATAATGGTGGTCTTCCATGAGGCCCTGTTAAACATAATGAGGTACATTATAATTTAACAAATATATATATATGATAATAATATTAGTAACAAAATCTTGAACATAAATTCATAACAGCAATAAATAAATAAATAAATATATTATCATCACATATTCTTATTATTTTCCCTTATCTCTACCTTTCCTACATGTAAATATGATAATTACTTGTACTTCAAGATATTCTTATGATATATATTTCCCCTTCCTTCTCCTTCCTTCTCCTTCCTTCTCCTTTATCATGACTGGTGCTGTAGGCAAGAACCCCAGTATCTACCAACACAACCTGGTTGCATTGGTGGATAAGAACCCTCATAGGTTTCACATGCCAAGCAGATTTGGTGAGAAGCTCCAGAGAATACCAGACAAGCTAGTACCTAGGAAGTTTGCACTCAGTCATAAAGTACCAGACACAAAAGGCTGTACAAAGTGTTGTGTTGGTAAGTCAAGATGCTAGGTTAGATGTATAGATATTTCAAAAGAAAAAACAAATTAAAGACATTTTTATCAGTCATTTTCATTGGATGAATATATGTTGTTTTTTTTGTATTGTGGTTACCAATTTTGAGGTCTTGTATTCAAGTTGTTATGATTTAATTCATTGAAACCAAAGTATGTGAAGGGTGAAACTATAGTTTCTATATTCAACTTTGTATTTTATAAGGAAATAAAAGTATTTATTAAAAATATATTTGTCCTTGGAAATAGGGAACTCAGTCAACATTCCAACTTCTAGTTATAGAAAATTGTTCATTGATTCCCGTATTTATAACTCTTTGACAAAATAATGTTAAAGGAGAGGTCAATTTCTATCTACATTAAAACTGATTGACATGGTGAAATCCATGCTTGTAGATTCCTGGTTGATAATTCATTTCTGTATTGGGTGCCTTTAATACTTAGATGTTCAGTATTGTCAGTTTTTGTTTTTTATATTTACATGGCAGCTTGTCATTCCATCTTGTTTACAATAAGAATATTAATTTAATTTATATATTTTGTGACTAGACACATTTTGAATGATCTGTAAAGGTGATCTGTCATTGTTATCAATTCACATGGTAATACTTTATCATTCACTGAAACTAAGTAGGTTTCAATTGAAGTGTTATATTTGTCTTTTATTCATTTCAAAGTCAGGAAATTATTTAATGTTAGTTTTGAAAGTGGTATATATTCATAACCATTGCATCAATCTGTTGACTATAATCTCTCTCTCTCTCTCTCTGTTTCTCTCTCTGTTTCTCTCTATCTCTTGTTACTTTCAAACAGTGAGGAATCCATACAATAGTCATAAGTACTTATGTGGAGCTCTGCCTGCGGGTGTGGTATTACTGCAGTGGTATGAACCCATGAACAAGTTCTTACAAGTAAAGGTGGGTACAGCATGCAGTATGATCATATCATAGAGATTACTTTCAAATGACCATTGGCATCAAAGAAAACTTAACTGTATCTATAGTATAGACAACAATTGCAACTATCATGTTATAATGTATTCCATTGTTGATAATTCATTCACATAAACAGTTATTATTATGTTGTGTGTGTGAATAGAGAGGTTTGTAAAAGTGGAAATCCTGATGAACCCTGCAGAACATGGCATTTTATTATTGGAAATGAAATGGAAAGTGATTACTTATGCTAAGAGTAATTTGGAACATAAGTCTACTCAATCAGTAGTATGACAGTTCAGGCCAAATCATGTAAAAATCTTCTTTTCTCAACATAAGTGTTTCTTTTTACTTCAGGCTCCATTTCTATAGAATATATTCAACTTTGGAAATGTTTGTACTTGTGTGTTTTTAGGTGTTTGACTGTCCACTGCCACCAGAGATCAAGGTATTTGAAATGCTCATCAAACCGGATGCCGAATTCCCTATTGTGTGTGTTGGAGTAGCAAGAGGGTAAGTACATCAAATGCAGCATAATAAGGACTAAATATTTCCTGGTTGTTTGTGATGCTTTACAGCTATGTCGTAAAATACAGTTTAGACGAATTACATACCTTGATGCAATATTACTGAACACTTTTTTTTTTTACTTTGAAAGTGTTGTTTTGCTGAATGTTTGTTACATATTTCTGTTTTGTGAAATATTTAAGTAATGACTAATACTTAAAAGGGATCTGGTAACTTTGTCTCAGATTCTGACACAAAATTCTGGATTTAGCTCATGCTGCAATGATAATTATAAACCTTTAGGTCAGTCTGGAACCCCATGACTTTTACAAACTGATCGCCTGAGCGATTATCAAGATATTTATGATTGGAAATCAAAACCAAATTTTGCGTTTGCCTAATGGTTTTCATAACACTATAGTCTATTGGGAAAATGAGTATGGTAAAAGCGGTCACTCAAAGATTTTTACTTTTTTGAGGCACTTCTTGATCATTTTGAAGCACAATTTTTTTAGGGCTTCAATATTACACCATATCACAGACACTGATAATACCTAGGGCCGTGTATCTCATATGTAACATCGTTAAACGATCCCTTTAACTGAATACTCTTAGTCATCATGGATTTAGAAGTACATACTACACTTTTTATGAGCTGCCATTTGTGTTTTCTAAACTTTTAATTTCAGGTTGGACAGGTCACACCTAACGTTTGACGTTGTAAATCTGAACTCAACGAGCAGCTGGTTTGTAGAGCACCCTCCGACGGAGAAGCTTCTCGACGTCGTATGTGTGTCTCAGATCGAACGAGACACTGTCCTGGTCTGCTTCGACAGTGAGCATGCATCGGCCAAGCTCCGCGGTAGCATACATTCCGGCAGCAGACCTATGCACTTAGATACTGCTGCTCTTTCCTATCAATTTCATGCTGCTTCATTTATGATTTTGCATGATATTATGCTGCTTAATGCTACATTGGGGTCTCCTTTCCTGTATGATTGATATTCCATGTAGTAGTGGTCATATACAGGTCTTTCAAGTCACCTACCATTTTGACCTTTTCTTTACTAAAAATTCACTTTTTCATCATAAGCATTTGAAAAGAGGTGTTGTATATTGTGCATAGCATAATATGCATAATTTTAAACTGATTTTCCATGGCTTTTAAAACCTCACAGGGCCCAATTTCACAAAGCTTAGCAATTGATTGTACGATTGATTTTTGCAATTGATAGCATTAACCACTATGTGCAATCAATCACAAAAATCAAGATCTTGTGCCATTTAATAGTATCCAAATGATCAAAATGATCTCATCAAAGAACCTAAGCAATGCAAGTTATTTTGTGGAGAAGAATTTTTTTCTCTTTGCTTCGGCAATAGGAAGAGAAAGTGGGAAACACCTTTGTTAATGAGTTGGTGTAGGAAGGGATGACTTTCTGAAAATAAGAAGAAAGTAAGAATTGTATGACAGATACATGATAGAGGAGAGCACCCCCAATGTAAATCTAATTGTAATAGCTGACACCATCCTTATCCATCCTGCATGATACCAAGACCATCTGATGATTTCTTTTATTATTTTATCATTCATGCATGCTTTATTTGATTCACATTTCATTCAACAATATCTTATTCCATACCCCTTTAATAGCGTATTTAGCATTTTTCTGTCATGTGTTTTTTGTAAGATCACAGACGATATCCCTAGAATATGAAGTTATCATGGTAGACCCTCCCTACAATCATTCATATCATGCTTATTACCTATTACATTCTTTTTGCATTCCTACTATTTTCAATATTAATACAGCTTCTAACAGTCTTTGAAATGCAATTAAAGCACCCATTTATAATACATTTCATTTCCCTCCCCTCAGAAGACTGGCATGTATTAACTATTAGGCTATATTAAAGCGACAATGCTCTCATGAAAATTACATTTGAGAAGAAAAAAATAACCAATTATTTCAATTCTTTGCAAAAGAGCAGTTGTTCATTAACTTATCAAATGAAACAACATTGGTAAAAGAATGTAGACTTTTATATTTGCAAAAACAATAAACATCATCCAAATACTTCTCCCAAGAAAATAGATCTTTAATTCATCATCCATCCATAAAGCAAAAAAATATTTTAGAAAAAAAGAACTCATGATCAAATGTATCTGGTAGAATCAGTGGAAATTAAGGATGTCAGCTTTTACTGCAGCAGCAGTAGGACAAGAAAGGTCTATTGTCTAACAGTGCATGTTACCACGGAGCTTGCCCCTTTTTTGTTTGCATTTTTGTTTTACATTCCATATTTAAGTTAATTATATAAGTTTCACATTCTATCACTTTTCGATTTTATGTGTTTCAGTGGGAGTAATATATACATTATTGTATTACTTCACAAGTATACCATTTTATACATAAATCATACCACATGGTTGACGTGATGGTATGGATATTTTACCATACTTGTACGACCTATATACAATATTGTGTACAATCTTTACACAGCTGCAACGTTCTTCACTATTTTCTTTCAATTGTTGAGTTATCTTCTTTTTTTTTTGTACCAGTTGAATTAAATAAATTCTCCATACCAAAGTTTAAAAAAGCAAATACAAAAACATTTATTCTTCAAGCATGCACCCTAAGGCTTAGGAATGGATGACTAAAAACCAATACTGATCACAAGATTAGTTCATTTATATTATGTTATGGGTAATACATGTCTTAACTGAATAAGGGTTGACATTGAGACAGCTAGCACCATTGCTAAAGATGTGCCCACTTTACCATGATCCTATTATTCTCCTCTTCCATCCCACTGAAGGTGAAGTGAAGGTCGTTAACCTGAACGGCAGACCGAGGAACAGCAAGAAACTGCTGACTGAACTGCACTTTGACTTTGCTGTGGACAAACTAGTAGTACTACAAGACAGTGTGCTGGCCTTCCATCGGCATGGCATGCAGGGAAGAAGCTTCAGGTCAAATGAGGTGAGGTCACACCTCATTGTACAACTCACTCCATCAGCATATTTTTGGTGCACTTTCATAAAAATGCAGTCTTTTTCATTTAATTGAAATGCATTTTTGTGATAAACTGTAAATGCCAGAACCATGGAGTTTTGGTACGATGTATTCAGTACATAGTTTCAAATATATAGTTTAATTTTGTTGAACTATTATTAAAATGCCAGAAAGAAAGTATCCATCTTAAACCACCAATTGATAATGGTGGTAATTTTTCTATTTGCCATGTATATAACAAAATGAAACATTTGCATTTAGTTTTACTGATAAGATTGTTGATGTAAGATTCTATATTATAATATAGTAATGATCTATTGTATAATATTAATACTCCTTTAACAAAGCTTATTTAGGAGAGGAAAAACTGACTAGAAATTGTTTTTATTGATCGTTTGTTTTCAGGTGACGCAAGAGATCTGTGATAAGAGCAAGCTGTTCACCCTACTTGGCCATGAGAAGCTCACTGTACTCAAGAGTCATCCCCTCTCTGATCCTACTGCACCATGCAATATCTATCTACTCACAGGCCATGCTAACATGATGTGAAGAACACGCCTACATTGTGCACCGCCTGATGAGGCACGCAAATATATAATGTGAACATTTTGTTTGAACATTCTGCTTCCCATCAGGAGGACACATAGTCAGTGTGATGCATTGAATGTGCACTGGTCAGCAGATAGACATGTTACGTCTAGGATGGACATGATAGTGGATTAACATGATGATGACGGAGTGATGAGAGAGAGAGGAACTGTTAGGCCTAGAAGCCATTGTGTGTGAGAATGGAGTCATTCTTAGCAGCAGCTGGACAATGCTAGACGATGATGCTCTTTCTGTGCCCTTGAGGAAGGAATGTATGCCTGGAGAATGCTGGTTTATTGAGAGCTATGGAGCTCAGTCAAGATGATATCATCCCATCCCTCCTCTATATCATTTCTTCATTGCAGGGTTTGACTTTGAAATCCCAAGCATTTCATACATTGTAAAATCTTGTAACTGTAACAGAAAGTATATTGTACATGAGGTTTGTTTTACTGGCTAGAGTAAATTATAACATATACTATATTGCTATTCATGACATACCTAAACCAACAGTAAATGATGTAGAAGACATTGTCAAAATGGAAGCCCTTTATCAATTCTTTGGAAAATACATTGCATATATACTGTTCCTACGGAGGCATTTTGATGTTATACTAGGGTCCGATATTGTAGACATTTTGATTGCTGTCTCTCTGAATAAACTTGCTGAAATATGATCCTATTGCTCTAATAAATCTGTAAATTGCATGTTTATCCGAAAAGAAAAGGTAACTGATGGCTTATCAGAAGCTAGTCAACTGCTCAAATACATAGTTATGATTGATGATGACAAGAATGAGTTCTTTTCCAATAACATCCCTATTTGAATAGATGCTGTATAGACAGCATGAGTTTTTGATTTAAGGCTTTAATTTTCCCTTGGGTTGCGGCAGATGAATATAACAAGTGTTAAGAATTAGCTGATAACTGTTCTACCTTTGGATATAAAAGGATATGAAGTAGCATGCTGCACAAAGGAGCACAATAAAAATATTACTTAGACAAATAGATTTGATTTTCCTTCTATTAAAGTGGCCCTATGTTTTAGCCATTATCAAGGAGAAGAAAGCAACAAAGAAGTGTCACTCTTCAGGTATTGATCAGAATAGTAAACTAAAATGGAAAGCTCTTTCAGACTTTTCTGTGGTCAGTTCATAGACATATAACATCATTACATGAAGTTTCTCTGTACCATGTACAAGTACTGCAAGATTTTGGAAATATGTACACTTTACTTTGGTATTGGAGAGATAAACAGTACATAAATGAGAATGAATTGGCTATTATTCAATACTTATACAATCTATCATTTCCCATTTGTCTGTATATTTGTGTGAATGTGTTACCCACATTACCTAGTGATTAGTGTTAACCTTGGTATGTTCACACATGAGGCTGGAAGCTGCTGCACTGTTGTTGTTTTCCTTCTAACATGTAAATGACAATTGAAGATAAACAAAGTATCTGCTCAACAAAGGTCCTGTTTATACTCAATATCTGTCAGATATAGGATACAGAAATGTGAAATATTTAGTGCGTCACTTGCGTCATTATTAAAACAAAACAAAATGCTGCAGTTTGCTGCCTCATATGTGTACAAGCTTTTAGTGTCAGCCTTCAGTTTAATATGGTGTATCCTTTTATGACAGAAATTTTGCCCTGTAATTGTTCAATTTATTCTCCTTTGTGTCAGCGCAAAAACCAATCCAATCCTGATTTTTGTGAAAGTATACATATCTATTCATCTTTGCCTTCCAATGTATTGTAATTAATTTTTTTAAACCAACTATCTTTTTTTTCTTCATATAAATTGTAGGGTTCTATCTATGCATTTTTCACACAAGGACTTTTCTTCTTCCAGTTCAATAAGGATGCTTAATAGGTAATAGGAACCAAGAGCTTTGTTTTTAAAAAATGAACAGTTTGTTGGTTGACTGTCTCCCACAATGTGCACCAACAAATGTCTCTTCGAAGCCATTTCCATCTGCATACCCTATTTGTAAAAATGACAATCAAAAATTTAAAGAAAAAAAAAGAGTATATTATTATTGTCCTGCACATTATTTTATTCCTTTACCAAAAATAATAAAGTAAGGATAAAGCAGTTTATAAAAAACAGTGAACTTGATAGTTTGCATATGATATTCCTTTGCACAATATTGCACATCTATTTTTAGAATACATTAAGCAAAAAATTCCTTTATTAGTCCTCAAGCCTATTTTTTTTCTGTATTACTACAAACATCTGCTCATTCGCTAATATGAATTTATTCCCCAAATGTAGACATTTTGGGGTAAAATATGTCTGCATTTGTAGAGAACAAACTTTCATATCTGCCCATTATCACAGCATGAATTAAACTTTGAATTATAATTTTTGAATTTCTCTCTGTCGTCCTTTCATTATTTGATAATTTTGATCATTTCTTAAATGCAATATTTGTATATTTTTGCATCAGTTATCTTTGAATTTTGTTAGTGCAAAAGTTTATTATTTCCTTTTGTATGGTAGAATTCCTTCAGCTAATTTAATCATTTCTTTTGAGTTGAATGAAATTGCGATTCACACCTCAGTTATATGTGTACAAGACATGTTGAAATAGTATAGAGTTACTTTTTGAAAGTCATTTGTCTACATGAAATGTAATAATAATGATTAATTTTGAATGTATATTACTGTTTAATGAAAGTACTGTCAATGTTGAATTTTATGATATATCACATTTTAACCAGCAGAGCTATTTCATATGTAGTAAATGTTGATAATTTGGTCTTTTAGAGTATGACACTGCCAAATGGGTTGCGTTCTTACTTTTATCCACTTACACGATATGGCACCTCTTAGCACCTCCAGAATTGCGCCAAAGATTTATTCATTTTTTTAAAACCTGTTTTCGTAAATTCCTGTCCCTCTGTTCTCCATTTTAGTTCCTGCTCCCCCATACTTTTTGTTGCTTTCTCCCAGTAAAATGTTGTGCTTGGAAATGAGTAGCTGTATGGGATCCCGGTACCTGTTTCTAAACTTATCTAAAGTTGTATTTGAGGGACAGCATTAAAGAATTTAGGATGAATGGCTTATCTGGCAGCATTAGCTCATTGATTGAATTCACTGCTCTCTTCACTTCGCTATAGTACATGTACCTTTTTTGCTACATTACTGGGTTTCATTTAGATCCATAAAACCATTCATATGGGTTCATTACAAAAATACTTTATTAGCAAGCAATGTATGTACTTTATAAACTATGTTAGATCCTGGTGATAAAAAGTAGAGTCTATAGTAATGTTAAAGAATATACAATTTTTCAATATTGTAGCACCTGTTGCAATTCAAAATTCAATCACTAGGTGTTTATGTGCATATTATTTATGATTAGAAGTTGTTGTTTTAATGATTCAATGACTAAATTTGCAACATCTGCTCACGGTATGCGTTCTTATATAGCACTGTAGAACATCAATACAGAAGAATGCTTTGGGGTTTTTTTTTAATGGGCATTCGCATTTTCTTTGAAGGTTATGAATTTGCATGTATTTAAACAAGAGATGATTATTGCAAAATTGAAACAGAACTGCACAATCAATGATACTTTACCTGATGTATATTCCTTGTTCAGAAAGTCTTCCTGGCATATGATTGTTTTTAGAAATGCTTTATATCACATTCTTTAGTAAAGGTCTGAATATAGTATGTACAAGATTCAATGTCGAAGACACGTTTGTTCCATGTAATGCATTCACACATTTTATTATTTAGTTAATATAATTTTCATTTCTCTTGTGATGACTCTTATTTTTGTGTGTGCACCTTCTTGCTGGTATTGAAAGTTCCAACTTGTTCTCATTTTTTTTTGGTCCTTGGTCGCTAGTTGAATGGATAGATAATAATAACTCCTCCACATCGTACCCTTGCAAAAGCAAACTGTCAGTGATTTGTGAATTTATGTGATTATCCTCCGTGAGTGTGAGTAAACTGAACAAAGATGTTTTAAGTGCTAGCTGCGTATTTATGAAAAAGACATGTCAAATCTATTTGATTGTAATGAATGATGGGACCCATCAGCCTTCTATGCTTTGTACATGCTCATGTGTAAATATCTTGTAAATGTGGCATGTATGATGGCACAAATTACATGAGGATATTGTTATTACGAAATACATCTTTTTATACTATTAAAGTACAATAAATTTGAGATGATTTGTATTTAAATTATCACACTTTTGTACAAGTTTTTAGAAATGGACAAGCTAAAACCTATAGATGTTCTATAGGAAGAAAAAAAATCAATTGGTCATGATGCTACACACTTTATAACTTTAAAACAATTTTTGAATTTTTATTAATTTTTGTCAATAAAATCCCTTCCATTTTTCCAAATATAATTACCAAAATACTCCACAAGTTCCTTTGATTTTTCTCTGTATGCTATACTAAAGATAGAACAGGAAGGAATGTGATTTGTAAGAAAGATCTCTCCCATCAATCACTATAGAGTTACAGACTACTATTAATGAATACTACTCTAGATATGATATAATAACTTCAAATTATTGAAAACTTTTTATGAAAGATACAGTATACTATAGATTTATTATTTAACAACAACAGTTACACAATGAATAAATCAAATCTGGGAGATATTCACAGGTTTCAAACAAGCAACACCAGCGCAAAACATTGCTGTTGAGCTGCATGTTTCACCTTGTTTACCTGAGTGCTAAAGTAGAATTATGGTCAAATATGCAAAGGTGATAAATGTGAATTTCAAACTCTTACAAGTACTTTTTAACATGTGTATACATTGTGGCCATAGGGGTGGCTCTTTTGTACACACAATTGTATTGCATTATACAAAATTCAATATTATGAGAATGCAATATCAAGATGTGGCATATGAGTTTAACCATCCATTTCTTTGTAAAATGTTTACTTAACCTATATATATCTTATGTGTGAATAGCTGGAAAAAAGTAACTATTATTGTTCTGTCATCTCAATCAGTTGTACATACAAAAATATTGCTTTAATCAAATTTCTTTCTAATTAAAAGAAGACAAGTTCTGCCATAAAACAGTGTTGTCTTTGATTCATCTTATTTATTCACTCTCTTATAACAGGAAATATGAAACTGAGAAATGAAAATCTGAATTAATTCTAAAAAGGTTTAGACTTCTTTGAGGCTCAAAAGTTAAGCCCCCAGCCTGTTTGAAAGGTTTAAATGTTCATATAATAAGTCCCCCAAAAATGTGAATCTGCAAGTATGTTACCTTGTGGCATTTGAGGTACTTTCCATTATTTGGAACTTTTGATTCCCCCCTTTCTATAAAATTCCTTGTGTGTGAAACTTGTGAGAAGACCATGGTATGACTTAATATTATTATTTTTATTATTTCTTAAGTGCAACCCGGGAAGGGGGGGGGGGATACTCAGATTTGGTTTGGACGGGGGGTGCCGCTCAAGCCTCGAAACCCATACCAATTATAAGGGTTCATTTTTCTCCAAAAAAGACAGACTTTTCAAAATTTTCAGGTGTTTTTCTTTCTGGTGTTTGCATGTCTATACACCCAAGAAAAAAAAATGCAAATTTTGAAAAAACGGATCAATTTTTAATGGTATTTTTGTTAAAAGTGGGACCCATGTTTAGGGATTTTTTTGTGAAAAAGTGACCCATTAGAGCGGCACACCCTGTATGTCTTAATATGTGAGTACACCCCTCCCATCCCCCCCCCCCCCCCAAAGGAGTGCAACATAATTGTGGACAGGCTTTTTTTTTAAGTGAGAAAGTAAAAGGTTCAACATGAAAAAATGAGATGGAGACAGAGACAGAAAGAGTTTGAGAGATATATATATATAAATATATATATGTAGAGAGAGAGAGATAGAGTGAGGGTAATAAAGAGAGGGGACTAGGACGGGGGCAGGCTGCAGGGATATTAACTGATGAGAATTGGGAAAGTAAATTTGAGTGAAATTTTGCAAATATACTTAACAGGCAAACAAAAAACATTGTTCTTGAAAGGGAAACAACATACTCGAATCCTGAAGAAAACAAACTGACCGAGTATACAAGTAATTTCAACAACAACATAACTCTTTTGCAGTTGAAACAAAAAAAGGCCAATTCAGATCTTTTTTCATTTCAGAAAGTTTAGGGCGAATGTACCGATAAGATTACGAAAAATGTATCAAAATACAGTATACTGTTCACGATTGATTGATTGTTTACCAAAGCACGCTTCGTTGAATGGTCGGCAGGAGTGCCACAGGCGGCTTTGCGTTGCTATGACGTCATGCTTCATTGACAACACACACGTACACATGACTTTGTATTGAATTATACGGTAAATGTCCGACTCCATGTAAATGCGCTATGTGCTGGTTAGGCATTATGCTATGAAACCAATCTGTACATGTTGACGGTAACGTAAGTACATGCGAGTGCGCGACGACTCCAAGAACGACGATGGGGTAAGGTGCAAACTTTTGTAACTTTTTATGTTAGTTTAAAGCTATGATATATACTGGCTGTAATGAGATAAATGAAGAGAGAATGTATTCAGGTTATTATTTGTATTGTATCAGCTTTTAACGAAATTTACCAAATCTTAAACGTCTCGAGAAATGTTAAAAGTTATAACTTTCATCTTCTCCAGTGACGGTGACGTGTGCCTGGATGTTCCGCCGAGTCGGGACCCACCACGGTGGCGGATAGGTGGCCAGCCAGCCTTTATTCAATATCGGAGTGACTGATTTTTAGAGAAGCCTCACCCGAACCCTAGTGTTAAGAGGCAATAAATTGATAAAGTCTGCGCACTAAATTTGTAAATTCTTTGTGTTTTAGGAGGATAATGTATCTCATGATAGTGTAAAGCGTTGATGAGTCTAGGCTAGACTAAAACTGTAAAACTAAAATCACTAGACCATAGATCTAGATCGATCTAGGTCTAGACTAATGTCTACTTTTTTGCATCTCTGTCCGAATTCTGATATTTTCATATGGCAGTTGTGCATGTTCTGAATCTGAAATAACACAGCTCAACACTCCTGATGGAGTAAAAATGCTTAGGAATGCCATTATCAATTGTAAATAAATCTGATTTTAGGTTGGGTATTCAATATAGATCTAGTCTAGAGTCTAGATTAATTGTACATTTTAGATTTATTTTATTGTTTACTTCAGCCGCGCCTCAGACATCATGAAATTTTAGTAGAGCATTCTTTGTTCTGCTTGTAAGTGGTACCAATTGTCAATTTGTTACACAAACATCAGCTCTTTTTTTTTCTTTCTACATGTACACTCCAGTCAGAGGCATATAAAGAAATACCATCTAGGTCTATATGTCTGACCGACATTTACAAAAATGATTTGATGAAATCTGACCCCAAAAATGGAAAAGAAAAATATAAGGAACAAAATAAGTGGCATGTAATTACAAAAGTTTTATATTAAGAAAATGGTAGAGTTGCTAAGGATGCTTGCCCTTTTCCCCTTCAAATTACAGCTTATAATTTACATCAAAACCAAGTGTGATGATGTATATTCATCAGAGATACACAAGGCTGAATTTGTTTGATTTGAAATAAATAAATTCCCAATTCGTAAAGGTTAAAAATATTGAGTTGCCTACTTTTGTACTGTCGCCTTGATTCTTTATCCTCTGGAAAAGGCTCTATGTAAACCCTCTTCTTCTCCTCCTTCTTCTTCTCCTTCTTTTGCTTCATCTGCTTCTTCTCCTTCTTTTGCTTCATCTGCTTCTTCTTCTTCTTTTGCTTCATCTGCTTCATCTTCTTAATTGCCATTAGTTTTATTATCATATCATTATTATTAGTAGTAGTAGTATTATCATTATTGTTATTATTGTAATTATTATTATTGTTATTGTGTTATTACAATTATTATTATTAATATTATCATAACCATTATTTGTGTTATTTTTGTTATTATCATTGTTGTTTTTGTTATTATTTCTGTTATTATTTTCATTATTATTATATCTTTGAACAAATTTGTAACTTTGTTTCAGCCTTCAAGGACGATGAAACAATAATTAATCAGATTAAAACCCATTCTAGTTTATTGGTTCCATGCTAATGGAATTAGAATACTGTACATCGTTGTTTGAGAGTGATCATAAAAGCGAAGATCTGTGTGATATATTTGTACAAGACTAGATAATGGGAAATTTGATTAAGTTTATTTGCTTTCATACCAATACTGTCATCTTTATCTTACTGCTTATATTAAGTGAGGAGGGGGGGACCTTGAAGCACTTGCACATTGTGAATAATATCTTTCTACAAAAATATAATTTGTGTATACTAAGAAATTCAGTTCCCTCTTGAGTTTTAAACATGAATTTGCTCTGTCAACATTGTTACTTGACGATTTTTAGCATGTCTGAAACAAAATGCTATTTAGTGGATTATCAACTTAATGTGGTTGACTGACATGAAATGAATTTATTCTCACTGACTGAAATCTAAATTTTTGAATAATAAAACAGCAAAGTAAAGAAAATCATAATGTTTTGTATTTTTCCAGGTCCCAGGGAACAAGAATGATGCTTCAGTGAAATATGTGAAAAACATTGGAAAATTGCTTGTAAATATGAAACTGACATCAGATCTCTGAGATTCCGGCAACCACTCCAATCAACCTGGAGGCAAATATACAAGAATAGAATAACACAACACCATAAAGAAAGGGGGAAAAGAAGCAAGAACACTGACAGAAAAAAAAAATAAAAGAGAAATGCACAAAGTGAGTTTCAGTGCAGCAATAGAAATTAGATGCTTGGAGGCAAAGATCCTCTTCACAGAGAGAGCGACATCACTCAGGAGCAGGTTTCTCATGCTATTCATTATCAGCTCAGATCGTATTCATCCACTAGGGTAGCTGCGGCACAATGAAAGAGGCGTAAAAGCAAGGATTGAATATCACCACTTTGGATTTGACGCTGTGCACCAACAGGAATGATTGACTGCTCTACCTTTGATATTGGTATCTTGTACTCGAGACTCAAGATTTATTCTGGTCCTTTTGCATCATTCTGAGGATATATGTTTGTATTTGAGGATGCCTTTATATTTTGGGATGCATGGCTTACAGCTAACTGCACATACTCCATAAATAACTTCACATATTCTTCTGGGCTCACATATGTTTGGTAGTGATCTTTGAGTTAGTTTGTTCTTCATGCCTCCAACCTAGCTGTATTGCCAATTTGCCATGATGAAAAGTGTGGAACCCAATGCAGATCTTCCTCCTGCCAACTCTAGCACCATGCTGACCTACAGTGCGCTGCCAGTCAGAAGGCCCTATCATCAGGCAAGGGAATCACCTAGAAATATGACGGGTGTCTATCTCTCCCAGGTAAGTTCTTCATATTCCTGCTTTAAAAGAAACTGAATAGTGTAGTCAATTTTTTTTCATTTTCAATTGAATTGAGATCTTATAAAGTTTGATATGTACCGTATGTAAACTTATATAGTAAGACTTTGTCTTAAGATGTTGTATGAAATCTCCTGAAACTTGAAAGGGTCAGCTTTTGGACAAATCAATAGAAAAATTATTCTGCATATTGTATCATGTACACATAGAAATGTTGCATACATGGATCATTTGGAGAGTAATGTAATCAGATTTTAACTCAAAGTCCTAGTAATTGAGCTATCATAGATATTTTTGTTCTTAAATGTAACATACAGTATGACATTGATTTTACCATCATATTTGTTACTTTGGCTTTATAGTGTATTACAGAATCAAATCAAAATGTAAGTGAAAAAAAACTTATTCAATATTCATGTGGGTATACTGCGGCATGAGTGACACCAGTACATCTATTTTTTGTACTATTTCATCTTTTTCTTGGGACATCACCTTTTTGTTGTGTATTTGGCACTTCCTACGATGGGCGTACACTATTCAGATCTCTTTACTTTTATTGCTGATAGTCGAGCAATATATGTTAAACTTTTGAGATCGTTATACATGTATATACAGCACCTCTTATAATTATATAACAAGTGATATATTGAACTTGTAAATCTTCAAAATATAGTATTAAATATACCCTTGAAAAATTAAGTTTAGGGGTATGTCTGTAAATTAATCAATATCAATTAAACATTTATAATCAAACAGAAAAATATACATGTAAGTTTAAAAAGAAAAATGCTCAAATGAACCCTTTATTATCAAACCTTTGGTGTACACATGGGACAAAGTACATATGCTGTATTTGTTTCTCATATTTGTTCGGTGCGAAGATCAAGAATTGTGCGAGATAAATAAGTGATTAATGACAGCTTTTTTTTGATAGCCAGCTTGTTTGTACTAAACAAACCTGGTCAAATTGATATCGGGTGACAGATATCTTGAAATATGAGATATTGTCTTCTCTTAGTTTATACAAAGTTTTTTTTTTAATTCTTTTTTATCTTTTCCTTCTTTTCATAGTGTATTTTGTTTTTGCTTTGCTTTAGTGGGCATTTGCACATGTTTTTCCCTGTGGACTTTTTTTGGTGGTGGTTATTATTGTTGGTTTTGTTTGCCTTAAAAAAAATCTTTGCTTGATCAGTAAATAGAGTAGGCCTACAATAAGTCTACACCAAATGTTCTTATCAACCAGAGTGCAGGGCAATACAAGATGGTAAAGATACAATAATTTAACAAATTAAAAAACATTAAAAAAAAAACTACATGCATATCAAACAAGTAATGTCATTTGAAGAATATGATTGAAGAATATACTGCATTATAATTAAAATTGTATTTCTTCTGTATTTATTAGTTTCTTTTGCAATTTTATGTTTTGTATACATGTATGTAAACTATGTATTTCAAATAAAATTGTATTGAAAAAAGTGACACATCGCTACTGATCATAGAACCTAATTTCTTTTTGAATGTTTTGGTGCCTACTGAAAAAGAGTAAAAGACATCTTTGATTTTAGTATGAATTTCACAATGAATTGGCAGGATTTGTATGTTTTGTCCAATCTACATGTACATGTATACTGATGATCTTCTTTTGTTTGGCATAGTGTTGGTTCTAGAGGTTGTAAACCTCTTAATCTTTGCCCCCGACTACCAGTATCTCAATAATTGCATAGCAACAAAATGCTAAAAGAGGGTCCACTGTTATTTTGATATATTTTATGTCTTAAAAATTTATAGTGTAAAGAATTATCAAATGGGAATCCAAGTACAATATAAATAGTTCCACAATATGAATGATTTCCAAAAGTGTGCTTGCATATTTTACCTACTTTAGGCCTTAGTTTTGGCATATGCTGTTTTACACTTAGCCCTATATTAGCACTGTTGTAACCAAAAAAGAAAAAACAGTATAGGCCTATCTGTACATCTACCACTTTTTATTCATAATTATCTTGTTATGAAATATGATATTGGTTTGATACAGCACCATTATTTTATCCTCCATATCTCACTTTCAAGTATTATACATACATATTAATCAGAGTGAAGCCTGTTGAATACAAAAGTATTTAAATACCTGATTTAGCATTTATAGATTTTGAAGTGTCAAGTTAAAATTGAAAAAGAGATGGGGCACACATGTTAAAAAATGGATACTGAGGGTCTACATTTTGTAGGCATGACAATAATTTGTAATGTCTGTTTTGTATTAAAAATTAAACATAATAGTCCCTTGCATAAACTCTAGTAAGATGGTTGACCTAATCCTCAAGTGTTCATAGCACTGTACAGTACATGTAGAAAAGGAAAGTGAAAGCTTGCAAGAGGTACATATAATATACCAAATATTATTCAGGTCCAGCCAAGCTAGTCACTGTGTAGCTTCAAAGCTTAGAATAATCACAGCATGCCCTCAACAATATTACCCCCTGGATGGCTGTCAATCAGTTAATGTGTCACCAGTCAGAGGTCAAAGATTATATCAAATATGACCTTCTTCCATAACAGAATCACAGCACACTGAATTTTGAGCAGCAGTGGCTTGTAAAAATATCATGCTCATTTTAGCAGTTTATAGCAATTGTATTCATAAAGGCTTTTGACTTTTCAATTTGTACTTTGTAGAATGTTGATTTCTAAACTGATATCTTTTTTTCTGTCCCAGTTCTAAAACACCATATATTTTGTTGGTAAACTTTATCATATGATTATTATGTTATTAAACTAAGCATTTGTCTAGGTGAAAATCTAGTCTAAATAAAGTTTTAGTGACATATTTCTTTCTCTTAGTAGTATGTATTCTCCTTTTTTTTACAGTGATTGAGATAACAAATAATGTTGCTTGATCTCTCTACCAGATCTTTCTTGTATTCAATGTCTATCATATGCCCCAAACACAAACATATACATGTATATGCATTCATAGGGTAGATAATCAATGTGTGAGATGAGATTTAGTGAAATCAATTTACATGTGGGTGGGTGTGTGTGCGCGCCTACATATTCTGTTTGTTTTGAGAGTTAATTATTTTATCTTCTTATACATGTATGCAAGTTCAAAAGCTACATATCTATAACAGGCTATCAATTGAAATAAAGATGTTAATAATAATGATACTTTTTCTCTGCCATGCAATGTATAGGATCCTTATGGAGTTCCCAGTAACAAGATTCGAGAGCAGCGGATCCCTCCCTTAGCTAAGCCTAGGGGTGTGGTCTATCAACCAAGAACACAACCAGGGTATCAGGGACAGGTAGGTACCTAGACAATTGCACATCATGATACATCATGATACATGTACATAATATGTTGTTGCAAGACAGGTGTACCACCTGTATTCTCTTTCTCCATACCAGAAGGCTGTAACCAATTATAATTTGTGTACCCGAGTCAGCTTGGACTCATGATGCCATGGATTTGGTTCCTATTCCATTAGAAATTAGTACAAATGGTGATATCAGTTATCTAATAATATATTTTTAAATCTGACACCACATGTTTGAACTTTGAATTTGAGCATGTAAAGCCTTCAGATTGTTATATATTGTTGTAGATTTTAAAGTAAAGCTTGCTACATACATGTATATATATAGTAAACTTATTGTAAAGACCCAGTTGCCCTTTTGGAAGGTGTGATGTGTTTTAGAACAATGATAGATTTTTTTAAAAGTTATTCTTTCCACTACCTTGCTACTGAACATAACTTGACAGCTAAAAGGGTTTTATATTTGAGTATTATATTTTGGATTGCTCGCTTTGAAATTTACTTGTTCTGACATTGATAACCACCAGGAGCACTTCCCTTTGTGAGGGAATTTCATCAATTTATCAGATGTAGGCATCAACAATGACATTTCAGTAACTTCAAACGTAGGCGAACATACTGTTGGCGGTTGTATTAATTTCCTGCCAGCTTTACTGTTTGAATGCATACTATACTGTCAGCCTGAGGGCTTGCAATTTCAATCTATTATTGAACTTGCACTTTCTTGAACTTTCTATGAAGCTATGCCTAGAATTCGGTGCAGAAAGCAGGTTTGAAATAAAGATTGGAAAGCTGATGAATGAGCTGTCTTTTTCAACATTTACTATCTGAATTTTTGAAATCATTTAATCCGTTGAAAAACATATTTGTCAACAAAAACATAAAAAGTCAAACCAAAGCACTTGCATTGTATACAGGTGTATATGCATTCTGAAATTCATCACACAATGTTCAAGCAAGCTTTTGATAAAATCTGTTTACAGTCAAAGAGTTTCAAAGGATAATCTTGAAATTAACCCTTTTGGCTATGTGCTCTTCTGTAGGGAACAAAGGGGGGAGACGGTCAACGTGCTACGGGACTATGGCAAGTGGGATCCGTTCCAATTTTAGACCCAGATTCAGAACTAGGAACAAGACTTAATATTATAGTTACCAGTAACAGAATACATAAGGGTGAAAAATCTCTCACAAAACATTCCAAAGCTGCAGTGTTGTTTGGTGGAAAGCTCCAACATGCCTTGAAATCAGAGATGGTGGAAGAGAGAAAAGCCACACAAGAGTCGTGGAAGATAGGTCTGGGACCTGTCGATAGCACAACCGATGTTGTGAAGCCATATTTCACTGATGATAATTCTGATTTTCATTCCGATTTCCTCTCCCCTAACATTCTGGCTCATCCATTTCAATTCTCCTCACCACCTCCTGCATCTCATTCCTATTGCTATATACCCCCTAACCTACCTTACGCCCCGCCCCTATGGGTGCACCTTCCTACCCCACCCTACCCCAAGCAGCAGAACAGACAAGACCTGATGGTGAGGAGTAGAGGTGAAGCGAAAGCCTTTCAACCACTCCCTATCAAGGTAAGAGCTATATTGATTGCACTGAGTGATCTCTTGCTCCTGGGTGGTGAATGAATATGATATATACAAACCTTGTCAGTTTCACAGGCAAGAACTGAAGGATATAATGTTTTAAAATGTTAGAGTACGTGTCGAAAGGTATTGAAGGCTTTAAAATTGAGATGGTAATGTTTAGAGGATAAAAGAAAGATACTGAAGAAACCTCATACCGTTGGTACAAGTTATAAAAGGACAATGTGCTTTATTTTTCCCCCCATATTATGTGTGGGGAGACTCAGTTGGAATGATATTAAAATGATATTATAGAAACAATTGAACTTTCCTTTTCTTAATATATTACATTTTTTAAGTAGAGAAGGTTGAAGATTGCACACATTATTTTTCAGTACCGGTAGATTATTGCTTTCTGTTTCTACAGTAGGAAATTCTTGTTACATTTCAAGCAGAAGAACTATGTATGTTGATGGACTATAGGTCAGAAATGGTTGAGAGAGGTAGCTTGTAATCTTGTGTAATTGAGTTGTCCATCCAAGAGGCTTTATAGATGAGGTGCTCACTAGTATCCTAGTAACACACTTGAAGAAAAGAACGATACTGGTAGACCTGCATAGTATCTGTGGGCACACTTAAAGCCCTCATACTGTTTACTATTTTCTCCTTTACTGCTTTGAAGACAATAATCCCAGCTTTTATGTTTTAGTCATTGGCTAATTATATATTGCAGGACCCTTTTTTGTTGTTGAAAGATCAAAATTATATTTTTTAAAGACTCAAAAATTGTTATACCTGTACATACTAAATAAAGCGGTTGTTTTATTTAAGATCTAAAAAAACAGGTTTGTTCAGATTTCATAATTCATCGTCCATGATAAATTCTTCAATTCTTTTTATGGACGTCATGCTTTCAAGCAGTGTTTGAAATTCATTGTCTGTCAAGCCTTTTTAAAAACAGTTTCATGTCACTTGAATTAATGTGGTCGGCAAAATGATGGGCAGTTTAAGTTTTGAGGCTCATTTCAATTTCAAAACTGTCATTAAAACCTATCCCATGTATTAAAAGACCAATTGTCATATATAAATCATTTCAAATGGACCACTCAGATCATATCTTTCATCTCTTTCTTTTATTAGAGAGCCAAAGCGAGAGTGCCTCGTCATGAATACCATGGACCATCACCTCACATCCTAAACCCTAAACCAGACTACCATGCTGTCACAAGGTAAGTAAGAAAGAACAAATTCACCATCTAGCAGAACTACCCCCTTTACATATCTTTTTTTATAAGTTTTATTCAAAATGCAGGATAGGAACACTTAGATGAATAAATGTTAGAGTGCACTTTTGGGGGAGTATTTAACAATGTTCAGAGAAACAAATCTTGCGGATAGTGAAATCTTGAAAAAATTTATTCAACCTACTTCATCTCATTTCTTGAATATGAGTAATATAATGTGGGCTTGGTATAAATGTATTTGTTTGTATGAGGTATGTCTAATACAAAGTCTGTATTCACTGAAAGTAATAGCTCATAAATCTCCACAGATATATATATTTATTAAATCAAATCTTGAGTAAGAATTAAATTGAGAAGTTCCTGATAGACATATGAATTCCTAATTGAAACATTATAATTATTAAATCATGCAGAAAATCAGCTCGTAGTCGTGTTCCAGCATCCAACGATGGTGTGACCCATTTTGAAGACCTTCGTTCTAACTCGAGCGGGAACAGCAGTGATAAGACAACTCAGGAATCAGATGTCATTGAGAACATGTTGGATAGTATTAGTCTGACCTCTAAACTAGAGAGTGAGAAGAATCTAGCTGGGCTCGTTGAATGCTACAAGAAGATATGCAAGGTGAGTGGACAGCTAGGAAGAGATGGGTTCATAGGAGAAGATTTGGGAGCTATGATTGAGTTATGAACAACATGTATGTAAGGAGAGTAGACTTCATTTGTTTGGTTGTTCTTGAAGTTGTTGCATGCTTAGAATATGTGCATGATGGATGAAAATGAATACAATATTCCGTAAATGCAAGGAGTGATAGAAATGGCACCGTGAGACAAAGAGAAACATTGCTGAGTGATAAGCCAAACTCATATGATACCTTTAAAAGTTGTTTGTATTTATTTAGATTACTAGTGGATTGTAAATTATATGTCTATGTCTATGCTGTTACTGCTTGAATGTATGAAATAAACAACTTCTGAAGTAGATGATTTCACTTGTACGATCGTACAAGATTTCAATCAGCAATCATTTGCTTTCTTATCCATCTGACTTTGAGCTAATGATGCACACATGTATAACTGCATTCTCTGTTCAGTGATATGCCTCAAACTCAAAGACATTCGATAAGATGAATTGATGATAATGCTTTATCTGTTTTTTCTATTTTTTCATTGCAGGGTAATCCAGCAAGTGTACATAATCTAATGGCGTCAGGAACATCACCAGGTGGGAAACATAGAAAGAATAAAGTACGCAATGGAGCTACACCATTACTTATAAGGTAAGAGCAGCATTCTCCTCTCTTTTGAAGGCATTATTTTAGTCAGGATGCTGTATTCCTTTCTTGACGTCACAATCTGGCATGGTTGATTGGTGAGCAGTTGTCCTGGTAATCTGATTTTCTGGTGTTTCCAAGGAAATAATCTGTATTTGAAGATGTTATTGGTTGAATACCAGCTGCTTTATCAGTTTATATTACGGTGGCCTTGGGGATATGTTTTTTTGTAGTGGTACTACTTGTTTGTTTCAGTGTACAGTAAATACAGCAATTGTATTCCACTGTGTGTTCTTGATTTAAACTAGATACTTCCAAATGACAAAATTTAATTATTCATATGGAAAAACATTGCTTATGAATGGAGGAGAATAATAAAGAATTGTACTTGTGCCCAAATGTATTACATGTATATACATCTCTAATTTATGTTATGATAATCACAATATTCTGTACTTGTGAAGCACATACCCCATTAAATATAACTTCCCTTACTCTCTATGCACTTCCAAAGAGCTTAGGAAATTATTACCCTAGTTTTAGCTCTGGCAACCATTATCAGCGCACAGTGTGTTTCAAGGAGTAATCCTACCTCTCACCTGGGTGGAGTGTGGCTACTGAGGGTAAGAGCTGTGATAGGGATTTGAACCCTGTACCTTGGAATCCACAGTCAGGTAACTTATCCACCTGACCATCTCACCATGTTTCTTTGCAGGAGTTTCCGTAGTCCTCAGCACCCTCATTCAGTGGTGCAGTATTCCAACCCCAGGGATCGTACTGCTTCATCCCCCCATGGTGCTAGCCGTCCACCTGTTCCAGCACCTTACTTCTACAGCAGTAAAGGTTTGCCTCAGACGTCTGATGAAGGTGGAAACAGGGTCAAACTATCAAGGTTACCAGGTATACATGCCAACAATTTGTCCATGATCCGGGTTTTAAAACACACTGAATAATGAAAATATGTAGAAAATGCTAGAGATGTTGATGTGAAAAATTCATTCTTTATGTGTCTGACAGAATTGAGAATAGTGTTATAGTTACCTAATAAATTAACCAGCTATTCTACTAAATTTTGAAGAATCAATTTAAAAAAAAAAAAGAATGTCCCCTGACCCCCAAGAAACGAACAAACACTAAAGAACCATGTCAAGGTGCCTGTGAATCCATCTATATGATTACCTTCATTTAGCATATCTTATAGATGATAATCATAGAACAATGGAGCTGTAATTTGATGGAAATACGACATAAAGGAGACCCATTAATATATTTTCTTATACTTCTTTTTGTGACGTAAGAGATTTTTTGTAATTATACAAAATAGCATCTTTGATATATGTCTATTTGGAGAGTCTTTAATCAACAGCTTTCATTTATTGATTAGAGTGCAAAAGCTAAATCATAATTAGAAGATAAAAAGAAAGAAAGATATGAAGTTTGTTCCTAGGAGGATAGATGACTTTCAAAACAGACAATATTAAAGAGAAGGAAAGTTTACAGACATTGCATTCATATTCACATTAATTTATCCACAGTGTGTGTTAGCTCTATAAAAAAAATGTAAATGGGTCTTTACCATTTGAAACTTTAGTTAGTGTCATTTTAGCTAACATTTATCAAGAATCATTTCTAACCTTTGATAACCTGTGACATTAAAAAAGACATAATGATGTAAACAATTTTATATTTTTATATTAATATCTCAAGTCCCCATTGTCAATTTGATACTTATTTTCTTTGACACATTTTTTGTTCCCCTCAGAATATTTCAACAAAAAGAACTCAAGGAATTTGCCTTTTCCCCTCTCAGTTTGCCTAATGTATTGACATTTTTCCTCTTGGCTATTTTTGTCATTAAAATTTGTATCAAAAGTTTGCTACATGGAAATAGTTGTATCCCGAAGTGGTAAGAAATATCCAAATAGGGACCACTTCCATTTCCCTGATGTAAACACAGTGAATTCCAGAGGTGTGGTGTGACCCCCACAGCAGGCTGTCTTGACCTCCTCCTATGGTATCTTGTAAACAAACCCTTCAATCTTAATCAAAATCTGTTTTCATTTGTTTTCATTCTATCAAGTATCACATCTCACATAGCTTGGGTAATTCTCAACTTATCCCTCAAACTCCCAACTTGTTGTTATTCCAAGGTATTATTAGTATGGCCTTACATTTTCAGGTTTCTTCTGTTTTGCACCCTGATTTCGTATCAAATTTGGGAGTGGTTACAGTTGCACTTTCTACAGCAGTTCTCTAGAAGAAAGGAAGGATTTGCACAGTGGTTTTTAATGGATTAAAACCTTTTATCCTTTTGTATCAAATTTTTGTTTCCACTTGTGTGTCTGTGAGACGAGAGGGTGTTAGTTTTTAATTGAAAACTGGACACTATATTAGATTGGCTGTAAGTGTATGAGAACTCTTTGTCATATGCTTTGCCCTTTGTTTCTCTATTGAGAGTTGTCATGCTTGGCATTGTGATGATGTCTTTGTCAAAGAGATCGCTTTTCAAAATGTTGGATGAGAACTTAACTTCCTTTACTGTGTGTATGCTATTCTTCTTGATTGATAAGGTTGAGGGAGCACAATGAAGTACATCTACTAAATGTTTGTGTGAGATTGGCTTTCATATCAGTAAAAATTATGTTTTCATTTTGGTGATTTGGGTTATAGAAATGTATGCTACTATTTGTATTAAATCAAAAAGAAACAACAGCAGCAACAAACAATATATGGATTAAAGAAAAAACAATACAGCTATGTTTCTATGTAGGTACTATGGATGTACTAAAAAAGTGAATAAGAATAGCACCAAGTTCCAATAAATTAAAGATAATGTTACAAGTCTTTATGGTTACTCAGTTATACTCTGTTAGTTAACAATTTTCTATTTCTGCTATGTAGGTGCTACCTCAAGAGGTTCGGATGCAGTGCTGGCAGCTCCAGGTGCAGGGTCAATATCAAGGTCAAACAGCAGTCGAACAACAGGGTCAAAACTAGCCAATCATAGACCTCCTGATGGTGTAGATGGGATACGCCCACCAAGCCTTCATAGCAATATAAAGATTATTGATTCAGATGCAGTTTATATGATAAAGGTATAGACTCTTATTTTCATTACCTCCTTTTTCTGTTTATTAGTATCAAAACACTGCTTAATTCATCAAAGCTTTGAAGCTTCTATTGAATTACACATTTTTTAGGATTTATTGTTGTAATTTTACAAAAAAAGATTTATACAATCAATTTCTAATCATAAGTCCAGTCTTGATTTCATTCCTACATGAAAACATAAGGTTTCAGCTGATTTACTTCAAAAAAATTTGTATTCAAAGTTTTCTTCCCCTAGATCTTAGAGAAATTCCATGTGACTTTGACATTTTAAAGGCAGGTTTTGTAAATTCTACTCTACATAAATTAATTTGTATTTTCGAGCGTGAATTATTCATTGAAATAATCCTTGACTATATTCATATAAATATGAAGCCAAACAGAGATTACATCATTAGTAATGTTATCTGATTGACAATCATTTCATCATTGATAGGAAAACTTCCATGTTCCAGCAAGTACACCAGTGGCATCTACAGTAGATATTAACAGAATGTCTGAGATTGACCCGACTGAACTTAGATCAACAGGTAGGCTCATCGCCACTTCTTATCAACTTGAGATATACTTGAATATCCCCATTGTATATTAACCCTTTTGTATCACAGTTTCAAACTGTAATTTATTTCGGACACAGTGTTATATGAGTATTGTATGGATAAATTAATACTCAAGACTGACGACAAGTCTCCTAAAACTCATGAATAAAGGGGAATATCCAGGAGCTCTCGATGATAATTGGTGAAGTCATGAATTTCAGCTATATAAAACGGATGGCTCAAGACCGAGGTGCTTGGAGAGACACTTTATGTAAAATTCTGATTTGGTCACTGAACCTGTCATAAACTGACAGATCACTATTGAGATGAGTTAAAATGCCTCAAAGATGCATTGAAGGATGCAAGCATTATCTACACTAAGTTAACTTACCTACTTTCATTGATCTGTGTAAAGAATATTTGCTTGATGATTGTTCTGTCCCTGATGACTTTATCTCAGGGTTTGAGGATTATGGTGTCTTAACACATGCTATTCTTGGTAAAGAGGTTAAAACCTGTTCATGATGTATAAGAAACTTTGCTACCAAACCTTTGTTACAAAACTTTGAGCTCTCATTGTGTCATAATCTCTTAATTTCTTGACATTTGGAGATTATTTTCCACATTTTGAAAAGAATGGTTCTATCCTTGAGAGGTTTGTATCATTCCCTTTTGTCATCCCTCTGACTCTCCAGATTTAAGTCAGAGACATCAAGTCGTCACATTACCCGGCAGTAACATACCAGGCAACACCGCATCCAGCACCACAGGGACCACACCCTTCCCTAATGGCACCTCTGTCGGAGGGGAATTCCCATCATCAGTAACAGGAGACAGTGTGGAGATGGAGAGTGGAGCAGACACTCTAGGGGGCAAGGATTCCATCGGGGAGATGATCAGTTTGTCTATTACTATCTCTGTGGAGGATGATACTGGTCAGATCAATACTATGGATTTAGATGAAGAAGCAGGAATGCAACATACAGGTACTTCAATCATGTTTTCATTGTAGGGTTCAGAATGAGAATAAAAAATTTATATTCAGCACAAAATTTTATAACAAATATTATCAGAAATTGTAGTGGTAACAGTAGCTGTCATAATTTGATCTTTGTTTTGTTCTTTATTGTTTTCATTCCAGAAACTGGAAGCAGTGAAGTTGATGTAAGTGCAAATGAAGTGGCAGAGAAACAGAAGGTAAGATTTATATATATATTATATTTATTACATACAGCACAATGTATTGTAACTTTACACAGTTAATAATATTTTAGTGATTGTAGAAAGAGAATGATTTTTCAATGTTACACCACCAATCAGATGAACCTCTTCAGTGTTCCTGTGGACATCAATGTCAGCGGAGTATTGAATGTTATATTAATATTGCTAGCATTTGATGTTCTAATAACAAAGCTTATCGAAGAATGGTATTATCCTCCATATTTCTGTGACAAGAAAGATGAGGAAAATATGAATTCAATGACAAATAGAAAGGAGATATATTCAAAGAACAGAGTCCCCAAGTTATATGAACTCAAATGAATTCAAGGAAGACATTATTATATTACTGTCATCGTGTCACATACCAAATGTATCCTGTATTTTTTAGTTCATTTCGGTTTCTAATTTTCTTTGTTCAAGATGTCCTTTTTATGCTGTTCATCTACCAGTAATTGGTTGTGCCAGTATGTCTCCTTTGTTGTGCTGATATGATAAATCATGTATTGTTGAAGAAGAAAGACACAAATCTTTTTGTTTGTGTTTTATACCTCAGGAATCGCAAGCCAAGAAGCAGGCTGAGTTAGATCAACTCCTGGAGGAGCATCATCAGATTATCTCACAGATTGAGGAACTAGAGAAGATCAAAGAGGGTAACGGAGACTCACCAAAGCAGGAGGAGGAGGATGAAGAAGAGGAGGCGGCAGAGAATTAATCTTATAAACTTTTCGCTACACCTCAATCATTAAATATACACCCCTCTCTGGTTGGAGTGCGTATGAAGTGTAGTGTACATCCATTGGGTTTTTTGTGTGTGGTCTTGTATTTACACATTCTTACATCAAAGAAAGAATGAAGATGAATGCTGCCATCTAGAGGATGTGTTGTTATAGTATCAGTCAGTTTTCAATGTTAGTGTATTTATGATCAATTCAATCATTTTTTCGTTAATCATGAAAATGTCAGCGTTAGAATTAAATTAAAATATTTGTTAGTATAATTTACAAGTAAAATTCAAAGAGATGTGATTACATTAATCATTTGAATGTTGTTAGTTTTTGTTTTGTTCCATGACATCTTTTTAAATAGACAATTATTGTGAAAATTAGAATTCTCTCTTTCTCTCTCTCTCTCTCTCTCTCTCCCTCCTTCCCCTCTCTCTCTCTCTCTCTCTCTCTCTCTCTCTTCCCCCTCTCTCTCTATGTAACCGTCTTTCTCTTTGAATTTTAGATTTTGAATTGTTTATCTTTAACTATCATCCTTTCTTCACCCCTTTGTTTATCTCTTTTATGCTTTTCAATGTCTCTCTTTAGCACAATATGCTACATATTATGTAGTTTACAACATAATTACTCTATGTTTCTCTTTTTTTCTTTTTTTTTACTGCATAAGGTATCTTTTCCTGTTATGTGTTTCATTGCCCTCTTCATATCAATACTTCTGTTTTATCTGATATCTTAGTAATCTTATTTGTAATGGGAATAGTTTTACATACGTATCTCTGTAGATAGACCTGAAATATTTCACAGACCATCCACAATATCACTGTACTTTTCAGGAATTACATGAATATTTGTACTACAGTAAAACACCTTGGCTTATAACTTCAAAATCAGAATGTATTTTCCTCAAAATTTTAAATCATTCTCAAAGAGTAATTGATGTTCAAAAATACAATAAACTTCAATGCCTATATGTGTCAGAGCAGATTGATGATAATAAAGGGGAAAAAAAGATTGTTGAAATTGGTTCAGTGTTGTATCAACCTTCTCAGTATTAAAATAAGGTAATTAAAGATGTCCCTTTTTATTATGGCGACGTTTAATCTTTTAATATATATGTGTCATTAAGGGAATCTGAATCTCTCTGTATAATCATGGATTGCATGTATTGAGTGCCAATTTTAATTGTTTTGTGTAAATATCATGAATTATTGAATCTACTTAAGAAAAAACACAATCGTACTATGGTAGTGAAATAATCAAAATTCTTTGTTTTAATTTTGGTATAGAGAATTGTGTCTATAATTTGGGAGACCATCAAAACAGAAAAGATGTGTGTGAGAAATATTTTTGTATAATAAAAGTAAGAATAAAATATTGCTTACAACTCTAGATTTGTGTAACGTTTCTGTTGATATACTTATATCTGGCATACCAAAGGTGTCATGAATTGAAGGCCCTTCAAATGGAATTACAAATGATTGCTTTTTTTTAATCGTCAGTCTTGGCTTGTTTGTACTGTATATGTGTACCGGTATTGAATATTTTCATACAGTCACAAACTTTTTAACATACTTCACATATGTATTTGTGTTTAACTAAGTGACATCTTGGGTCAACATTTTCTCTGTAATGAAATACATTAAACATGAAATAATTTTCATATTCTCATCAAGTACTCTGATACTATGTATGTAATAATTTTATTCAAATCATGGACTTCCATCTCGGACATTTTTGTATGAATTTTGGTGGCATTTTTATCTATAAACAATTATTCCTATACATAAGTTTAATCATTCTAACCTGTAATGTGCTAATGATGTATGAATTCCCTGTAATCAAGTACCCATTTTAAATACAGACATAGAAGGGCACTTGGCCAACTTCATAACAATTGCGGAATTGACGATCTAATGTTTTAGCACACTATTTGTCAACAAGATATATGTGCAATTATTCTATACCTTGACCCCAAAAAATTATTGTAAACTTTTTTCAAAACTATCAAACTGTCTTAATAATATAGTTATATTTGGATCATGAGATACATTTAAGTAGATAACATGCTGTTCATTTTTATCTTCTCTTTGGTTAGCGTAATCAAAATATTATGAGTGTGTTGATTCAATCAAGCAAGCAAATAAAATTTAGTTTTAAATGCTATTTAATAATACCCTCTTGCATGAACTGGCTCTGTTTGAATTTCTTTTGTGTTTGTGGATTTTTTTCACTTTTCATTCATCAGTTCATTCAATCTGTTCATGTTTGTGTCCCAAATATTTCAGATTCATATTTTGCCATAGCCCTTCAATGTAGACTAGATCTTTTAAGAGAGATTCCATGAAGAAATCAAAGAATTGTTTCTTGAAGTTTTTAGTAGACATGCTGGTAAAACATGACTGAAACAAAATTAATGTACCACTGGGAAATTTAGCTATGCATTTAGAAACATAAAATGGCTAGAAAATCTTGTTTTTAAGCGTGAACTTCTAGTCTGATAATGATAATGTGCAAGTTTATGTTTACTCTGTATAAGTGCCATTAGTTTATGAAATGATATGAAAATACTAACATTATTTTTGTGACACTTTTAAAAGTATTTTAACAGTTTGTTGTGTCAAATTGGTTAAATGCTATACCTCCTAAATATATACTGTAAGATATTTATACTAAATGGAATGTGGAAAGAATAAAGTAATATGTTCTTACTGCAAGTGCAAACTATGTAATAAATTGACTATTTCATAATCAAATCCCAACTTTTGTGTTATCTCATTCTTGCATGTGTAAGCATGTATCAAGTATTACCAAAAAAGATTTCTATTTGTCAACTGTAGGTAAATGTGGATTCAATATTCAGTTAAAAGACTTAACTAAGTCTGTTTAGTGGATCTTGTAGAATGACAAATAGAGGTGATAATCCCTATGATTGTACGGTGATAAGTAGATAACGGATTTCCAAGACATGTTTACTACAAGAAACACTTTATATTTTTTGTCTTCAATTCATTTAAGCTTAAACTAGTGTTTGCCCTTTGCTTTTGTTTGGTTTATGCAGTTACACATCCCAAATTCTGTAAGGGGGAAGGGGGTACAATTTATAAACTTGTCTGACAAGCAAAGATCTGACAACAAATGGATTATCATATTTTTTGGTGTTCATTTACTTTTTTAATTATCAGATAACTGATATTTCGGGTGCTTCTTTAGTTTGACATTTGAAAGGGAGCACAAGAATGGGGATGTATTGTCAACCTTTGTTGATTTGAATGAGAGTCAAATGAAATGGACGAAATATAAAACACTTGAAAGAACTAGAAAGACGTTGGTTAAAGTACTTAAGTAGAGTCAGAGCTAGAGAAGAGAGATAATAGGGGTGGATTGTATGCACAAATACATGTTGTGGTTTGAATGTTATTTGAATAAAGTAAAATCAAATTAAATCAATCTAAAGACATCGTTATTATAGTTCTGTCAGCTGTGGCTTTGCGTACTTGGCAATGTGAGTATCTCTGCTCATGAGTAATCTCAGATTATTCTTTTTCCTTCATTGAACGAATCATCGGTCGATATGAAAAGGTTAAGCGCTATCTGATTGCTTTGTTAGCTTCTGTTTTCTCAAGGGCCCGTTGTTGATAATGTGCATTGTTTTAATTTACAAATCCGTTCCAGTAGTCATTTGGACTTTGCTTCCATGAGACTTGAATCTCGTGTTCTACTGACCTCTTCCATTCACTTTAATGGCAAGTGGTAGGTATGTTGAATTCGATCCATTTTACCGATATAAACATTGACTGCATTAAACAATACGCCAATCATCAGTTTTGTAAAACTGCAATAAAAACTTCAAAAACTTTTTCTTTCATTATCTCCCATTGAAACCCATAATGAATACTATACGTAAGCAACCCATTTTAATTTGTAGACTTGAAGTAATTTAATTATTGAGGTAGCAGTTTGTTTGGATTATTTACTTAGCTCTTCTACCAAAATCTGTAAGAATGATGTTTATCTGTTTTAAGAGTCTAAAAGGCCATCAAAGATTCTCCTCTGTGGTCTTATCTCTTCATTTTATTGCAAATGATTAACCTCGTTTTCGGTTAAGTGGTTTGTCTAATCAACTACCAACCGCGTGGGCCTCCACTCAGAAACTCTAGACTTAATCATATCAAAGGATTTGGGGAGATTAAAATTTGTATTTTGTTTGTAGTGTGAAGCGTGTATGTCATTATGCAAAGGTTGTAGAGCATACCATACCACAATAGAGTACACTTATATTGACATTCACATTCGTAATGCTAACTCACAGTATGCAATACACAATACGATCCTCCACTAAATGAGTTAGATGTAGTAAACTTATGTAAACTGTTTTTAATTCTATGGTTTTCCTGAACATTAATGAAGTATAACAATGCCGGAGCTGCTTTGCGATATGTATCCCAAATTTGACGTTTCTCTAAATGATCATTTCTGGAATAAAGTTGAAACCCTTATGATATCTGTAATGAAATGTCTTCATTCATGAACAGTACTGAATAGTCATTCCAAATTAATTACGCCTATTAAGAACAGATTACTCTACATCCATGGTCAAAGTGCAAGAAATATTTATTGGATATCTTATATTTATTCAACCATATAGCACCGTTACGTTATAATAAGACCCATAAGACATACCTATCAACTACATGATATAAATGTATATGAAATTATTCAGCAACATTTGTATCATAATTCTCGGGTTGGAATCAGATCAATGTTCGTGTTTAATTTTTAATATTTTTAATTAAAAAAAGAAAATGTCAAGGGAATTTCAAACGCAATTTGTTTTAGGCCAAATTTACACTCTATTTTGTCTTCTCTATATACGTAGCCAAAATCAATAGTAACAGCCATTTAACTGCAATTTTATTAATTATTTTCTTACTTCAAGACTTTGGTCCATTAAATAACATTACATTACATTACATTACATTACATCTATATTATATTCCTCTATACAAGGTGAAAATCTCGATAGCAATAACAGCTCATGCAAATGCAATTTTGTTAATGATTTTCTTGGTTAAATATACATATAATTGCACTCATACAACAATGAAAATGCATTTTTTTCTTCGATTATAGTTCAAAGGGCTTTATGCATTATTTTATACTCTATCGTAGTATAAAGCTGATATAAATGTCATCATGCTTTGTGCTTCATTAGTTTTATATTATGTATATAATGTTAAATTGTTCCGCCGAAACTATTTGCTGTCTCTACCATATAAACGTATTGAGTAAAACAAAATATAAACTGTAGCAACATGCAGACAGCAACTTTTTCATTTAATTGAATAAAGTTTCCATTACAAATTTTCCGATCTACCTGTTATTGTTTACGAAAGTTGTTTTCCGAAACAAAATTGTGTTTTCCATTTGTTTTCCATCGTTACAGTTCAATATAGAACAGCTTACACTGTAAAAAAATAATAGTCGAAGTAACTCAACAAAACTGAGGAAAAGAATTGCCTTATTTTTATTAAGTAAATATTACCTACGGCATCTTAAGTAGAATTTACTTATTTTTGCTGAATAAATTTTTACTCAGTTAAATCGAGTTACATTAACGTAAATAATTTAAGTATTGTAATCATTTTAGATAATTAAAAAAAAACTATGATATGATTACATATTGCACGATTTGGTACCCATCTAATCTAACAAGTAACATCCACTAATCATTCACTACTTCTATTTAAGATTAATCACTAATCACTTACACTCGACACATATTGAAAGGCTCCAAATTTTATATATACTTGATCGTAGCATCTTAAAAGGAAAAGTGGTTGACAATTTCCTGAAATATCAAGTTTTGATTTGTTTTGAACTGGGTAACAATTAAAAATTGTCTTGTCTTTGCTTAGCCATGTTAAATGAATTAGTAAATGTTTTAAAGTCCTTAAATTTTCATTCAACCACAAAAAAGAATTGTTTTATTTAAAAAAGAGTTAATTTGGTCTTAATGAATATTCATAAATTATGTAAATATTTCTATTACGCACTGCATCGGTCCTTACTTTAAAAAGATGAGAATAATCAACATCAATTGTTTGAGTAATACGTATAATTTCTGATTTTGAGTTAAAATTACTAAATTAATACAAGCTGAAATTACTTAAAGTTCTTATTTATTTGATTTTACTTAAATATTCCACGTATGTTCTACTAAATTGAAAGTTTGAGTTAGCAAGACTTAAATTTAGTGCGTAAGTGGCAAAACTAATGTTTTCAAGTAAATTCTACATGGAAAAAATACGTAAAAATTACCAATGACCAAATTATTTTTTACAGTGTACGTTCTCACCAATTCAAGCCATCCCGGCATACATGCTACTTTATTTTGTATCGACCCTGTGAAATACTGGAATGTATTCATTTATATTAATTTGTCAATCAAATGTATATATATTACGAATTTTCGACTTTTAATATTATAAGAGAATAACGATATAAGGTTCTATACAAAATGAACCATGCGAATAATTGAAATTACACAGTATAAATGGCAAAATAATCTAAATTCTCTCCATGGTTTTCTCAGGATGATTGCATATGTGATTTAATGATTGTTTAGTCAATCTCCTGCATGGGATATATGTATCTTTTGGTGAATGCAGTCAAATCCAAGGCGACATCTAATTTCCCAGTGTTGAAAGCATTCTCCGCACGATGTCCGAACATGAAGCATCCCTTGACGAATCCATGACGCTCGTCATGAAAAGATGAGCTTGGATAGCTCGTCTTGTAATAACTTTGGAATTCATTACCACCTCTAAATTGGTGATGCAGGTTCGCTTCCATCCCTCAAACTCGAAATTCCCAGAGGCTATCTAGATCTGAGTCTAGAGATTGTAACAAGTTTCTATCATATCTCAACATGTCGCATTGAGAGAGTGAATGATCATTGATTACACTATTGTTTCTTTGGCCATTTTCTGCTGGGTAATGAAAGGCTCCGCTTCTTCGTATGAAGGGGGTACCTCAGAGATGGGCGTGGTCGGGAAATGACCGTTAGTAGTGGCTTTTGTGCTTCCGTTCCTTATCGCTGGTTCGAATTCGTATTTGTCATATCTGTAATGGAAATAGACGAAATTGTGTCAGTATAAACTCATTTAGATTTAAAATATTACCATACAATCATCATCATCGTCATTAATAATGTTGCATTTAATATTCGCCTAGACATTTCCTTTGTACTTCGATAAGCTCCATTCTACAAGTCCTTCCTCATGTTTTTCTTGCAATGAAAATTTTGAAGATTGTTGTCTCTGATGTATTACTTCAAAACTGAAAGTAAATGGTTAAGCAATGCATAGAATAGCGTTCCAGTAAACATATGGGGTTATACCAAAGTTCCCATACAGACAAACACAATTAAGCCTACCTTGGGAATGTTACCCCCCCCCCCCCCTCACCCCGCCCTCTGGGAGATCAAATAAGAAGAGAGGTGTTTTGGACTGGGAGAAGAATATTGATAATTTAGTACGTGATGGAGACAAGTTAAAGGTAAAGACCAGTATTGGAAATGCCCATATTTCAAAAAATGAAATGGAAGCTCTCATTACCAATCATGTGAAAGAATATGTTTTGACTATACATGATTATAAAAAATTTGCCGGGAAACCGCCTACTTATTGATATATTTGGTAAATTTATTTCTCTCATGGTCTGTGAGAGATATAGGGTAGTCCCATATACATCTTTCTGTGTATAGTGCTTGTAACTTTACGAAGAATGGGCCAATTTTCATATCATTTTGATGATTCCAGAACCTTGCAGATGCGGATGCAAGATGATCAACCTTTTCTGATTGATTCCACAACGTTTCTTTCACAATGCAATCGCATGACCATAACTGGTCTTTACCTTTAAACAAAGATTTATCATAGAGGAGACGGCTTTGGATGAGGAAAATATAGGGACAGCTAGTGATAACAAAATTCTTGAAAGAAACAAAAATATCAAAAGAGAGAATATTAACCTGTCGTCTAATTCTTTAATCTCCTCGGCCTTCTGCTTCCTCTCTGCTCGTCTCTTCCTATTGATAGGTATAGAGAGGCAGATCATGATCAAACCAATGGTGATCGATGAGATAGCAACGAAGATAGGCATCCTAGCCATGAGATCCGCTTCAGGTTGAGGGTAAGAGAGCTTGATCATTGAGATGGCAATCAGGTTGTTCTGAACTCCTGTCTCAACCATGATCGTTAGAGCAGACTCCATCGGGAAGCGAGCTATGAACCTGAACAAAACAACACGAATAATACATTTTAAAGAACTATAAGGATTACGAGTGATTTGCATAAAATGTTTTTCTTTCCACAAACTGACTCCCATTTTAAAAACACATTGTTGCTGTGTTTTTGTAATACATTTCTTTTGCGTAACATGGCAGCTTAGGTCAAGAAGTTTTGATATTTTTAATAGAAATAATTATGAATAGAAATCAAATTTCACATTCACTAACTAAAACATAATATTAAGTCCGAAGTTCTCGAGATGGATCGATACAAAAACTTCTCAAGAACAGGGAATAGGCCATAACCTTATACTGTTTGGTCATTCATAGTCAAAATGGGAGAATATGCATTAATCCTAGCAAATGTTCTATATAAATATTCGGGAAATATTTGGTAGAACTACCCCGTAGGTCTGCGCCCCTCGTTTTGATGCTGTCCTATAATTGTATTGTACTTATAATAAGGGAATTATGTTTTGAAGGAGCAATAGTGGCAATGGTTTCTTACTTTGACACGCTGAATCCTGTAATGTATCCACATGTTGGTAGAAGAAATGCACCCAACAGGACTTGCCATTCCGAACTGAAGATGTAGAGGTTAGAATAGATTCCTACAATGAGCGTGGTACCCACCATGGTGAGTGATAAAACATTGAGGGACTTGACGGCATAATGGGCAACCTTAGGAAGTTTGTAATGGATGAGCATTCCGAACAGGACGGGTACGGTCAACATTAGGATCTGGATCATGATGTTGGCAAAGGGGATGTTGACTCCTCCACCTTCTCCAGATCCAGACAAGAAGTGACGAGCGTAGATGAGCATGTTGATAGGAAGCATAGCGACAGCCAGACAGGTGGATACGAACGTCATGGTAACACTGAGGATGAGGTCAGCATCCAGAAGAAGAGTGATCATGTTGCTGACTCCTCCGCCAGGACATGACCCCACTGTGACCAGTCCGACCGCGGTGATACCGCTCAGCTTCAGAACTTTGGAAATACAGAAGGCGTAAAATGGTTGGCAGATGAACTGACAGACAGGACCGACCAGGATCTGGAATGGTTTCTTGAGCTTGTCACGGATGATGATGAAGTCCATCTTGCATCCCATACCAGCTGTGGTGATCAAAATGAGAGGTAGGAGGAGGAAATCAAATATGGAGTCGATGAGGCGAGGAACTCGTTTCGTTTTGACAACGTACGTCATCGGGGTCTCAAAGACATCTTCACCTTCCATATCGGTAACGTGTACAATCAGTTTGGTGATGTCTACCTTGCGACCTTTCAGTGTAACCACTAAGGTTCCATTATAAGATGGATCCTCAGGGTCAAAGACCACGCTCGCATCACTAACTACCGTGAATATCTTTTCGTTCTCACTCTCAAAGTTCATGATGACAGGTCCAAGCAGGTTCGTAAAGTTGAACATGATCGTATCATTGTGCCCCTCAAACAAATACACCACCTCCGGGTAGGCGCTTAAAGTGATGTTTTCTCCCAGCGACTCACCCATCAAGCCTTTATTATCCAGAATAGCCACCTCTTCCGTTTCCATTAAATTCAAGATCGTCGTCATGGGTGCCGGCGTCGACTTTTTATTTTTCTTGTTCTTCTTGTTTTTGTTCTTATTTTTCTTCTTCTTCTTGGGCTTCTTTGTTGTGGTGGTTTGCTCGGCGTCATCTAAAGGAACAAGGGGTGACGGTGTCACCTCTGAGAGGCCAGTCTCGGAGGGATCATTAGCCTGCCTCTTGACGAACTCCCTGATGCTTGTAATCCAGGAGTCGTCAAGGGGTGCAGAGAGGGGTGCATCTTGGGCGACCACGCCCAGTGAGCTGGTGGTCAGCATGAAGAGAAAGCCAACCATGAAGACCACAGTGGTCATCACTCCCGTGCGTTGGAAAGACATGATTGAGAGCAGAATAAAGACGTTCAGACTTCAGATGCACCTAGTTTGCCTGTAACGATAGAATATTAAAAAATAGAGAATAATCATGCAGGTAAAATTTAAATTTGCCTTAGCATGAGGTTAAAAGTTGGTAAGGTAAATTTTGAAATGAATATAACTTAAAGGCCACAGCCTACATGGCCTATGAGACCGACGGCCCTAGACCAACACTGTCCATATACTGGCTTGTACCGGTTCCCCCTAGAATTTATAGCCTTTTTTTCAACAGCATAATGGCAATCACATCAACTATCAATCCATAAAATAATCCATCTTAATACAAAATATTATCGGTTATTAATATGATTCGATTTTGCTACTAGATTTGAAACTTATCGACCAAACTGGTAATATTGTCCATTCAAATCAACACACCAACGGGTTACTAGGTCAATCTAAATGTTTCTCCTTTTTAACCACATGCCTTATGTGTTCTTAAAATAACCGGTGAAATACCTATAACGGTGTCCTAATCTAGATCTAAATATTTGATTGTATACCTCTGTGAAGTGTATCTTAAAATAAAATTTGCTTTAAATGATTAGCATGTGTAGCTGATGGGAATAGCTCCTACTGATGGGAATAGCTCCTATTTTAATTATATTCGTTTATCTATTCTTTACAGGTAAAAGGTTAAATCAATAGTGCGGATGGTTGCGAGTGATCAATTGACCCGATTTCTCCCAGTGGGGAAAAAGTGACTAAAGAATAAAGTCTGACAATCATGATGCAAGAATTGACATGGTGTTACCCCGATTGTCATGGTTCTACCACGATTGCTTTGTAGAGATGGGAAAACAAACAATTTACTCATTTAATTACTGATTTGCTATAGTAATGAAAATTGGAGGTAGATACAAAATTGTAATCGGTTTTTTTTTCTTCTTCATTATGAACCAACCCGAAATTACTTATTGCCCATAGATTCATAAGACACCATGGTCCTGACCTATATGGAACTCTCTCTCAGAATCTATTAAATCATGTTGCTCCCTCTACTCAAACTATGTTATTATCTGTATACTCAAGGTAGAATTTCTATGTCAACTCTTTATCCCTTACCATGTCATCTCTTCTTTCATTCGAATCATTATCACCATCGTCATCATCATCATCATTAACATCATCATCTGCATCACCATCATCGAAATTTGTATTTTCAATTACCTATCCGTTTCTGCTTAATAAATGTGTTAAAGAGAAGATTCATTGATTTAAAAAACTAACTTTAATGTCATTATTGCAAAGGTGACACTTTGATTGGCCAAGGTTATCAAAAGCCAATGCTTAGACAACATTCAAAGTAATGATTATTAACAATTACAAAACGCTTAGATACAGCCCCGACATAGCACCTGAAAAGCTCTCCGGTCGCTGCTGAGATATGACGTCACATGTTGAACATGATGTGCACAAGCAGACGATGTCCCATGACATCTCACACAATTTCACTGCCTGTTTTGTCATCTTTTCTTCAGTTATTTCTCTTACTTCAATACCCTCAGGCGAAATGTTTAATCTATTGCCTCACTCTAAACCCCGTGCATGGTATTATTTGGATGAAAAATGCAAGGAAAAAAGAAGAAAAAGGAATCTGTCGCTTGTAAACAAAATAGGACGCCATTGTATTTTCAGCTGCATACACCGCGGCATGTTCGGCGTTTCAAGAGGGAACAAATGACGTCCATGCTATCATTCCGGAGGTTTTTTAATTTGAAAGTGTGGTTTCTTTGATTGTTCATTATCCCCTATCCTGTGTATTTACAAACAAAAGAATTTAGTTTTCAGAATGGGGATCATATCCCTTTTTGAATGATGTAAAATTCCATCACATTTATATACACTAAACTCATTATAATTTGAGAAATAAAAGCATTGCAATTATGTTCATTCTTTATGGGGTGTCGTCTGCTTGGGCAGGGTTGGTTCATATTGTGACGGCATTAAAACATCGTTATTTTTCCGGCGAATCTCTCGCATATCCCAGATGCTATAGAGGTTGTTTTATTTGTATTTTTATAAATCACCCGATATGTAGTTGAACTAAAACTTGCACGATGGCCATCTGTTAGCTTACCAGTTTCTAGTAATACGCTATTTGCCATATTTGTGATTTTCTATGAATCCGCACTTTAATATATTTCATGAGTTTTGTCTGGGGCTGTCGTATTATCAAGCAATCTGCTTACAATGACAGTCCTTCTTCCGCAAATAATTTTATAATGTGTAAAAATGTTTGAGGAAATTTAGTATTTATGACAATTTATCATTTCGTTTTTGAAAATAACAATTCATATATATATATATATATATATATGTATTTTCTGATTTATGATTCATTGTCAGAAAAATACTTAATGTACTTTATATTATTGTTATCGAAAAAATGTAAACTTACATGAATGCAGAAGAAAATCGAATCAAAATCAAATCAATACAGTATATCCACATTTTCGGGAACATAATCAAAACGATGAAAGGGGGCCGTATCCAGAAATTGATAGTCGGGGAAGATGGGCTAGGGGATCAACCCTGCTAAACATGGAGAGGGTGGTTATGGGCCAGGCGCGGATCCAGGATTTTTCAGGGAAGGGGGCCCAATTTTTTGTTTGTTTTTGTTTCCTCCCAAAAATTTGAAAATCGCGCCGGCCGAAAAGTCGCTCCGTGGGGGGGGGGGGGGGGGGGGGGGGTAGTGAGCACATTTTTTTGTTTGGCCCTCGAAAATTTGAAAATTTGCACCCCTCCCCCCCCCCCTACAAAAAAAGCTAAAAATCACGTGTTTTTACACGTTTGTGTTCCCATGGGGGGTCGGGCCCCCCGCCCCCCCCCCCCCTGGATTCGCCACTGTTATGGGCTACATTCTGCTGGATATGCAACTGTAAAAAAAGTTAATACTTGTGTTGAATTTGTAATGGAAATGGCATTTATAACATTAATTAAAAACGCATCTTGCCCCTTCTTCCTAGTCAAAATTATTTGTTGTTGTTGTATATTTTGAGAAAATATCTCAACCCCTGACAACACCTGACATCAAGATGACCCTTCTTTCCATGTAATCTTTAACGGTACATTTGATTACGCAATCAGCAATCAGTACTTTATAAAAACCGTGGTCTTTGCCGAAAGTTAGACCTATATAAAAGGCGGTGAACAATCAAAGAACTGTACTAACGTTAATGAAACATTATGACTTTTTCGTCGTTTATCTAGTTAATGTTCTGATAAGACGAACATAAACTGTTTAATGGGTAGGTGGGGTTAGGTATTTTGCTGTGTCTATTCCTTGACGTCAGATGTCAAGAAAATCAGAAACAAATCATCTGTAAGTACAATGCTCGGATCAAGAAATCTTGAACCGCCAGAGGTAACTCCAGGTGTCGAAATGCCCTTATTGATCATAAGCATTTAGTAGGTCCATGATTGCAGGGGTGAAAACATCCCCACCTCCTTTCGGAGCTGCTATATTATCCGCCATTACCCACCCTTTTCACTCCCAGACAGAGAGAGAGAGAGAGAGAGAGAGAGAGGGGGGGGGGGGGGAGGGGGGGCGGAAAGGGTTGACGGAATCTTCCGTAATAACACATGTCGGAAAAACAATTCGACTCCCATACAGACAATCCTGGATCCGCGCCTTATTGACTGGAATCATGTTTATCTTTCTATGATAGGCATATACATCTATTTAATGTAAGCCTCAGTTAATTGAACGCAAACGAACAAACAACATCAACAAAGATTAAATAACATAAAACGACTATATCTTATACAATGATATCAAAACAAGACAGTGTACCCACATTTTGACAGCCTCGTATACCAAAAATGTGCAACTTCTATAACCTTGGTCTATATGGTAAATAATAATTTGCTGTTTCTTATTCTTGAATATGTTGTTATACGATTGACTGAATGCCATGGTTTTCAAATTGTCTCGTCAAAATGTACAAGTTTGTGCTGATGGAAGAATATTGAGCTAATTTCGTGCCTCAACGATTCTTGTATAACGTTATTAAGTTTACACAGGAAGGTGAGACCTACCTGGTTTAAGCTTTCAAAAAGTATTTTGCTATTGACTTCAGTGTTTCATGATTACATTTTGACTCATTTTGAACAGCCTCCAACTTATAATACTGTCTTGCTACAAAACCAAATGCAAGGATTGATACATTGTTGTTTGTAAAGTAAGTGAGTAAAGTGAGAATGGTCTTTTATGACACAGGTAGCATCCCAAATAAATCATTAAAAATGAATGAATGATTCAATGATGCTTCAACCAAAGTATGCACCATATGGGCACTTTGCTCATTATTTTGTATTTATTTATCATAGTATTTAGACTACTAACTTCTGAAAGTCTCGACATCGCATCTCTCCAGACAATATTACCTGAAGCTTATAGTTTTATGCGATGTGGGGTGGGGTTTCCCTAGGTAAACAAGATTATTATAATACTGTTATTATTATTGTTATTATTATTATTCCATGGCTCTGTCCCACAGTACAATAATTATTACTTTGATAAATCTTTACATCCATCTAGATCTTTATGTTCTCGAAAGTCCAGAGTGTTCATCCTAAGCTCAATACTAAGTGGGATAGAAAACCTTTGCCCCCCCCCCCCTTTAAAAAAAAGTACCCTTAAAGCAAGCTAGATGTGAACAAAAACGAATTAAACATTTTCTAACTCAAAGGTGTTTCATTCCTCTCAGTTAAAATTTACATAGTACAAGTTTAAGTATGTGTGAGGTGTAATTTAGTGCAAAACTATCATTCATATAAGTTTTTTTAATTGTATTGGATTCCTAAAAGTAGCCATAATAACCAAATTACATCTCGAGAAAATTGTAACGCTCAAGATTTTACTACGAAAATGTGTACCAAATCGTATGAAACACTTTTGAGTTATCAAGTTCAGAATGTTGAGAAAAAAAAAGGTTTTTCTTTACATAGACAATAAGGGTGCAAAACTTGGTTTGAGGGCACTTAGGTGTTTTGTTTCGAGGGGAGTGTTACATCCCCTTCCCGATGGACGATTCTGTCTATTTTGGTAATGTACAGCCACAGCTCTTCTTTCTGCCAACATTAAATGGTAAATGGGGCAGGGGGGAATGACGATAATATTTTATGGGGTGTCTAAAACCCTATTCCGATGACAATTTTCGTCAGTTTTTGTTATTTTGTAATGTCAAATTACACTTCATTAAAGTGCAAAAATATTATACAATTATGAACAAAAAAAATGAAGACAAAAAACTTACCTGCAGTTTGAAAAGCTGCACTGCTTCACTACGGGTCCAAGATAGATATTTAATTACTTCCAGACTCCACACAATAGAATGATGGTCGACGGGACTCGAGAGAAGAACCTCTCAGCACCAAATAGCCCTGCTCCACTTGCTACTGATCGTCGGAGTGACTGGACATTGCTTCGAGAAGACTTATAATCTCTCAACTTAACTCAAAGTTTAAAACCCATTCCCATATCTCAAGGCGAGATAAGGGCGCGGATCAATCTAGACTCTTATAGGGAAAAGCACACAAGATAACTTGAAATATTGGCAACGGTTACTTCTTTCGATTGGTGGGTCTCTACGAGGCGTTGATAAGGTAAAGAAGAAAAGTCAAAATGCAAATAGGCACAAGATATAGAATTAACTCCAATAGTATGAATGATTCATTTGGAATGAAGATTCTGCACTATTTATTAAAATAAATAACTTCTGTTATCTCGGTATTATTCATGTCGTGACGAAATACTTAGTGGAAAGACTTTGTATTATCTTATCAAAACAAGAAGATGACAACTATTTTCCAGATGAAATCATGAAAAATTGAAAATAATTTCTTGTCATGGTGCAGCTTTCAAATAAGAAAGGAAAATCGATAATGAATATTGTCTAATTAGACACCTTTTCAAATTCAAATTATATTCAACTGATTTTATTTCTGATGCAAACATAATACAATGAATAAGCATATTACAAAAAATATACAATAAAACGACAGATATGATAGAAATAGCAAGAGAAAAGAGGAACTAACTAGAAGCAGAGCTTGTTGAAGAATTAGTTCCTCATATGCTGTTTTATATGGTGGCCCTGAAGGGACATCGCGAATAGACTAAATCGTGAAAAATATGCGATAAAATTCACGATATCGTCAATTTTATCGCATATTTTTCACGAAGAAATTCACGAAATTGACGATATCGTGAACTTTATCGTGAACTTTTCACGATGAAATTGACGATATCGTGAATTTTATCGTGAAAAGTTCACGATATAAAGTTCACGATATCGTCAATTTTATCGTGTACTCTATCGTGTACTCTATCGTGTACTCTCCTGACGGGCGCTTCGTAAACAAAACCAGCCCTAGCTGGGGGAGACAGAGAGAAGGAAAAAAGGGAAAGGGAAAGAGAAGATAAAAGGAAAGAAAGAATAATAAGAAGAAAAGAGGGAAACGGGGGGGGGGGCGAAGGGCTCTTGCCTCCTCCTCACTCCCCCCCCCCCCCCCGCCAAAAAATAAATAAGGAGAGAGAGAAGGGAAAGGGAAAGGGAAAGAAAATATAAAAGGAAAGAAAGAAGAGGAAGAAGAATAAGAAAAGAGGGAAACAGGGGCGAAGGGCTCTTGCCTCCTTTCTTTTCTTTCTTTTCCTTTCTTTCCTATTCTCCCTCTTTTTCGTTTTTCTCTTTCTTTCTTCTCTTTCCCTTTCCTTCTCTCTCTCTCTCTTATTTATTTTTTGGCGGGGGGCGGGGGGACGAGGCAAAAGCCCTTTGCCCCCGTTTCCCTCTTTTCTTCTTCTTCCTCTTAATTCTTTCTTTCCTTTTATCTTCTCTTTCCCTTTCCCTTTCCCTTCTCTCTCTCTCTCTGATTTATTTTTTGGCGGGGGGGGGGGGGAGGGGGAGGGCAAGAGTCCTTCGCCCTTCCCCCGTTTTCCTCTTTTCTTCTTCTTCCTCTTCTTTCTTTCCTTTTATCTTCTCTTTCCCTTTCCCTTTCCCTTCTCTCTCTCTCTCTGATTTATTTTTTGGCGGGGAGGGGGGGGGGGTGAGGAGGAGGCAAGAGCCCTTCGCCCCCCCCCCCCGTTTCCCTCTTTTCATCTTATTATTCTTTCTTTCCTTTTATCTTCTCTTTCCCTTTCCCTTTTTTCCTTCTCTCTGTCTCCCCCAGCTAGGGCTGGTTTTGTTTACGAAGCGCCCGTCAGGAGAGTACACGATAGAGTACACGATAAAATTGACGATATCGTGAACTTTATATCGTGAACTTTTCACGATAAAATTCACGATATCGTCAATTTCATCGTGAAAAGTTCACGATATCGTCAATTTCGTGAATTTCTTCGTGAAAAATATGCAATAAAATTGCAATAAAATTGACGATATCGTGAATTTTATCGCATATTTTTCACGATTTAGTCTATTCGCGATGTCCCTTCAGGGCCACCATAGTTTTACAATATATCTTAAACAAAGTATACTTAGAAAATCAATAAATTAACAAATAATGTATCAAAGAAAGTATGATTTTTTTGGGGAAAATAAAAAATAAAATAAAAGAGAGGAAAAAATGGAGGAAAATAGTAAAATACAAAAAGAAAGAGAGATTAACAGAAGGACAATGAATGTTTGCAAAAGCTCTAAAAAGGGAGGTTAGATCACCAAAATGAGGGAAAAGGGATTCACTAAGATAAATTTTCATCAATATGTTTGTTAATAATTTATATTATTATGCTGTCAATATCAATTATTCTACATAAAATGCGTTATTTGTGTGTGTCTTGGTGATAGTACAGCCCCATCATCTGTCTCTCTTCCTGTCATTCTTATATATCTTTAAAGATAATAACATTATCAATATCATTTTGGATCACCATTCAAGTATTTCTCTAATTCATTCAAGGGCAATCCAGCCCTCATTGTAAAAAGTTAATTTTGTACGAAATTATGGATTGGATATCATTATAGGTCATCTGAAAAGGAAATACCCTCCTAAGTTATATACATTTTTGTATTTCTGTTTATTCATTTGGTGTGTTAGAACAAATGGGATAGTAAATTGTCCGCCACTACATCACAGAGAAATTACCGATATAGTCAATTTGAAGAACCCATACCTATATAGTGATTACAACTTTAAAAAATTCATAATACTCATTTTGTTGGTCCGATCTCATTTAAACTTTCACCAGTCTACTTCTTTGCTTTCCTTTTGAGTAGTTTGCTATCACGGTTGGTTTTCTTAAGATTGGAGTTTCCCGTAAAGAAAAATCAACTAAGCTTGAAGTGGCAATGATTTTTATTTTAAATCAAATAACAATGTCAAAGTTAAATCAAATCAATTTTTGAAAAATGTAGAAAAGGAAACGAAAATATGCACAAGTATAACCTTACAGCCTGTAAAGAAGTTTTTAATTTTTTGACAGTTAAACTGGTACAATAATTCCCAGAACTATCCTTTCATTTTTGTATAAGAAGTTGGAAGTCATAGCATTTCCGATAAAGATGCCGATTACCCCTACCCCCGCCCATCCTCCTGGGAACATCTATGAGCACGTGCCCCAAGGCCCGAGCGGCAATTGAAAGGGGCGCAAAAAACTCAGGAGTGGGGGTGCAAAAATACATATAAGGGGACCAGGCGCGTACGCAGGATTTTTTCAAGGGGGGGGGGGGGGTTAACATTTATAAATCGGGCCGAAAATTTCGCAACGACTCAGCCAGCCGCTGAATAAGCGGGGGGGGGGGGGGTGTGGGGGAGGGGGGGGGGGTAAGAGGACACTTTTTTTTTTTTTGGTCTCGAAATTTGAAAATTTGACATTTGGCTCCGTTGGGGGGGTTTAGGGGGGTAATGGGGGGGGGGGTTACACACACAAAAAATACCAAAGGGGGGTTTAACCCCCCACCCCCCCCCCCCCCTGTGTACGCGCCTGAAGGGGACAATGCGAAAGGCGGAAAAAATTATGACACAAGTCGTATCGCTCCCAATATATACGCAAGGTAAAATGCATTAGAAAAAAGGACTCTTGTTTTCGAGACTTTAAAAACGCGCAAAGTTCCCTAAAGCTAAAGTTTCTAAAGCTCGGTCGCTTTTTTTCGCTGGTACTTTTGAAAAAGGGTGGGTATAAGTTCCATCAGCCTTTTGTTAGATATTGCGTACCTTTCCCACCCCCACAAAAAAATGATATGTAAAAAATGGCATTACAAAGATTAAATACTATTTAATTAACTCTTGGTACTTAGTTTTAGCTAAAATTACGCCACATTTTAGGATCAAAGTGAGGAGAAAGTGCTTATCAATGTTAAATTCTTGTCTACCTCTCGACTACAGTGCTCACTTGGGAATTTTCCTAAATCAATTTTCCAGTGGCGTGTCTAGATCTTGGAGTTGGGGGGGGGGGGGAGCACTCAATTCCGGGCCGGTGGTACCTTTAATAGTCATGTGTTTTAGCAAGAAAACGATCTTTCCAACTCTTATCTTGCGTTTGGGGTGGACAATTTAAAAATCGCGCCAAAAATTTCGCAACGACTCAGCCAGCCACTGAATAAGTGGATTGGGGGGGGGGGGGGGGGGGTAATAGCACATTTTAGAATATTGGTCCAGTTTTTGAGGGAAAATTTCGCAACGACTCAGCCAGCCGCTTAAAAAAAATTAAAAAATTGAGGGGGGGGGGGGTAACCCCAACCCCCCTCCCCCAATCAATGGAATTACACTCATCAGTTTAAAATACAAGCCAGATTAATTGTTACATAATGCAGTAGCCAATGTTTGATAAATATAAGCCACGGAAGCAAAGCGATCGTCCGAGCGGTAGACTGTTAAACATTTTCTATTAAAAAAACCCCGCAAGGCCACATAGTTTCTATTGATTTTTTTAACATGGGAATTAAGAATTTGTTTTCACAGTAATATTTGCAGCGAGATCGAGAGTGGTGCAACATCTTTTTAGTTTCTTTCCGGTGAACGGCACCTCCTGTATGGTAAATGAATGATATGCACATAGATGGTAAGTTATTTTTAAACAGTTAAAACTAAGGTTTCAATTTGAAGTTTAAAAAAATAAAATAAAATTGATATTAATAATAGGCCTAGGTCCGTTACTGAGATCAACCATGTATTCTCAGTAGCGGTTTTACAGTGGGCTTGCCCTTTCCCTGGTTTGTTTGCTAATTAATAAGGCACAATTAGGAAAATGAATGTAAGATCCCCTGAGCTTCCCAAAGCTCCTCAAAGCCCCGTCCCCCTAAACAAAAATATGCATCCCATAGTGCAACGCGCGCGCTTCGCATTGATATGATGATATCCGGTCGCTAGTAATATAGCGTGCTTTCTTGCATTAATGCTTTGTTGTGCGTGTGCATGCTGTGGGAACACTAGCAGTTTGGGTGAGTTGGCTTAGGTCTAAGTTAGATCTAGATCTACTAAATTATGAATTGAAATGAAATCTGATATGTGTGAGCAGTAACCCTAACATTTTATGTTTTTGAATGCAGTTGATATTATAACGAAAGATTACATTTTGAAATGATCATAGGCTGTAGATCTAGTACTTTTCGGAATCGGAAGTGTGTGAAATTCGGCGTGGCGTGGACTTTGTCTTGATCTTGGTGACTTGTTAGTATGTTACATGTTAGTTTGCAGTGTGAGTTCGGGCTAGCTCGGACCAGGGGACAACTCGGCCCAGCTGCAAAAACGGTCATTTTTTTGCATGTTTAGGTTTATAGTTAGGGTAAAATGACAAAAAATGACAGTTTTTGCAGGTAGGCCGAGTTGTCCCCTGGTCTGAGTTGGCCCGGATCCGTGTGTTAATGGTGGGGTTTTCCAAGTTCGCGCACATAAGAAAATTTGGAATGTGAATTGATCAAGTACAACCTAATAGGGTAGCGCGCCCAGTATTCTGTCGATTCCCAGTATTCGGTCAGACAGCCGTTTCAACAGCTGTAACAATTTAAAAAATAATTTATGAGCCACGAAACTTGCACAAATCAGGCAGCTGAACAACTTTTCTTAACTCTCAAAATTAAATCGGATTTAGAGTAAAGGAGCCCGTTTTCGGCCACTTAAGACAAAATCCTATTTTTAGGACTCTTTACTTCCTATTTATTATCATTTCTTGTTCAAATCATGAAGCAAATATTATTATTATTTAAACAAAAAAAGAATCCCAGAAAAAAATCACGAATTGCCATGACAATATTCATTTCAATTTTCACTGTTTTGGAGCCCGTTATCGGCCGAGCGTTTCAGTTTACGGCCGCATGTACAAAGTCAATAGGAAGCGCTCGCGCGCGCCGTGCGTTTCCGCGCTGATGTACAGCACAAGCGGGCGGAGCAGGTATCCCACGCCGGAGCTCCCTGATGCTCGCCTGGCCGAAGACAGGCACAGCGGTGATCGGAAGTTGGAATCTGAATTAGACAGAGATATCGTGTGTGCGTCGCGGTGTGCGGCTGCATTGATTTAATACATGCGATGACATACTTTTGAGCTTGCGACTAGCACAAAATCGGGCTCTAAATCTGAAAAATACTCGAAATAAAGCTCATTTTATGGTACCCATATTTCTTACAGACACGCGTAAGATACTCGATTTTTCAGATTTGGGTAGCGGGACCGGCGATTACATCGCTAAAATGTGATATTTTAGGATATATTTTCCATTGCAAATGTGGTTCTTCAGTGACACTGGCATGGTATGGTATGTGTGGGATATGTGTTATGCTATTATGCGATGTATTTTAGAGTGATTTTACCTTGCATCCAACCAATCGGCCGAAAACAGGAGCTGGCCGATTACGGGCTCCTTTACTCTAGGGCCCCGGAAAGATCTCCAACTTAGCTCGAAATTGGTCAGTGTCGCACAACTTTCCGCACTTTCGCGTTCTCTTAGCACATGCGCTAACATGCATAGCCATATGTAGAAGTCTATTGCGAAACAACTACGTGTGCTGTCACAATGAATTTAGTATGTGTGTGAAGAGAATCACCGTGTTCGCTCCATCGCAGCGAATTTGCAAATGACGTACTTGCCGATGTGCAAGAGGTATTTATACGATACCCTTGCCATGCGGTATCGCTCAGCCAGTATTCGGTCAACGCATTGACATTCAGTGCTTTATCGCGCAATTGTGTGAAAATAGTGCGCAAATACGCTACGCTCCTTTGCAACGGAGATACCACGCACAAATCGCGTGACCGAATTCTAGTCGGCGCGACCGAATTCTGGGCAGAAAAATGCTCCGTCTTCTTTCGGAAGTCTTTTGCTTATCGTTATTCTATATTTTCAGTGACTTCAAAATCCTGTTAGAGGAATAAATTTCTTTTCTTTTGATGGGTAGATTGCCCAATGAAAGAGGTAAGAATTCAAAATATTAGTTATTTCCCCTTAAGTGACCGAATACTGGGTACTCTACCCTAGATAGCTAAATTTTAGACTACAAGAGTACAAATGGTGCGACTAGAAAATTTATTTTCAAAAGAAATTGCGTCAAGACGACTCGATATCCTGGGGGTTCTTTTCTTGTTAAGTACAAACTACAAAGATCAAAGACATCTCAACGCTGTCTAAACTTGCCTGCTAAGCAGTAGGGGCGCTGGTCCGAGAATGAGAATCGTCGGCATAAACAAAGATAAACGCAGACGAATTGCTCCCTAAAAAATAAGGATCGTCCGTCAACATTGTTTTTCTTTGGCGCTAGTCTGAGGGTGTAGGCCTACTGTAGTGTTCCTGATCCGCGTAGGGTAGAGTGCCCAGTATTCGGTCACTTAAAGCTGATACTCTAAGACAATCCCAAATACTGAGATAATTACATAAATAGAAAGCTTTTAACCCCCATAATAACACCAAATGGTGTCCACCCGACAAAACAAGTTTAGAATAATGAATTTATTCGAGTAAACTCTACCAAAATATCTAAGTCTGAAACCCGGAAGTGCACGTAGAGTCGGGCCTCTATCCGTGACGTCACGAACGGGAGTCATGGGCTCAGTGAGAGTGAATGGCAGTGATATCCCTACGTAAATGCTATCCTGTCAGAGCTTAGATTTGTTGTTGTTAAGGAGTATATTTGATGGATTTTCTGTTTTCATTTGAATGAAGAATAACGAAGCAACATTTTCCAGTCGCTGATTTCTTTTTATATCCTCATATTCACCTATTTGGTAGAGATTTAAGACGAGTTTACTGCTTAGGAATTAAAGTTAAATCGTGCACTTATGAATAGGCGGATGCATTATAAATTATTGTCATCAGATGTACATGAGCAGTTTTGTAAAACGAATAGGTCTAGAACTATGATAGTACATATCATAGATGTGTGTGACTGCCTCAAAAAAGGATACAGTACCAGTTAAACATTTTATGTTGTAAAATATCAAACTTGAACGAGATCATGCAAGCGCGCTTCCTCTATAATATTTTGGCGAGTGATGCGGCTCTTGCATGGACGTTCGTGGAGCGAGCAGAATCGGGAGGTAAGACCAAGCCGCTGCTCTAGGCGCTGCTTGCTTGTGATGGAACGTACGTGCGCTAGTTATATGTTTATCGGCAATTGCAAGAGAATGAAAGTGACGTTGCCAGCTAAGAAAAACAACTAACAAAGACTTGCTCCTGACTACCGGTGTCAGAATTGGTAGATGAAGGATGTTCAGGGCCAAGGAAGGCGAAAGACATGGGAAAAAGGAAGAAGAAACCATCGGGAGATCGCTGCAGTGTATGGTAATGAACTGTGCATGGGTAGACAGCTACTGTTCACTCCGTGCCTGGGCCGATTTCAACACCAAAACAAAAATTACATGGTGAAAATATCGACTAATAGCACATCGTTGGCATGTATATGTCATAATTTTTAAAAGGGGAATTGATATTAATACTATGAAGTACTAGGGGAAGGTAAAGAATTGTACATAGAATTATGATTTATTAGACTTTTCAGCCTTTGAAACAAAAATATGCAGAAAATCGTATCACTCTGCACATGTTTGCTATGGAATATCCGGGTACGTGAATATACTCTCTCCCGGACGTGAGGTCATAAATAGTAGACCAGCGTCGTGACTGATTTTCTATGCAAAGAGAGGCGGATATTTTAGACATTTCAATTGAGGATTTTGAGTAGACAGAATTTTTTTGTGATATACTAAGTAATTGAAAAACTTAAAAATAACATATACTTGCCGTAGGTAACAAATTAAGGGACATTTATTTGCTTAGAGTATCAACTTTAAGGGGAAATCACTAATATTTTGAATTCTTACCTCTTTTATTTGGCAATCTACCCATCAAAAGAAAAGAAATTTATTCCTCTAACAGGATTTTATAGTCGCTTAAAATATAGTATAACGATAAGCAAAATACTTCCGAAAGAAGACGGAGCATTTTTCTGCCCAGAATTCGGTCGCGCCGATTAGAATTTGTGCGTGGTATCTCCGTTGCCAAAGAGCGAAGCGTATTTGCGCACTATTTTCACACAATTGCGCGATAAAGCTCTGAATGTCAATGCGTTGACCGAATACTGGCCGAGCGATACCGCATGGCAAGGGTATCGTATAAATACCTCTCGCACATCGGCAAATGCGTCATTTGCAAATTCACTGCGATGGAGTGAACACGGAAGTGATTCTCTTCACACACATACTAAATTCATTGCGACAGCACACGCAGTTGTTTCGCAATAGACTTCTACATATGGCTATGCATGTTAGCGCATGTGCTAAGAGAACGCAGAAGTGCAGAAAATCTTGCGACACTGACCAATTTTGAGCTAAGTTGGAGATCTTTCCGGGGCCCTAAATCTGATTTAATTTTGAGAGTTAGAAAATTTGTTCAGCTGCTTGATTTGTGTAAGTTTCGTGGCTCGCAAATTATTTTTAAAATTGTTACAGCTGTCGAAACGGCTGTCTGACCGAATACTGGGAATTGACCGAATACTGGGCGCGCTACCCTACTGCCAATGCAAAAAAAAAGTGTAATCAATTGTCCATTGCCCATCTTCCTGCAAATTTATCGCTCATAACGTGAAGTCTTTGTGCCGTGTAAGTGAGAAAATGCATTGTGGAGCATCATCGCCGAGGTTTGGATGATCCATATTTTTAGGACATGATTTGTCCGCGTTTACGAGGATATCCCACTGCCACACATAGGTGCATTACTATCCTGGCTGTGTAGTAAAAGATGTGCTTTTGATTCTCAACATTTCAAACACCACTGTACAAAACTCAATTGATTTCACTCGAAATAGGTACTTTAGTGACAATTGACATGATTGATGACACCTAAATAGCAGTAAAATACATTTTTTGAACTAACTGATGTTAAAAAGAATAATTTAAAAATTCAAATTGTAAGTCTAAGTGTCAAATTTGCTGATCAGCCCAAGCAGTCCTATTGTGTGGTGTGTATATCTGTGTATAATACCTGCCTCACAGCAATTGTGCAGTGCTAGAGGTCAATACGCATTAGCATTGACTCTCAATGCTCTGCTGGATTTGTTCTACCGCTAAGTGTTTTGCAAAACTGTCTTTGCCAAGATGAGCAACAACTTGCGGTACAATCCCTTGTCCCAAACCTGTTATATATGCAGGCCTGATAATTATCTGATTTGAATTGAGTTTCCAGATTATTTTTTTTCTTCGCAATTTTTAATTTTTTTCCCCCGTCTTTAAATTTAATTTTAGATACCTGATTTAAATTTTTTTTTATCCTGATTTTTATCCGTATTTTCACACATTTTCTGTATTTTCCCCTGTTTTTTCCTATTTTTCCCAATTTTCATACAGGGAATGTTGTTAAATTCTATTTTCCCTTAAAAATCCTCTTCTTTTTATTTTTACTCAAGGGAAGCATGGTTGAGGGAGGGGAAAAAAGACCCATATTTTTTGTAGGGCTCACCGTCACCCCTGTATATGTTTAGAACGTCATCCCAAGAGAAATTCAAGTGCGTCTATGGGCAGCGAAAAATAAAGACTTGGAATTTATTTAAAAACTTATTTCTTGATCTTCAACCAGGCCAAGGTTATCCGCTTCCTCCCTAGAGCTAGACAGAGATGTCGGATCGGTAATTTTATAAAACTAAAGTAAGTGAAAAACAAATGTTCATGACTCAATCCTTTGAATTCTGAATTTCTAGGAGAAGGAAGACTTTGAGAGATATCTTCCACCATGGCCAAGAAGCTCTTTGTGGGGAACCTTCCCCAGGGGTGTACTAATGACGATCTCAAGACCCTTTTCGCAACGATAGGACAGGTGGTAGAATGTGATGTTCTGAAGAACTATGGATTCGTGGTAAGTTTACAAAAAAGGAACCACCTTTGGCGATACTATCTCTCTTCTGGAAATACCATTGAGATAAAATTCAAATACGGAAGGTGATTTGAAAATGGATTACTGCCTCGCCAGTATCCGCAAAATTTGTACATATGTCTTTTGCAGATGTAAGGGACACTGACATTGTGACAAAGTGCTTTTGCATTGATAAACATGTTATTTACAACACACATGCACATCCAGATCATTTTCGCGTGTTAAATTTGCAATATTTGTAAAAATAAACCCAACTATAAGTATAATGATGTAAGTGATGACAGTGTATCATGGCATTGCTTTGAAAGAAACTGCCCCACATACTGTGATATGAGTAGAATTCTTATAAGACATATTAAAAATGAACACCCTTTTGTCTCTTCTCGAAAATACCATTTTGGGTTTGTTTAAATTCACACATTCCATCCTTCCAGGTTTGGTTATGTATTTTATTTCATTCTTATTTGGATTCACATTTTAATGATTACTTTGTATAGTGGGAAAACAGTTTAACATTTGTACTTGATATTGAGTTAATGGTTTTGAATTGTTTGTTGTAGCACATGTCCACAATAGAGGAAGCTTTGGAAGCAGTTAGCAAACTTGGTGGTCACAGATTGTATGGCAATGCAATCAGGGTACAGCACTCTACCTCAGGCGAACGACAAGAGCCGTAAGTCTCGTGGGAACGGTTTCATCACCACTTGGGAGCAGCAAAGTTTCTGTCATTCATTGCATGGGTTCTATCCTGTCAAAAGGTGTATGCTCGGTTCGGAATTAAACAAGCAAGTGATTGCATGGACCAGAAACTTTGCTGTTCTACTATGATCATTATATGATATTACAATCTCACCGCGAAGTCCTTTCATTTACCCTGTTCTCATTCCAACAAATTGGCCCCTTTGTACTTTTCTTAAAGCACATGGCAACGGAAACTGAATGCCAAGAGGCGGTCACTCAGCTAGACAAGACTGATTTCATTGGCAACATTATCCAGGTCCAATTGTCCACATCTACCGTGCACAAATCAACTGGTGTGGGCAACAAAGGAGAATGCTTCCAGTGCGGTAAATTGGGGCACTTCTCTCGCGACTGTCATTTTAACGGGAGGTAAGCAGAGCGCGTGTAACCCTGCACCTCGAGATTAGCCATCGCGTATGTCTCAATCGCGATATCGGTTCGGTTCGGTTCGGTCATTTTCAGAAATAGTCTCCTTTTATCTACCATCTTAAGTGTCCATTTTTAAAGGCCATGTACATGTTAATGGCTAAAGTCACAATAAGAAGGATCTACATTAGTTGTTGTAGTCTTTTTGATGGACATGATGACGGAGCTCTTTTAATTATGGCCAATCTACTGAACACAATTTCAATTGAAATGCAAAAACAAAGAAAAACTCAATTCAGTGAAGATTGTTTTATATGTTACTAATGAATAAGTTATTTATTAAGCCTTTGTACAATATGTATAACAGGTTCATTTTACTTACTATATTCCTGCCTTGATTACTTGAGGCACTGAAAATCACCCAAATTAAAGTGTTTTAAAACTTGTACAACAGTTTTAACCATGACCCATTTTAATTTACATCACATAGATTTCTGATGGTTTTATTTATGACATACCTTTATCTCAGTCTTCATAGGTTAAGCCATTTCCTCGAAATTCTTTGATATGATGCTTGCAATTGTTTCAATCATTTATTTTTATCACTTTGTTTTGAAATAGTGGAGAAGGAGGAAGGGGCAGAGGTCGAGGAGGTGGAAGAGGATTCAGAGGTGGCCGTGGAGGAGGGGGTGGTGGTTACCGTGGCGGTGATGGGGGCGGTCGAGGTAGTTACAGGGGTGGTGGAAGAGGAGGTCGTGATCGTGCACCAGTAGACTACAAAGACAGAGATTATTATGAAGGTTATGCCTCTCGTAGACCGCCTCCACCTGATTCCTACTATGAACGTTATTATGAGGACTACTACAGGTATGAGACAGATTTTAGGATACTGCATGATTGTGATTACATTAATTGTGTTAATATTGGGCTTATTTGCTGACATTCATATACATTAATGCTGGTCATAAAAATGTAAGGTTATCCTGGAACAATTTTTTGTATGGAATTAATTACTATTTTGTTTTTATCTTTAATTTTGCCATTTTCTTGAACACACTTCAAGTAGCACCTTTTGATTTAGATTGATCTGATTTGATGTTTATTCATGAGTCACTGTATCTATGTCATTGAATGTTGGCCTTTGTCAGGAAAGCATGAATTTACAGCTTTGTTATATTTTCTATTTCTTAAACAGGCGTCCACCCCCATATCCCTACCCTCCACATTCCCGTGACCCGTATGCTCGTGACCCCTACAGAGCAAGGAGTCGAAGCCCCCCTCCAGCAAGGAGACCCCTGACCCCACCAAGGTACAGGAGACGTGATTCCCCACCACCACCACCTAGGTGGGTACTAACAATACCTAATTACATTGCACCCACATAAATAACTTGATTGCTTCCATTTTTAAGGATATTACTGTTGCTGCAAGTTGAATTTTATTGAGTGATATATAATGAATAATTGACGTAAGTGTGAGCTGGTCTGCTATGGTCCATTTCGTTTCAAATATACAATCTAGATGCTTTTCTGAAAGATTGGTTCTGAACAAGACACTCCTATTTTAGAGCATATACATAGAATAGCATAATTGTCACAAAACAGTGGTTGGTACTTGTCAACTCAAGGTTGTGCATTTTAATTCATTTTATTCATAGGCAGTGTAGTTCAACCAGTGGATATATCCTTTACATTTGATAACATGTTCATTCATATTACAGGGACTTCTATGATTACCCTCCAAATGACAGATATGCAGATTCCAGGAGCCAGTGAGTAGAACTTCTTGCCTTTATTATTCTAATTATCTTATATAGGGATGTAGATGCTTCCTTTCAAATCACATGCTCACCTCATCATTCTTTCTTTTTCACGTTAGCTTTCATGAAATTACCCTGTATAAAATGTTTAGATATGTACTATCATTGAGCTGTAGGGGATATGTCAAAGTTTTGAGTCACGTAAAGAGATTCAAAACAATGATGACTTCAGAATATATATTTGTGCTCATACTTAATGACTGTTATTTCTTAAAGGTTTACCTTTACTAGGAGCACTCTGTTCTTTCTTTCAACACAATAAAAGTGATTCTTTTAGAACATCATTTTTCATAAGGCATATAAGGAGGGACTAATTCCCATAAGTTTTCCCCTCAATACACACCTGTACTACCTCCAACCCCCCCCCCCCCATATATACAGTGCGTCCCAGAAAAAATAAAACCAAGAATTAAAGAAGACAAAAGACTTCATGCAGACTCCACGGTCAGCCATGCATAAAGTCTTTTGTCAAAATGAATAGAATTTATGGAAATGCAAGCATTACTTTAAGCAAACAAAACTATGTTATTCCTGGCTCATTTTTTCTGAATGAGGTGTCATATGAAGGGGCTGAAAATAAACTTTCCAGAAATGTGATTTTCTCCTTGAAATTCAAATAACATTTGCAGAATGACTTTTTGGTACCCTTTCATTATATTCTTTTTAATCACTCATGCATGAAATATACATCATATGAGTTGCATCAAATGAATGAGGAGGATCTAAGCTTTCCAAATATGTGTCATTTATTAATTGTAAGTGTGATTAGGCTATGAAAAAACATTGATAATTCTCAGTTTGTTTTTTTGTGACGCACTGTATATTTTATAAATATATTTTTTATTGTTATATGGGGAAGTGAGGGATATATTTTATTAATATAAATTTGTTCAGAATTCAACTACAGTATTTATAGAGGAAGTCCATCCTGATATAAGTTGAAGTTATGGATTTTGAAAGTTTTCATCAATGAAACAGGAATTGGCAACACTGCATATCTTTTTATTTTATTTATATGTTTTATTAACACTGCATATCTTGCAAAGTCCTCTCCAATTTGCTCTGAACATAAATTTCATAAACTTTCAAATTGCTTCATACAGGGATTGTAAAGAAACTTCTGCACTAATTATGTTTAGGGTGCCTTTATGATTGTACATTTTCTTTAGGTAAAAAAGAGATTTCAAAATCTTTTTTATTACAGAACGGAACGGGAAGGAACCTCGCAAAAATATAACTTCTAAAATTCATAATTTTCTTGTTTTTAATCATTGCTTTAACTTTTGCTGACCTGTTCCTCTCATTTTTCTGCTTCCATTTTTTAATATTTTATTGTTCAAAGTTTGAACAGGCTATTAATGTATTCATTTTGTAGAATTCGGCTTAATCTTCAGCATTTGACAATGTAAACACTGTGCAAATTTGCTATTTGGCGCAAGATGATGCGTGCTCTTTTATGATTATGTAATTCTTTTTTCCCTGTTGCGTGAAACACTCCTCCTCTACAGCTACCCACCACCAAGGCCCCGTTACAGTTCTCCTCCGCCGCGACAGACGTCTGCATTCTAAAAAGAAAATCGCGACCGAATTACTGGATATATCCTCGTCCTGTTCCACCACGCTGATACCAATGTATTCGGTCCCTTCCGAGCTCCGTTCCGTTATTATATATATATGTCAGACTTTCAGTTTGAGTCGTTTGATCCGGTTCTCGGTATCAAAGAGTGGAATATCAAGGAATGTACATAGTATCATGGACAGATATAGGAGACTGAATGTTAATAAAGCTCTCTTGGTTCTAGTAGATTTTTGTGTGCGTATCAACGTCAACCTTTAGATCATGTATATAGCTTTAATTCTTTTTTATCCAAACATTTCCTGATCAAAGAAAGTATTAAAAATGGTTGGGCTCAAGGATGTTAAGAAAAATAAAAGAAAAGAAAACTTACCCATTTGATTTTTGCAACTGTATATATTTTGAAATATGTTAAATTTTGAGAATCATAAACAGCCCTCCGTTGCATCAGTTCCATTTACAATACCCAGTGTTTACTCGTTACCGTTGAATGTTCGCTGACATTGTCTGCTTGAACCAGATACCGCGATGTCCGTTTAAATAAAAGTAGATTGTTGAATGTAGAGCATCAGAAATTAATCTTTTTATACTGTATCAACAAATTGAATGCTTCTAGCGTGTTTTAGTCTATGTTGTAATTCTGTCAATAAAAGTTAAGATAAATTCTGAAGGAAAAAAACATTATGCAGCTGTCTTCTTTTTCTGGAGTGTAAAGTAGCAATTCTATTAATTTTGCCATCATATACATAGTCCGGAGCACATGTATAGTGTCATCCAATTTCCAACCGCTAGTAGTTTTAGTCTTGCAAAGCTGTTTGGACTAAATTCCCTGTTAAAAATAGTTATTTTGAATATTGTTTTTGGGTTAATTTATTTGGGGAAGTTAATCAGACAACAAGCTGGAGTTCATGTGTGTTATATGTATCGTGGAGCCAAGGTATTCCTGGAGTGCGTCATTGACCGTGTATTATATGATGAACATTATATACGGCGAGCGTGAAGGTGTATTTGCCGGATTGCTTCAAGAGTTCATGCACCAATGACCGATCTATTCACCGTGCGATCAAAGAAACGCTCTCGTGTCTTGATTATTCCTCCTGAGAACCTGTAAGTATTCCTCCTTGCGTAACCGGAAAGAAAAGAACGGATTAAGCCGGCAGATGGAGCCATCCTTTCCTTACCGATTGCCGATTAGCAATGTTGAAGAAATCGTTCCTCCTGTATATAGGGTTTCCAAACAGTTATAGTTGTATCTTAGTAATAAGGAATAATGATGACGTAGGAATTGGGAATTTAATTGAAAACTTGGCCGTGCGACACTACATAGATATCGAGCTTCATTTATGATTTCATACTATGGATATCATACATCATGATTCAATCATTCATTGCAAGTAATTGATGCGTAACGATTCATTACTAAAAATTCTTTCATGCATTTGAGTAAATGTTGTAAGCAAAATATTCATACAGTTAATGCAATCGTTCATCTGCCAAAGAATTTACTGTCAAGTTATTACCACTTCTTGATTTTCTCTATGGTTAAATCCAGATCATCCACTCACAATGGCTTTCAACCAGCTGAAGCCCTTGACATGATCAAACATTCCGCTCACCAGAGACCCCAGCATGAACATCAATCCAATGGCTATGACATCAGCAGCCCCAGACCAAGGGGAAGTCCTCAAAGCCGAGGTAGTCCAAGACAGTCCTACCATCAAGCCAAAGCATTCCATGGTGCTCTGGGCAACCACAACATGTCCTACAGACCAGAGATGTAACTTGGTTTCTCTCCTACAGTAGGATGATATCGGGCGACCTAGTCTTCATTCTCCCTGACAAAGGTTGTATTCAAGGAGAGCTCTCATCGCTCATTCAATCAGGTATGCAGTAGTGGTATGATGAAGATTGGCAATGAAGGAGTTAATAAACATTAGAATGGAAACATTTAACACTGACCATCACATCCACACACCTCTGCTAGAGGATAAAGACAATTTGTAAGAAAATAACAAAAATTGTTTCCTGTATGCTATGAATTTTTTATAACCATATTTGTTTTATTTTTCACCCATTTTTAAAGGTTTCAGGTATTGATAAAAATGAGGATTAAAGATTATTTTGTATTTTAGCTGTGCTAATATTTAGAACTTCTTCTTTCCTTTCCATTTCCATTTTGCACAGGAATCAAAGTGGAAGGTGGAGAATCATGCTGTGACGATAGGTGTTTGTGACAACCCAATTCAACAAGTTTGACCTTATACTGTGTCCACTCAAGAGGCTTGAAGCTGTTCCAGACATGTTACCAGCACATAACCTGTTATTCTTTGTTTCTAAACCATATACTAGACATTTCAACTTCAGGGTAACTTGCTTTACAGAAAATTAATCTTTTAAAATCCTTATGAGATTAATGCAAGTTCATGAGATGTTTCTCTTCTATGAAAGCATCCTTTCTCATAAATGAAGTTATCTCTGATTTTATAAACTGTATGTGCATAGGCTTAAGCACAGGAGATGCATTGGTTTGCGAAATCAGTGGTGAAATTAGAAATATTCGGTGTATGCAGGGCTCCACATTAACTTAACTTGTTGTAGTTGGGGGGGGGGGGGTGTGGTCTGAACTGACATAATTGAACCTATATGCATGTAGGAATTCTAATCTTTTGGGAGTCCAGACCTAGATTTGGGGCACCTGTTGGTGTCGAGCCCTGGGTGTATGACAAAACTGGTTAAGTCTGTTGATGTGAAAAGTGTAATGAATAAAGTTATTACTAAATTAGTTATGTTCATTTTTAACTGGAATAGTTGATGAAATCTGTCTCACAGTGTTGTATTCAAATTAGTTCATGGACTAGTCTCGCATGATGAGCAGCTGAAATCATAATGTGCCATTCATCACTATTATCAAACTGCCTTGAGTAAAAGTATGTAAATGTGGTATATTTCGTCAATTTTCATTACTACCCTGGTACTGCCGTTCTTTATGATACATTCCTGTAGGATTTGTGTAATGCCAAATTAGTGATTTCTATCAAACATACCCGGTATATTTTTGTATCTGTTCGTGACTCTTTATTTATTTTTTCAATCTTTTTGGCCTCGATTCATATTGCGAAGTTTATTCTGATACTTAAAATAAAGGAAGATTGGAAGGGTTTCAGACTTCATTAGAAATCATAAAAGACAAGTTAACATGTTGGGCTGATGTAATATGAAGAATGGTACTTTTCATGAGGATGCATTCTGGAATGCATTTTTAGAGAACAACATGTTTTCACTGTGTATTGAACCTGATATACATTGAGAGGAATGAAATTAACCAGTGAGACTTGAAACTTATTATTGCCCATCTTTATTAGATTTTTTGTGTGGAAACTACATCAGAAATTGTTCAGCATGCTTGCCTTGTTTTATCATTTCTTCACCATAGGAACTGTATACCAACTCTTTTAAAAGATAAAGCACTTTGTCTTGCAAGATATACTTCATTGACATTAATGATGATAAATGCAGTTGACTTAATCAGCATTGAATGTGTACACTTCCTGTTCTGTTAGCTCTACAGTGTTCGATAACAAAACAAAAAGAGTTTATTATTTAAAATTTCCACACTTTAGACTCAATTTCAACCGTGACAAAGATCATGGAATATTGTAGGAATCGCATATGTTTCCAATATGTTCATTTGAACCAACTTTATGACCCCATACCAAAACTTTGTAATACTTTTAAGGATCAAATAGTATTACTATGAATTGAAACAATCATAAACTTTTTTCTTCCTGACAGATTATAGGACAAGGTTTCATCTACAGAATGATAATTTCTGTTAATGGTTATTTTTGTGTGATATTGGAAATCCCAACATAAGTACACCATCATTTGCCAAAGAATATGATAATGTACAGTACTTGTTTTTTATGCAGTTTAAAAATCTATTTCAGTATTATGACACTTTGATACATACACTTTTTCCAAGAGAAATGTTTTTGTTGTTTCCATATGCGATCATTAAATGCTGAATCGTTTTTTTCTAAATCATGTTTAAAACTCATTTTATAAACTATTTGTGCACAAAAGGTGATAAAAATGAATTAATCTGTTGATGGCAGTGTAAGTTTGTATGTGCATACCAGTTATTTACAGCCTAGAACAAAATCTATGCTAGAGCCTGTGACGAGAGCATTATAATGATATGAGACGGCAGGACGGTATCAATATTATACAGTTATTGACTGGCAGGGGGTGTAATACAGGTATAACATTATTTGGACCGCTGAAGGGAGTTATATTTCCCAAGTGGTTATATTTTTCCAAAGCGCACAGCGCTGAGGAAAAATATGGTCACGAGGGAAGATATAACTCCCTTCAGGTCCAAAGGATGTTATATACCCCCTGCCAGTCAATAACTGTTATATTAAATAGCCTTTTTTGGGGGGGGGGGGTCTATATTTTGTTTTTCCCGAAATTTTTAAAAAAAATTCGGGGACAATCAAAATTACAGAAAAATAATCTGTCGAGATAGTTCAAGAATTTACCGAAAAAAGCATTTTTGGGGAAAAAAAGAAAATGTGGAAAAAATGATTTCAAGGGAAAAAAAAAATCATGAAAAAAAAATTTCACCAGCCGGTAAAATATAACCAACCAGGAAAATATAACAATTTGGATCCTCGCAATTGATATCACGTGACGAGCTCTGGACCAATCACATCTCGGTATCTGTCTAAGCTATCTAATATAAATGGTTATGTATTTTTTTTTAAATGACCTGCCTGTACAGTACCATATGAGAGTTGCATGTAATCTTGTGCATGATAAGAGAGGAGTTCTTGTGACTGCAGAAAAAGAGGCAACCTAGTTAATGTGTGTAGATGGATGAAGATAATTCCAGCTTATATCAGTAGTTGAGAGAGAATGGATGAAAAGTAAAATGTGGGGATTGGGGGAAGAGATGGGAGAGTGAAGGAGACTAGATGTTAATGTATTGGTTGAGTGGAATAAACACAAGTTGATCACTAGATGAGAGCGAAAAAAGATACATTGGAGAAAGGACAGAAAATAAAGAAAAGGGTTGCAAGATGGAAGAAAAGAACATGGAATATGAGAAGGAAAGGAAAAATTATACTAAGAGAGTGAGACGAAGCGGAGTAGAAAAGAGAATCATATGGGTTAAAGTGGAGAAATTAGACGCAATTAACCCATGGCATAAAGTGGCACCTTTTTGTGACATTATATTTGTATCTTTTGATCCAGAATGCTCTTAATTACTAATTGATGGAAATTTTAAGTCTGCTTCTGATGCAGTACATTATGTCGTCCACTAATGAGAGTGATTTAATTGTAAATAATCATTGAAGTCTCTAAATTGGCAACAGTAACATTGTAATCACTGTTTTGTGGTTCTAGTGGGCAATTTCTTTGTTGAATTTTGATGATTTTAGTCACTTTCATGTGGAATATATTTTTATTTCTTTTTATCAATGAAAGACAGGAAAATATTACTGAATTTTGAGACAGAAAAGGTTATTTGTTTCGAGCATTAGAAATTCTGAACTGCTATAAGATGTCTAGAGTTTTAAGTAAAATTTTATTCTTGTAGTGTGGAAACCTATTTCAATTTGCGAGTTATGACATTGAGCGTTGTAATTCTTATTAAAAATTGTCATGATCAGGGAGGTGTTTCACAAAGATAGTAAGTCGAACTTGACTCTTTAAGTTATTGAGAGCCATTTGTAGCCTTAAAATAAAATATGTTCAAAAGAGAAAAATCAAGTATCTTGGACTTTATATAAATTCCACATCAAGAACATGAAATCTCCTTGAAAATAGAAAATAAGAAAGATTTGAATGGACATTTTTTGCCTTTTAAAATACTTTTAACAAAATATTTTCATAGATGCTAACGGCTTTCCATAATTAAGCCAACTTAGATATAAGTTCAACTTAGGATCTTTGTGAAACACCCCCCTGGTGTATTTATCATAAACAGAAGTTTTTCATGTCTTTAAGACATTGATGGATGGTTTACAGAAAATTTCAAACTTGAACATTTTGATGAGAAAGAAAGTAGAAAATCCAGAACAAGACATAGAAGGGAAGAAATTTGAGGGGAAATAATTTTTAGGTCATGTTTAATTAACCTTATTCTTATTAATAATTTGGACTTGTTACTATTGTTGGGACTGTCCTGCCAAATTAGGTAGGATATGTAAATAAATGTTTGAATAATAGTGGGATGGTAAATCAGTAAAAGCATTTACACGTATGCAATAATTAGCTGTTTATGTACCACATACTGTATGTTACTTTGTTATGACATTTAACTGAATCTACAGTATCATTACCCTAAAAAAGAATAACACATACGGTAAGACTTGCTTTCCCAAGAAATATAGAAACAATTTATTTTATTCATTTTTAATTGTGCCAGCTCTCCTGTTAATATTCTCTCAGAAATGATTAACATTCATGTCTGGCAATAGCATGATTCATACATATAACCATTATTACATTTATAATGAAAACAAAGTCATTCTGAAGTCTATCAAGTAATCATATAAATACTGTAGCATACAATGAACTGCAACATGTAACAAACTGCATATTGCTAATTTGCTATCTACTAAAATGAAAGTTAGATCAAATATTTCACACTGTTTTGTCACAAGAATGGTAAAATCATACTTTTCCTTACAAAAAGTTTAATCATAATGAACCCAATACAAGGTCATCAGTCATGTAGCACAAGATTAAAGGAATTTTTAGTTATTTTTAAGATTAAAAGGAAAAAATTTGTCAATATTTCAGGCAAAAAAGGAATCCACACTTGAAAGGCTGGAGAGGAACAATGTAGATAAACGCTTTGCTTAAGGGCATAAGTGCCAGTCAAACCCACAATCTTTGCATTCCCAGTCAAGGGATTTAATCACTAGACTACAGCACCTCTAACATTATGACATTTCACTGTGCCATACCACTTGACATCCAGCCAACTTCCTAAACAAATAATTGGTTTTGTTATCATTGGTCACCCAAGCTATTTTTTTTAAATTTTCGGATGAAACAAATAACCCTTGTTAAAAGGATAATAAAGATCCTAGCTCTGTATAACATACAGCTATTCGGCTCATCATTCATACCTGAATGATACATCAGTTATGTGACAGTTGATTCATCTTGTTGTCTAATAAGATAAGAGTAAATTAACCCTGAAAGTATTGTCAAACACTTTCAATTTTATAAAGTGGAATGGCTGAAGAGATCGAATCGACAGTTTTCATAAAGGTAACAGATAACCATTTTTACAGACAAGCATGAGGTCCCGTATTTAGTCTGCAATGTAGTACTGTTCAATCACAGACTCCTTATACTATGACCACTTACAGGTAAAAGAATGGTCAATGAAGAAGTATGAGTGTCTTGTACTGATCAGGCAAAGTGACCAAAGGCATGCAAAGATTTATTCATAAAAAATTGTTTAAAAAGTTTTTCTTTTCAGGATTCAGGGAGTTTCTTGATCCAACTGGGTTAAAAAACAACAGTGAACATACTATTGATCGTTCTATATATCTTTCATCATATACATGTATGTACATATAGTGCACAAACAAAGAAATGATGCTTACAGTCAAGTAAGTCAAAGGGTAACTTTCTTACAAACAAAATTCCTTGTAATGCCAAAACACATGAAATGTATATGAGAGACCGTAACATAACCAATACGAACTCAAAATTTTACGAATTTTATTATTCTGCTTATATTGCAATAAATGACATAAAATGGACTTACCTAAGTAAATACATGTATAACATACAGATTGATTGCCAATTTTTTTTACAAAGTTTGACTTATATTATCATTCTGCTTATACTGCAGTCAAATAATGACCTATCCTGCATCAAATATAGCATTTATTCCATAGATAGTCCATACCACCTTCAAAATTGGACTTAAAACAAAATTCATATAAAATTGGTTCATCTTTCGGTGGAATTCAAAATGGACAAGTTTTTTAATCCAAATTTCTTGACATATGGTGAGAGCAAGATTCTGTGAATAGACGCAACATTCCCCAGCACCATCAAAGATTGCGCAAAACCTAAAAGAAAATAGTTCCACCCGATGAAGGAATCTATGCATTACGCATAACGTACAGACTGTTTGCTGAGAGCCAGAAGGGCATTGACTCTACATGAAACAAGTTAACACCCTTCTGGCTCTTCCCTGACAAAAGAATTATGAACGTCTATGAACTGTATATAAATTAGTTGATATGATTGCAGAAAGACACACCCACACCAGACACTCACACAGAGCAGACACTAATGGGGCATATCCCAGGGGTCAATGGACGTGGGGTCAATAGAGTTGGGTCGCTTGACACGAGCATAAGGTCCTATCTTAGGGCTCATGATGAAATCCCATACTACTTTAGCAAAGGATTCATGAGTTGGCAGTGGATCGTAGTACTCTGGTGCGATCTTCCTGATCTGTATTCACATGGAGAGAAAAAGAGGGGAAACAATAAATATATTGACGAAAAAAGGTATATAAATATTTCCTGTAACTAAACGTTATTGATCTGAATTCACAATACACAGTCTGCCCTTAATCCAATATCAGTTGTGCAATCAATCTATGACTAAAAATATTCTTTTCCATTTAAAATACCATTAACTTGAAATTTGATATAGTGATTCTTCTGTATGTATGAATCACTTCATAGTAAGGTAATTTGAATAATAAAGAAATGAATACAAACAAAATGTTCTTTTACCTAATATATTGAAAAATTAAATTCATTTAATAGTTGTCTCTGCAAAAGTCCAATCTGTTGGACCGCACAATAAAAAATATGCAAAATTCAACTTAGGTAGTATAAATAACACAAGTTTTGAAAGTAAAATATTTGGTTTAATGAAAATTCAACTTGTGCGACTTTGAGTAAACTGCAGTGCAATTTGCACAATAATGCAATGCCTAATTATAGAAGCGAATTGATGGCCTGATTCATACAAGGTTATAATTAAGCAAACTCACAAGTGGAAGTTTGTATCCGGGGATGTTTGGGAAATCATGGTGCTCCATGTGGTATCCCACATTGAAGGCAATGTAATTGAAAGGTCCATAGTAAGAATATGTCTCGTGTCCTTCCTCATAGAGGTAGTGCTCTGAGATGAAGTGACCAGCCAGAGGATGAAGACCCATGGTCATCATAGACCCCAAGATGAGATAGATGTAAGCCTTCAGACTGAAGAAATAGATGATGGCTGCATTGAAGACTATCTGGATAGCAAGGTTGATGATCTCTAGCTTGCTGGGAACCTGGTCAAAATCAAATTGAAAAGCAGATATATCAATTCTGGCTAATTACATGCATATTTCATTATCATCGGGGAAAAGGGTGAAACTGAATTGGTCAAAATTATTATTTAACTTCTTGGGGGCAATGACAGATCAATCAATTCAAACTGTGATTCAAAGTTTTGGGACATCAAGGTAACCAATAAAATATAACAACTGAAATATATTCATTTGGAAAAGTCATTTTAAAGCACTTGATGAAACATTCAGAAAATGTAGGAATGTAAAAGAAGCATTTATTTCTGTAACAAACAAAACATATTTTGCCCAATATTTTATCAAGTGCAAAATATTTTTAAAGAATATGAAATGTGTTATCTTTTCTGAATGAAGTTTTCTCATGTAATGTGGACTATATATCCTAGGCTATTGTTATGTTCAATTCTCATTAAGAAGATTAACATACCTTAGGTCTCTTGATGAATGGTCTGAAGGCATAGAAAGCTGGCTGTAGGAGCATCCAGATAGCTTTAGTAAAAGGCTTTCTAAAGAGGATGCCTTCCCATTCTGATGGGATATCAGGATCCAAGGTGTCTTCACCCTACATACATAGATTGGAAAGAGTTGATTAATTATAAGATACATCATAAACAAACATTAACTTAATAATGCCTACAATTGACATTTTCATGAATTAACATGAAACTACAAACATTTTAATGAAATATAAATATTGTATGAACGTAACATGTACCTTATTCGCATGCACAGTAGTGTTCAATAAAATATTATTGACAGTTTGAAGAAAACAAATTGTTACAGTCTTTTACATGGTGCGAAAGTGAACAAAGATAAAGTATAAAATACTTACAATTCCAAAAATGTTATGCACGCATTTCATTTAGCATAATTTCTAGCAAATATTGTATATTTTGTAAGGGAATTTGAAAATTCATCTCACAGCACAGATATGGTAATTTCAAAGCACCATTCCAAACCAAGGGTCAGATGTTTAAATTAAGGATTGGTAAAAGTATTTAAACATTCTGTATTTAATTAACAGGCATCGAGGCATTCTGTTGGTCATCTTCTGAAATCTCTGGTTAATGACTTCTTTATTCTACTAGCACATACAAGGCATTTCAAACTGTACACCTAAGCCTATCTGTTCTGTCAATTTACCACTGAGGTAACTCAATGTGTTGTGAGTTGATGTATCCCTGGAGTATAATCTTTACCTGATACTTGTGATGATCCTGGTGATATCTCTTGAAAGACACTGAAATGGGTACACCTATCACCAGATTACCAATGAATCCTATTATCCTGTTCCACATTGGTTTAGCATGTCCATACGCCAAGTTGTGACCAACCTCGTGTAGTGCCAGGGTCATGGAATGATTGACCACCCCTCCAAAGCAGTAGCCTACGATGACAATGGTCATCCATGATTCGTTCCGGAGAAGGTATGACGTGATAACTTGGACCAAAACCATGGCAAGCATGATGTTTGCAATGTTGGTATCGTATCCCATTAGCCTCTTGATTTGTGGATATTTTTCTGAAAGAGTGAATATGTGATTTTATTTGAAAAAGTAATTATTAAGAAACCTTACCTCAGCTCAAGGATCAAGAGCTGAATTACAAGGAATATATACATCATGCATAGAATAAAGAGAATAAGGCGCCCATCAAAGAGATTGCTGAATTTAGCGAACTTCCTGCGTGTGCGCCTTCAAGTTACTTTAACTGCTATTATCATAAAGTAAGTATCAATTGGCAACATGTGCGTGTATAGTTTGTATACCACATGTTTTTGCATTTCAGCAGGAACCAACATTGCTAACTCTTGTAAGAGGTCAGTGTTTTTGTAATGTAAATTGCACCTTTATTAGTTTTTAATGGGAACACGTGGAAAGTAAACAAATCTCTATCACTCCGTTATCACAATACAATTGCATACCGTACTGACGTTGGGGTGCAGGCGCGAATGTAATCTTAGATCCTCATTAAAGATACTATGTCCCTTTTTCAGCCAACATCAAATTCTGTAGAACTTTGCAGGAATTATGAACGTGTTATGTATGTTCTATCTGTGAAATTTAAACTTGAGCAGTTTACTTAAACCCGTTTACTTGCTAGACTTCACTGTCAAACACTATTGAGTGACTGACTGGCTTTTTTCATCTTTGGTAATATTAAAACATACATAAAATGAGCATTTGTCTACATCAATAACCCACTTCTTGTAATGGCCAAAATTAAACTGATTGAATCTTTGCGCAGCATAAAACGTACGACCATTCGGTACAATGGTCTGAAAAATCAGACTATTATTACTTACTGGCGCTGGCTCTATAGCTAAAGTCGATTCGACAACTAATATTCGTTATTTTCCCACTTAGACATTTTCAAGCCCCCCTTTTTTTAAGGAAGTTCTAAAGTAGTATTGTTTTTCAAATGCCATTGGAATTTAACCTTTTCATTTTTTGGGCCTGCAAATGGGACATAGATCTAGGTCTAGTACCTTTAAATGATTAAGTTAAACTAAGCAATTATTGAATTAATTGTTACGGTCGTTAATTTCACACACGCGCGCACGCCAGCACCCCAACGCCGGTATGGTATGCAATTGAATCATGAAGCAGCTTGCCGTGAATTCTGTGAGAAAGTGTATATGATGAGTCTTTGCTTTTAGGAAAAAATACTCCAAAAATGATAAGGAAGTTGACACGAAATAGGTAAGATCTGAGAGTAGACCAAGAAACATAACATTGATGATTGATTAACATAATTAACAACAACTTTTATTTTAAATCATGATCATTATTTGAACAATTGAATATTGATGAAGATTTACTTTAGTCGATTTTTGGTATGTTTTAGTAGGGTCAAAGTATGGATATGATTCTGAATTAGCGCCGTATTATTACCCAAATAAGAGGCTAGAACGGACGAAAGAGACCTGGAAACTGTCCGATTTGCTTATTTCACACGACAGCCGACATCCAAGTTTGTACGTGGGACTGTCGATTGTCTCCACTCCAAGCAAGTTGGTCGATTGGTCTTGATATTATCTGCTTTATGATATGTTTTTCTACTACAAAAATAATACTTACTTAGCATCTCCTTTCTTCTTGTGAAGTGTGGTTCATCAGTGTACACCCATGCAAAGTCTGATCTTGACACTGAGCCCCCCATTTTGGAAGAAATATGTCCAAAAAGTCTCTTGATCACTCCGAAAATAAACCACACCTTCGATACTAGTGCATGCTAGTGAATTCGATAGCAACGTTAACGGCGATGAGGCGCATTCCATTATAAAATTAGGGGTGATACATAATACTAATTTAAAATGACTTTTCCAGCAAATTCCAGGTAGGAATTTAAAAAATAATTTAAGTTCTAAACCTCAGTTGTTGTGTTCATTTTTAATAAAAAAAAAACAAATTTGTTGTTTTCTGTAGGATTTGTTAATTATTAATTTTTATTAGGCACAAGTTCCCTTCTCTGAACCCTACAATAATAGTAGATTAACCATAAGAGGATTGCGTAAAATCTAAAATTACATCATCAGTGTGTGGTGCATATTTTGTGCACACATACTTATTTTGCACGTATACCATGCATATACCATACATGCTCTGAGAAGGGCGGCAACCAGAGATAAGGGCGGTATTATTACTGGAAGGGAGGGGTACACAGAGGCGGCTCTCAAAGGGTGGCAGGGTGAACAGTGCCCCCCCCCCCCACCACTAACTTTTTTTTCTTCTTCAAGTACCCCAAAATTCCCCTCCATTTTTACATAGGAAAAGTGCCCCTTTTACTTTGACAAGTAACCCTATTCATTTGTAAAAGTGCCCCTTCCCCGTTTCACCTCGGATAAGTGCCCCTTTTAATTTGACACTCGCCCCTTTTCCTTCGAAAAGTTCTAGCTCATTTTCCTTTGCAATAAGTGTCCATTTTCCATTCTCATAAGTGCTCCTTGTTATATCTGGTCAGTGCTCCTTTTCATAAATGCTCCTTTTCAGCTCTTATAAATGCCCCTATCAAAATATGATGGGTGCCCTTTTTCCGTTGACAAATGCACATTTCCCATTCTCATAGGTGCCTTTTTTTCATTCCCGGTGAGTACCTCTTTATGTAGGTGTAAGGAGTGCCCCATTTTTTTTTCTCTGGTAAATACCCGTTGTACTTTGACACGTGCTCCTTTTCTTTTCTAATAAGTGTCTTTTCCCTTTCGAAAAGTATCCCCTTTTCCACTCATCATTAAACGCGCCTCTATTTTCAAGCGACTAAGAACAATTTCCCCCTAAGCTCGCTAGCTCGCTACGCCCATTTATAGATGATATCATTATGTTACTTATCAAATGGCTTTTCGGTCTTCCGTTATGAGAATGTGTTTATAAGCCCATCAGGATTGTGGTTTTTCCTCTTTGATATTATTTTTCGCACTGCGACCTCACAAATCTTAAAATATTTCCTTGCTCGCTTCGTTCGCAAATGAATTTTCAGACCATCGCACCTGCAAAGTATGATATCTTGTATATGATGTATACAGAGAAAAGAGAAACAAACATTGAAATCATCCCTGATAATCACAATGTATAGGGGTATGTACCAATGTCTAAATATTGTCCATTTTCGCTTTGAGATTGTCCTTGTATAGGTGCCCTTTTTTGTTGGTGCCCCCCCCCCCAACTTTGGAAGTCGCTCGGACGCCCCTGGGATGGGAGGTGTGATTGCATGGACCATTGAACTATGAATTGCAATAAATCCTCCCAGAAGAAAAATAGACAGTTTTTATAGGGTAATTTTTTTTTAAATGTATGTACAGCTTCAAGAAAGTGTGAGAATGAACTTTTTCCCCTTTTTTCTCGCCTGCTTTACCTGAAATATTTTCTATGCCCCTACCCTCCTCTTGACTTTGACGGTATAACTTAAACAAACAACATAGCTCGCTTCTTTTTGGTAACATGGAGGTGTATGTAAGCATGTCTTCTAGCTCCAGAATGGTAAACCTTGCAGACATGATAATGATAATAATAATCCGTTTTTTTATATAGCGCTCAATATACCGATCCAACGATGTGCCTAAGCGCTTTACAGATATATTATTACCCCGGTCATCAGATTCTTGCTTACCCGCACACAATGTGTGCACATTTTCCACTCCCTGGGGAGCATTCCAGCCAGTCGCCATTTTACAAGCATTTTACATCTGCCTGAAATGTGTACCACTAGAAGATCAGAAAAAGAATTACAATGGACTTGTTTATAGAAACGAAAAAGTGAATTCTGTAAAAAAAAAGTCATAAAGGGCTATGATCAAAGTTGAAGAGGGAACTTATCGCGACTGAAAAGGGGCACTCGACGGAAATGAAAAGGGGCACCCTTAGATTTAAATGTGGAATGTGAAATAAAAAGGGGTACTTTTTCTATGTAAAAAGGGGTACATTTGGGGGTACATATCAGAGTGGGGGCACTGGATAAAATTTATTTGGGATGGGTTTCTTTTTATATGAAAGTCTACTGTCATTTTGTGTTAAAAATTATCACCATAATGTGTTCTTTCTACTTTGACAACACTTTTTAAAGACCCTGGTGCTCAGTCACCCGTGACAAATATTATGAATAGGACATCATTGGACAGAGAATAAGTTACTCATCGTCATGAAATAGATTTTAAAGTCATATTCAATTCAATTCAATTCAAGAGTTCTTTATTCGCTTTAAAAAGCACATATAAAAAAAAATAAAAAAAAATATACAATATATTCTACAAATAGGCACATTCACAATATATGTAAAGACAAAAAAACAACATCAACAACAGAATACATGTATAACAGGGTAAGATCAGAGTGTGCATAAATACAAGATAATTTCCTCGCACTCCTCTCGGTTAAGGAAACCCTTACATAAATAATCATCCCTCGAGTTGATCAATTCCTTTACTTGTTCAACTATGCGTATTGTCTCATCATTCACTTGGCATTGCACAGCCCACTGCTTTTGAATTTCATTGTTATCCATGAAGTACTTATCATTCAAGAATCTTATGTTACCTCCCAACACAGAATGAGCTCCATACCTGGCCATTCCAGCTATATGTGCCACTGTATAATTTTTGGAATTCATAGCTTTCAAAACAAAAGATAAACATCTTTTTGCAAACCATAACTCTGGATCCATAACACCTGCTAAATAAGGCAAAAGATGACAGTGTGTCTGCCATGGAATTTTCCAAACCCTTCTTATTGCAACCCGCCATTGTCTACAAATATTATCAAAACATTTATCAAACAGAGGATATAACTGTGAGCCATAGAAACTCGAACAATATTTATGAAACAATATATTTCTTATGTGAGAGTTAGCATATTTGAAATTAAACAAAAACATATTACATTGTCGATTGAAATCTCCAACACACTTTGAGATATCAAAATCATTTATATTCTTAGAAATATCATTCCCTAGATGAGTTACTTTTGATGCAATATCAATATGTCTTCCATTTATCGTGATTCCTGGATCCATAACTGGTTTACCATTACAGCTGAAAACTATTAACTGACTCTTTTCAGGGTTAAACAAAATATCAAATTTAATGGCATAATCTAAACAAGTTTTAATCATTTCTTGAAGAGCAGTCACGCTAGGTGACAGCAGTGTCAAGTCATCTGCATAACCAAATGCTCCTGCAAAAACATTGCCCATAAAGCACCCTATCCCATTGTCACATAACTCTTCTATCAGCCCATCTAGATACAAACAGAACATGCAAGGAGAGATAACTCCACCCTGTTTAACACCATTTTTAACTGTAAAATAATCAGAATATGCATTGTTCCATTTCAACCTTAGCCTTTGATTCTTATACATATTAAGCAATAGCCTGCATATCATTGGGCAGACCCCTTTGCTCAGCATAATGTCAAACAATTTCACATAATTAACTCTATCAAATGCTTTACTAGCATCTAGCAATAATCCATACACATTACTCCCTTCATGATTAAAGTACGATACAGTTTCTTTAACCATAGCAGTACATAGTGTAGTTGATAACCCTGCTTTGAAACCAAACTGTAGGTCATTAGTCTGCAAGTTCCCTTCTTCCCTTTTCATAAATACATAATCCAAAACTTTACCAATGATACTACCAAGTGTTATTGCACGAAAGTTTCCTGAATCGCCCAAATTTTTCCAACGACCTTTAGGTATTGGTACCATTGTACTTTTGAGCATACCATCTGGCGACACTCCATGCCATAACATGGCAGTAAAAAGCATTGCTAAATATCCACTGATTATTTTCTTTCCATGTATAATATGATCAGACATCACACCTGTTACACCATCACTTTTGGAATGATTTAACCTAAGTATTGCTCTAGATACTTCATCTCCTCCTATAACATGGTCATTCTGTAAACACTCATTACATTCACATTTCTCCTGTGTAGTGGAGTTTATGTGATTCAATAACGTTTCCATATTTCCTTCATCATATCCAATACTTTGATATATCCTTCCAAATTTCAATGCAAACAACTCTGCTATATTTTCTTCCCCCTGAACACCATCCACTCTGTTTGGGTAACCCTTAGGCTTTTTTGAATGTTTCTTCACCTCTTTCCAAAAATTTCTGCTATTCTTCTCTTTTAATGCATTTGCCATTTTATCACATCTAACTGACATAGATTTGTTCAGCATCAATTTCAAAGCTTTATGATACTCAGACCTAGTTTTCTTTCTTAATCCATACAGTAATCCCTGAGATGGACGATCATTTTCAACCCATATCTTATGCCAAAATAATGCACTCCTAAAATAGGCCTCAACATGATCATTCCACCCAGGCACCACTTTACACTGTTGAGAACTGTGACTTGAAATCATCGCATCTGCACTACTCAGTAAAGCAATGATAATATCATCATGAAATACATTAATGAGGTCATGATGTTTTCTACATAACCTGTCCCTACATTGAATGGCTGAAACAGGGATTTTAATTTGCCTGAAGTTTTCTTCCAATTTTTGTTTATACAACTCCAAATCTTTTGATGATGCAAACTTCCAGTTCACTTTCCCTTCCCTTTCCTTTGATTCTGTTTCCTGATCAATTTCTGTTATCTTTATATCTAGCACACTCTTGACTGCCAGATGATCTGAAAAATTGTGAACACTGTCAATTGTTTCATACCCATGTAGTGCCTCAACTAGATTTTCTGATAACATACAGTGATCAATTAGAGATCTTACACCACTACCCTTGCTACAGAACGTATAATCAAAATTACAACAAGGATCATTTTGACATAAGTAAAAAGAATTCTGGCCTAAAAATTGCAAAAGTGTCGTAGCTTGGTGAGAGTCTCGAGAGATATCTGTATTAAAATCACCACATACACATACATAATCATTGGGGGTTCCTTGTAATATTGAGTCAAGCTCATTTAACGTGATCTTGTATTCATCCAAATTTCCATTCAGACACCTATCATCACAAGGCATGTATACACAACATATTAAAAGCATTTTCCCGTCATCTAGAGTAACTCTTACAGCTGTTAACCTCGAAGATTCTAAAACAACAGGTTCCACATTGAGTTTTAAGCCACGTTTCCATAAGATTGCACATCCACCATGAGGTCTCCCTTTTAGCAAAACATCTTCTTTCATTGCACTAACCCCATGTTTTCCTATTCCATTTTGCAATTTATCAAACCATCCAAACTGTGACTTACACAACCCATGTTCTTGTAACAGTAAAAAATCAGCTAAGCCAAAAAGCTCCTGTAAAAAAGGTAATTTTGCATCATTCGCACATTGTGTGTTATAAGAATTGTAAATTGTGTGTTATGAATTGTAAATTAGGAGGTACGAAAGTTGGGTACACTTTTTTTTATAACCACGCAGTCTCTGCTGTTCAGGCGCGAGGCCTGCTTTGAACACTCCAATTTTTTCAAAGTAAACGTTCCGGCCTCTCCATTCAAGTCATCGAACATTGTTACGTTCTGAACTTCGCTTCCGATTTATTCTAAACTCATCCACATGATCTCATATTCATTTTGTTTTCATATCATTTGTCTATTGATCACGTAGGCTATACGTCATTCGGTCTAATTTCCATATGGTCTAATATCCATTTAGTGAACTACCCATTTGGTCTATTATTCATTTAGTCTAATAACCAGTTGGTCTAATTCCCAGTTTGTATAGTGCCCATTTGGTCTACCACCCATATAACGTCTACTAATCATTTGATTAATATTATTATTTATTATTACATTAATATCAGACCACATAGATAATAGCCGAAATGGGCATTAGACAAAACTGGGAATTAGACCGACTAAAATTACACTAAATAAGCGATAGACAAAATAAGAATGGGGAGAATAGGGAGAAAGAGTGGAAAAGGTGATAAAAGCAACCCAGAATCCATTATGCCGTTAACGGTGGGCATTATACTAATTTCTTTTTAAATAATATACCTTTTGATATCCATAATCATAATATTTTCCACTCTTATTTCCATGCTCTCTCTTTCACGCCCCTCTCTCTCTCCTCCTTTCTTTGCTATAATTGTTCTTCTTTCTTTTTCTTTTGTTTCTTTTTTCTTCATCCTTCGTCTTCCTATTCTTCTTCCATGTGGAGATGCCTCGGTATAACGTTTTTTCATCATTTTCTTGTTGTTGTTATTATTGTTATTATTACTATTATTATTATTATTATTATTATTATTATTTTTCTACTACTACCACTACTACTACTAATACTAATTCTATCACCACCACCACTATGAGTAGTTGAGTACCAATACTTTTCTCCTTCTTAATAATCATTTTTCCTTCTTAAACTTGATATGAATATGCAAATTATAAGATTGGAATGTGTTAATTCCAAGAGAGGACGAGTTGTTAGATAATCGAGCTAATAAACCACGAATTAAAGATAACGAATCGTCCGATTTCGTTTTGATTTTTTAATGTACAGTATTCTTTAATTCTAAGTTGTTGAAGGGGAATATGTAATCTAATTGCTCCGACCCAACAAACTGAATTTCAAATGTGTGTTGATCTAAGGGCTGAACTGCTTGTCGGGCTGAGATGGAGGATAAACTTGATCTATAAAAAAAAAAAACCTATTAAAAAACAACGACAAGCAAACAAAAAGACAATATTTCTAATCTAATTAGGGTGATTCTTGAAATAATACTTATTCGGCTCATTCAATCTACGAATATAGTCCTTTCCAAAGGTATGGAATAATCATGATTGATATCTGATATGTATTTAAAATCACCATTCAAAATGAAAGAAAACGAAAAGACTATAGAAAGGGCGCCGATTGCAACGATATGGAATGAGGATAAGGACGAGATGTACTTTTAATTAATGATGATGTTGTGTATTATGAGATGCGATGAGGCTGACACAATCGGAGATTATGTTCTGAACTCGGGAGTGCGACCTACCCACCACCAGCCTTGTAATTCAGACTCGATGTGATAATGTTGTCACTGAGAGTAGTAAACTCATTAAAGAATGTTCAGCCTCTATAGGTCTTATCGTTGTAAATTGGAGACTGTTTTTTTAAAGTAAGCTTGATTGGTGTATGTACAGAGAAAAATGTAAAGAGAGAGAGAGAGAGAGAGAGAGAGTTGATTGTACTATTTTTTTACTCAATCAGGATGTAACTTTTATGTATTGGATATTATCGTTATCATGTTTTGAACTTTATTATTGATATTCATTTATTGAATGCTTAAATGAATCGAAATTAAACTCAATGAAAGGTAGAATTTAAAGCACTATCATACAACACACCTCTAGTCGTTTAGCTTGCTAGACTAGTGCATGCACAGTAGTTACACATTGAAATAATGTGAGAGCGAAGATGATAGCATGGTGTACACCGTTTCGTTGATGAAACAGAATATGAAAATGCACACGTTAGCGTGCGGATGAGTGAGGAATGTGTAATGCATGCACACGACCACCGACGACTCATTCAGCACACCGCTAGCTTTGCGCAACTTGTTATCTTCGGTAGACGTAAACGTAGGAGGGGAACTCGCACACTCTTATACACGTATTGCAGCACGGAGATGAAACCGAAAATATGGCGGCATCTTCATTGCTCGAAAAGATCGGAGATTTTTTAGAGTGTCAGATATGTTTGGACAGCTTCAGACGACCAAAGGTGTTGCAATGTCTACACACATTTTGTCAAGATTGTCTGCTTCGTATGGCGCCTACTGTACAAGACACAGTGGTATGCCCAACGTGTCGCGAGCAGACACCATTGCATGGAGAGGGTGTGGCAGACTTGAAGAATAATTTCGTGCTTTCTAATCTGTTGGATCTTGTCACCTCGATTCAGAAACCACTTGAAGACCTGCCATGTGGAGCACCCAATGGGACTACGTACACCTGTTCAAACTGCGAGGACAACTCGCCCGCATCTTCACGCTGTCTCAACTGCTGTGAATTTCTTTGTGAAGATTGCGTGAAGGCCCATCGACGAATTCGAGCTCTTCGTCACCATGTGATGCGAGATATTGAGGCATGGTTAGCAGCTGGACAGTGCATCCGTAGTCCAGGGGATGGTGAAGAAAATACCAATCTTGTCTACTATTGTCCAGAGCACGATGATCGTGTGGTAGCAGTGTTCTGTGAAGCTTGTGAGTTGGCGATATGTAGTGAATGTGGTCAAACCGACCACGCTCGACCTCCACATCGTGTCGTGACCCTTGTCTTGGCAGCTGATCGAGAACGAGATCAAATTCGACTCATCCTGGCTGATTGCAAGCGCAAACTTGGCGTCTTCTCAACAGCCATCGAGTGCACTGTCCAGATCGCCAAAGACCTTCAGAGAAGATCTGATCGAGCTCAGAAGGATATACAGAGACGAGCACGAGAGTTCCTTACCACCATACAGACTGAACAGGCCCGTCTTATTAACACCCTTCACAAGACCAAGGAGGATAAGGAGAGCGAAATGGCGGCCCACATCGACGGTCTCCAGCGTACTGTGGATATATTACGTAACATGATCTCCATGGCAGAAGGTGCCATAACCTCTGACAGCAGCACGGCAACGGTGTTCTCTGCTAAATCACAACTAACAACCCGTCGGCATGAGCTTGAAAACATTACAATTCTAAGCGTTCCTGCTGATCTCAGCTCTCTTAAATTTGAATTGAATAATGAAGGCAGTTTTCAGGGGGACTTCCTAGGAAGTATTAAGTCTTTAAAATAAGCGTCACGAGTCAGCAATGCATTTCCATAATTAACGTAGATGAATCACATTTAAGATGGATTATTGGAGTTCTACTGTGATGACAGTAAAAACGTTTCGTTAACGTGCACAAGTTGAACAATTTATACCGGGGAAAAAAACGATTGTAAATCTATTTGCATCACCTGTTTGAAAGATTTTGGTCCATTAAGATATAATTCCTTTTTCTGGCCTCGAATATAAACTAAAATTCCAAATATAGAATCTAAGACTGTCTAACAGGGATGAAATTATTATTGTCCAGAAATACATCGATGAATATATTTTCACATCAAGGACGATTTACATGGTTATGGCTTTCATGCGGAGGCCAGCTTAAGTTATATTAGCAATCAGTGTATAAATTTACAAAACGAATCTTACCATATGCAGAGTGTATGTGCATTGTAAAAATTTGAATCATTGTATATTTGGGTTTCAAACGATTGTCACATACTAATATTTACAGTTTTGGACTCAAGTTAAACTTGCCTTGAACTGAACAGGTTATCATTCGAATTCGTGCTATGTAGCATTCTAATTCATCTGTTTCATGCAACAGTAACTTTTCATGATGTTAAAATAAATTGCGTAACATGATATATATAATTATTTCTAGTATAGCTATACACACTAAGAAAAAATGGTGCAACTATGCACCTTAGGGGTTCAAGCCGATGCAACAATAGCAGCACCTTTAGGGGTTAAATCCTGCGCCCTTTTTTAAAGGTGCAATCCTGCACCCTTTACAAGGGTGCCAGATTGAACCTTTTAGGGGACATGTTAGTACCCTTTATGGTTCAATCCTGCACATTTAAGGGTGAAAAACGATGCAACAATAGCAGCACCTTTAGGGGTTAAATCCTGCACCCAACATCGAGGAATACTCATGAAATTTGCTCGTACACAAATACATATTAAACATGCATGATGTTTCTTGGTTAGTAATCATATAATCAATATATCTATTGCTAAAACGTGAATGTAATTGTAACATGATCAGACAAAATAATCTATTGGTTAATGATTGCCGAAGGAAAATACAAATCACAAAATTGATGTGCATTGTCATAATTTGCTTAAAAAATCATGATAAATGTATTTTATGTGAACACGTGGAAAGTAATCATGAATTGAATGCAATATGCAAACTTTTATTTTTCACCCTGTTTTGGTCGATAGGGTTCATTTTTGTGGGAAGGGTGCAAAATCTTACATTGCACCCTTTTTTGCACCCTTTTTTCTTAGAGTGTAGGGCCTACTAAAGGCTTGTGTTGTACAAGACATGATACTGTGTTTTAATAGTCAGCTGTAAAGTCTTTCTTTCCTGTCATAGCGTGATTATAATTCAAGCTTTAATGACGGACTTGTCAACAAATGATTTTTATAGGGGTGAATGTGACATCGCAATGCTTCCGATAGACTCTTTTATTTCAAAAAATATTCTCTTATTGATAGCCTTAAAGGCAAACAATACATGTGACGTATATGACTTAAAATGTTTAGTTTCAACTTTTGTTAAATTATAATTATATGTATACTATGAGCTATATGAAAATATTTATTTATCCTAAAACATATTAATTGATATCAATTTATTTACGTTCCTGTAGGATGGATAATAAGCAAACGATGATTGAATCGCAGCAATGTTCATGTATAGTTGAATGCTGGCACTCAAGCAGATCGATGTAGCAGTCAGTGGTACGATATACCCTGCTTCCTATATTGGAAATTATGGCAGTCAATTCAAGACTCGAATTGATATTCCATGGGTAAGCCGGTTATTTTTATTTTATTCTTGACTTGCATGCTTCAAGTCGTCAAGCAAATTGCATCTGGATGTTGCATTATTGAATTGTGTGTGACTCACTGCTGTATGAATATGGAATCGAGTTTCGATGGAATGGATGTATAAATGACTCGTATGCCAAAGTGAGATGGAGAATGTAAGCCAATTAGTGTGCCAGCTAGGAGGAAATGAATTCTACATACCTTCTGCTACAAGGCGTTCTGAAAATGGTGTCTTTTTGTGTCTTATTGATTGGGAAAGGTATAATTGTCAGCCCTGATAATGGTACAATAAATTATGTTATCTGCATTTAAACTTGAGTGAATATTGACAGAAAAAATATGTATATAAATTGTCAAGGAATGAGATCAACCATGATTGTATATTGAATGGGAAAGGACGTTCTCAAATTTTTGTGCATTATCTACCAGGTTAAATGCGCAAAATACTCAACTAGCCGTGTACACAAATTATGTACCATAATTTCCTTATATAGATTGCCTCCTAATGCCACTATTTTGCTGTATTATTCATATTTTAGAATATAAATGTATTTGTTGTTTATAGGAGCATTAATATGATTCTAGACAAGGCAAATATCTTTTGGGTTGATCTCTTCTTCTGAATAGATACCTCTCATTGAGTTACAGGTTTTGGTCATAAATCTGTTATTCAAAATTGAAATTATAACGCCTGGACTGATCTACCGTTATCCAGGTTAAAAACGATTATACATGAAATCAGTTTGGTTAGAGATTTACTACGACATTAGATTCCAGAAAGCAATTAAAATAAATAACGATGCAAAAGATACGAACATTAAACAATCCGTAAACTACAAAGATAAAACATTTAAAATGTTTAAAGGTATAGACCAGTTTTGGAAACGCCCCCTCTCAAAAAAATGAAATGTAAGCTCTTGTTACCAATCATGTGAAAGAATATGTTTTGACTATTACGTGATGATACAAATTCTGACGGGAAACCGCCTTCTAATAATATTGATATATTTGGTAAATTATCATATCTATCCGGCCTGGATAGATATCGCGGAGTCCCATATACATCTTTCTGTGTACAGTGCTTGTAACTTTACCAAGACTGGGCCAAATTTCTTATCATTTTTATTCCAGAACCTTGCAGTACACATCAATACTTATATGCTATAGATGATCAACCTCTTCTGATCGATTCCACAACATTTCTTTCACAATGCAATCGCATGACCTGAACTGGTCTATACCTTTAATGGCCACTGTATTATCCTCTTAAAATGTGACATTGAAATGATGCAGAACATATCCAAAACAGTAAGTAGCTTCGAACTAATTTTTGTTTCTGACCAAGGACGTAAATATTAGTCATGGTCCTTCATTTTTCGGAAGCCTTCCGTCGGCTTATACACCACTGCAATTTAATTTAGTGACTTGGATATACAGTTGGCCCAAGGGGGCACAATGTTACTAACCCCATCGAATGGTGTAAAATGAAAGAGATGGGAAACAACATTCAACAAGATCCTTCCAGTATCCCCAGCTCCCCTCACTCGATGCCCTTAATTGTTATCTTGCATTTCATCCATCTAGCTCGTTTCTTGGGGAGGCCGGTGTCTATTCCATGAAACCAGTGCCACTGGATGGTTAAACCTATATTCAACACCATTGCGATGGTTGTTTAGGTCAAATTGAAATGATCACCATGAATACACTTTGAAATGAATTAATGACCTTGTTTCTCTCCATTCCGTTTACATATTAAAAGATATTGGTGTGCACTTGAATTAAACAGTGACTAAAATTTCATTCATTTCAGTATTTGAATTGGCTAAGAGTAAGGGTTCTAAATATTTCTTTAGTTTGAACGTATGTTTTCTAAATGTTGAACAGTTGCTAATGATAAGAGATGACTTTAGAAAAAGACTAGATGGCCGGGAGAGAGAAAGAGATACAAAAGAGAGAGAGAGAAGAGAGAGAGAGAGAGAGAGAGAGAGAGAGAGAGAGAGAGAGAGAGAGATTGCGTAGATTAAGAGTTACGCGCGTGTCAGTGATGGATCCTGTATGAGGTGAAGAAAACAAAATTTACACAAATTAATTTAAATTCATTTTTGTATTCATTCATTAGTTTTGATTTTCTGATAATGTTTTATCTAAAATTGCACACCAAACATTTTTTCGGAGTTGTGCCCCCCCCCCCCCCCCCCCCCCGCCAGAAGATACTGGATCCGTTACGGGGTGCGTGTGTTGTTTTGGAGAGAGAGAGAGAGAGAGAGAGAGAGAGAGAGAGAGAGGGAGACGTATTTCCAGGTCGGACGGTGTACTCGGATAAATGATGACACATTTTATTTCACTCATTTGTAATCTCCTATACGTACCTAATAAGTATGTAAATGTTTTATTTGAATCAATATCGTTTCCATTTAGAATAATCCGTCTGCTTTGTTTGGTAAATAATTATTGACTATGATGTGTTTTAAACAATTCAAAATGTGATCGAAACTCAGTTAAAAAACAAAGAGAAGAAGAAAATACTATATAGTTAAAGATCACCGGATTGAATAAGAAAAGAGAAAAATAATTATTGAATTAAGCTTAGGGCTTATATACATCAAACACCTAAGAAATAAAATAGTTAGGGCTGCTTCAGTCTGAAATATAAAATCAGTTGTTTTTTAGAATATGGCCCCTACATAGGGTCATTCCATAATACATGGATTTGAAAAGCTGTAAACGAATTGAGTATCTTTGCCAGCCACGCCTTGCAGTTTATATGAAATCTCGTTTCGGCAAAATAAGGAGTAGATAATTCTTACAATCCACAACAGTCACGTAAACTCAATCTAGGGTTGAAAAATGGACAACCGGCACAAGAAATTAAAATTTTTCCTTAATGAGTGAAATGCAGATAATACCCAAACAAAAGTGGCGCCGATTGGGCCGCTTTATTGGTGACGCCATTCTGTGCAATGTGTAGCGTTCATTCTTTCTACCACAGCGCCAGCACGACAATACCGCTTTGAAAGCGTGTTTTGAAAAGTGATCGTCGTTGCTTTGTACGCCACTTCCCTGGTTTCACCTGTTACCGGATCGGTGAAACGGTGGTGTATACACCCACATCGCGTACTGAACGCCTCCGCTCCGCAAGTTTGATGGGATTGTTGTTAAGCGAGAAGAATGCGGGGAGACTGCACCTATAAATTCGTCCAAGATTGAGGTGAAATATCTCTAGTTGACAAGGTAAGTTTACCCATCTACTGTCTCTTACATAATGAAACACCATGTGATATAATATGGAAGATTGTATTATTTTGTGAGTGCCCTCAGCTCCGAAACATTTGAACGTCCGATTAGACGTTCGCCACGCCGGTGGTCGCTCTCGGGGCACGCCTTGCCAAGCGGTGTAGAAATGAGCAGAACCCCGGTGCCAGTCGCGCAGTTGCAGCTATTGCACTGCTATGTATTTGTTTTGTAATCGTTCTTTTTATTCAGAACCGATATCCTGTAATTGAATGCTTTTTCAATCCATGGGAATGTTCCTTATTTTATTTTGGTTTGCACATGCAACTGTAACTGTTATTGTCTAGTGTAGTGTACTAGTTCATGGTTTGCTTTGTTTTATTATTTTTCACTGGCCTGGATGGATGTTTATATTGAATGGGTTTGAATTCTTAGTTAGGCTTATTATTATGAACTAGCAAGTCTTGTTTATTCTAATATCTATCTAACATTCGTAAATCTTTGACTATTTAAACTTAAAGAATTTATATAAATTCATATCAAATGGAAAGGTATTGCGCTAACAATGTGTGTGATATAACCAAGACCAAGCTACTGATCTAGAGAACAAAGGTGAAGTGTTAGATGAATTTCACCTGGGCATCATTTTCATGAAACCAGTTTTAATGGTCCACCTGCACACCCCAATCAGGCCGATTATACGGCATCTGCAAGAATCTTCAGTATTGAAGGAGGCAGATTATCTAGAAGAAGAAGAAGAAGAAGTACCGGTACAAGTTTTTTTCCCTCCAACATCTCTTTGAAACATGTATTAAAATTAACATGTGTTTTGATGGGATGTCAGCACACTTGTACCTGGTACGATTTTGTGAAACGCTGGATGCCTAGCTGCTTCTTACATGTATGTACTGTCGGACCTTTTAGAATGGGTGTTTATTTTCGGAATACATCATCTGTTCGGAGCCAGAGAGGGATTAATTGTGTGTAAACTGATATGAATTAATGCCCTTCTGGCTTCAAACAATAAATGGGCATTTTAGCGCAACGTGTCCCGTATGACATGACATTTATCCACATATTTTCTCTATGAACAAAAAATCTCTTGATACATGTATGACTATGACCAATATTGGGTATACCAGAATGCACCATTTTTTAATGCTCACATCAAAAGATTCTTCCTTTTTTAAAATGAAATATGGTTAAAAAAAAAGACATATCTCTTACATGACACATTGCATAGGATCGCCCTAAAGTGGTATGACCAGTATCTGTGTTGGCAAATCGCAGCATACGAGATAATAGAATATCCAGGTCTTTTTAATCACATGTACAGGTACATTTGTAGGTGCGATACAGAGCATTTTTTGTATTAAAATGGCCACTTTCTAGTTCAGATAATGGGCATAGCAGTTAAATGTACATGTATATCTAGTGGTATGTATTCATGGAGGTGATTACTACGGCCTATTAATTGTGCAAGAAAACCCATCTGTACATACAGAGATAAGAAAACTGTTCATTCGGAAGTGGAGTTATAATTAGTTTGTCAAGAACAACATACCACTCCATTCATAAGAAAGTGAGGAGTAGTTGTTGGTTGAAAGACAGAGACAATAAAAACCAAGGATCCGGCCCTCAGTTACAGTAGCCAATCTATCATTATTACTTTTGATAGTGTTAATTGTTATCTTCTTCTCGAGTGTTGGGTAGCCCCTAAAGAGGCTCTTTTGTTTCCAAAACAAATTTATGAAGTAAAGAAAATGAATAAAAGGGTATATTTACTTAGGGTGTTGTGTTCATGGCTTTTTGGCAAAGAGGTGATATTGTTTGGTATAAGGATTAGTCCTCCTGTAGAGATCAATACAGTTGGTGGAGTAGGAGAGTACTTCAGATAATAGGCAAGAGTCAAACATACATGTGAGAAGAGGGATGCTGTCTGGTAGGTAGACAGGTATCTTTCAAACTCTCAAAATTTGTTTGTTATTTAGATCAATTTGCTCTTTCCAATATATTATGAATACAAATGTATGCATGTACACAGGGGCATATATCCATGCAGGATTCTGTTGTTAAAAAAATATGACAAACTTACAAACAAGCATTAAATATATTGTGCTTGTACATGAACACCAGCTTGGATTAGAATGGGAGATGGTGTCATCCAGTAGTGCATGAGATACATTATATTGATGACCTTCTGATCTTAAACTGAAAAATATATCTTGCCTTACTTGTTGGGAATCTTTATACCTGTATACTGTGCATGTCACAAATATATTTTTATGCCTCTATATTTTAACTTTTGTAGATAATAGTTTTTGTATTATGTTTCCTGTATACAACATTGTGTAGAAACTACACAAAATAATGTTTGAGCCAAGTTTGCTTACTTTTTTTGGTACTAGTTTTTTTGGCAAGTCAGTCAGTGACCATTTTATATATTGTTCTTCTGGTTTTGTAATGAATATTGTAGATATCTTATGAATATTAAGTGGGAAGATTGTTAACTGTAGGTACATGTACATGTAGTTTGGTACTGTATGTTCCATATGTCTCACTTTATGTTATTTCTTGACATTATCATTTTTCAGAATTTAATTAGGTTTGAATGATTTGAAGTACAAAAAAACAATTTGTGATATCCCACTGTCATTGTTACCATAACAACTGCTTGTTCGGCTGTAGGCAGTCAAGTTTTCTTTACAGATGATTTACTGTGCATTTTTTCCTGTACGTAATACAAGTCTAGTATTAGTTTAATCAGGTGCCATGCAACAAATACACTGTCAAGAGTTATCAATCTTAGCTATTATTGCGATCAAGTTTTTCTCGTTATTAGTTTTGCAGGGACAGAACACTATGCAAATGCTTGGATACTCATGGAAAATGTTTTACACAACTAGGCAGAATGGACTTCTGTTTTAACATAAGGGTGTAGAAAACAATTTTCTTTGATTTGTATTTTTGTTTTCATTTCTTCAATTAGGCATTTTCTTATTTTTTCTAACATTAAAGTTTGTATTTCATGTACCCATCTATAACTATCAGATGAAATACGTTTGAGATGGTTGCCTTGATAGAACCAGAGGTTCTGTGGTAGTTACGCATCAATATTCATTCCATTTCAATGTTTATTTATTTATCACATTGATTAAATTTGTTGTACTAAAAATGGTTGATATTATGTTGTGTCCAATGTATTTTATACAAGTACATGTTTATCTTTTTTTTTTAATGGAATTGAAGTATCAGAAGTTAATTTGGTGACAAGATCACTAATGCATAAATGTATTTTCCATACATTTTGTACCACAAATACAGCCACTTCCATTTGTGTCCTTTTGTGTTTCTATTAGGAGCCACCATTCAACCCATCTGAAATGGTCCCTTGGGTTTTCTGAAAAAAGACAGCAATGAATAGCAAATAACCATTGAGTGGAAACAACCATAGCAATTCATCAGTGTCTGCATTAAAAAGCAATTCTGCAATGAATACTATCTATTTTCTTGCATTCACAACTCGGACGCTCTAGTTTTATTATAGATCTTTTGTCGTTGCTGTCCTGTAATTTTAGAGTATGCAATGCTTATATCCATTGGATTAGATTTAGATCTATTGGATTAGAATTAGCTCAAAAGAGCTTCCATGATTTCAAAGGGCAGTAGGAAAGAAAATTCTGGGGCGATCAATTTTTTTACAAAAAATGCAGACAGGTGAATTGTCATGCAGAGATTTTTCTTTCTTCAGAGTGTAATGTTAATGGAAATTTAGATTGTAAAAGTCTGTTCATCCCTTTAGATTATTATCTACCGGTAATTCTATTTGTTGTGACCCTTGGCCCATTGAATATGATTCTTCACATGTAATTTGCAACCTCTAGATTTGGGAAGCGGTTTCTGGTGAGTTTCAATGCTATGCTCTGGTTAAGATGACAAAGGTGGAGTTTCAGGGCTTTAAAGATTTGAATTATTAAAATTCTCTAGTGCTCCAACCCATGCTTGCTGAACAATTTTCCCTGGAGCATAATATGAGATACGATTTATTCTTTTTCTTTTTTCTTTTTCTTTCTCCAGGTTTATGGAAAATCTATTCAAGTTCACCAGAGGATGAAGTTTCAAATCACATTTACAGCACTCGCAAGAACACTGTGACACCAATCCTTACAAGTTAGACTATAGGGAACATCGTCACAAAAAGAAACATGCAAATGGACTATACATGACACAAATGATGAGGTGTTCTTTTATTATCAGGAGATATTGATCCAGGCACGTGATTCGTAGCATATGGAGTAAGGCATGCTCGGTTACCAGACAGCTTTTTAAATATTCATGACCCATCCATCAAAATTGCCATTTTGACTTGGCTTACAAAATGCAAAAACACATGTAGTGCATATTATATGAGCAAATTACTGAAATAGAATTTTTAGATAAGCTGTGAAGCAGCCATTGACTGGATGAGAATTTAATGTCAGACAATACATTGTCTAGTGTAAAGAGAGCCGTAATTGTAACGTAGATGCTGCATAGATATTGATGACAGTGATGAAGTGCCATGTTTAATTCATGAGAGTTGATTTGCCGAGGAAACCAGCTGCCATGATGGTCATCAAGGGACACCTGGGGTCAACGTCCTCGGGTGGAGGACCGAGGCAGTTGAAGCCTCAGCCGATCAAATCTTGGACTGCTAAATCAGAAAAGGTTTATGAGAAGTCCAGGGAGAATGGGTTTGTGCCTGCACAGCGGGGTCTGTACACCAAGACTAAGAATCCACTGCCAGTCAAGTACACAGTCAGAGGAGAATGGGAGTTGCAAGAATGTGAGGTAAGATATATATGGATTTACATGTGGGTGTAATGGGAAGTCATGATAATGCCTCTTGCTGTCAAAACAAAGCGGATATGTCAGGTAGCTAACGCAAACATTCAATAAAAAAAAAATTGTTTCTAATTTTATTCTAAGTGTAGTGTATTGGGTTGTATTCATGTTTAAAGCCTCGTTCAAACGTTTAACTGACACCTCCCTGGATAAACAATTTCCAAGAGATGCTGTATTTAATTAAAATAATATAAGGGTAATACGCTTACATCATTTATTTAAGTAAAAGCCAAGTACATGTAAGTACAGTTAGAGGCCTTTGGTACAGGAAGCTACCATTTTTAACTCACTTGTCATCCATTTTCAAATAAATATGGTTTGTTTTGCTGCTGCAGTGAAGTGCAATAAATGTTATCGAGTACACCACTATTAATTGATCACCCTTTACTAGTTTGAATTACATGTTTGTATTGAATCAGTGACATGATATATCATGCAAAGATTGGGGTTTTTTATGGTGAAGAATATCTCAGAATATTCTGTTGACATAAAATTATACTTTCACAACATCCTTATTTCTCTTTTCACTTCTTTAAGGATATACAGTATATGTACAATGTACAATGTATGTGCTTTATCAATATTGTTGGGGTTTTAATGATAATTTCTGTTTTAGTCCAGGCACGTAAAATTGATTTTGACACCGTCACACCCCCCTAGTCAGTGGCTTTGGGCGACAGCTCTATTGCGGATGACAGTTAATCAATAAATAAGGGTGCGTCCAGATGAAAAGGGTGAAGGAGTGCACTTTCTTTTCCTCCAGATAAAAGTCAGGCAAATGTACATTAAAAGTACACAGCCATAGTTGTATTGATTTCAATTTTTAAACCGAAATACATGTAGGAGAACAGATCAGAGATTAAAATTTTCAAATGAGAATGATACTTGCTATTTATTATAGCCAACTCTTTGATCTGCCTAAGAAAAAGACAATTCAGCCTACATATATGTAGGCTTGATTTTTTTTAAATTAAAAAAAAATATATTAATTGATTTTGCCTACCCCTTCCGAAGATGGAACGATTCTACCTGTACTTCTCATTTTCTATGCAATACATGTATTTTGATTAGTTTGTTGACCATTGTGCTTGAAACCAGTGCAGAGTACACAAACAGACATGCTCATCCTCTCATGATAGTCACTGAAGATGAGTCTTCAGTTGCATGTAGTCTGTACTTCAAACATTATGCTTTACTTTTGGATTGTATCTTTCCCAACAATTATCCCACAAGTACATGTATGCTATCATGATTTCTCAGTAATTTCATGAATTCATGCACTCTACAATGTGTCAGTTTCATTTAGGCCTTCATGTACTATGTATAGTTGCTTCTAACTCACTTCTTGCCATGATGTTACATGTACAATAATGTTCTGCAAGAAGACTAGCTTTTTATCAGATCAGTTGAATGAAGTCGAATGATAAAGAGCTATTTGGAGATTTATGGCTATCCTTTGTACACATGTACATTTTGCTAGTACAAACTATTTGCTGTAGTCCAATATTGAACTAGATGCTCTTTGAGCAGAGCTAGAAACATTGCGTTGGGATTCATACATACAATGTACATGTCGGTACCCATGATTGACTGGATTTGCAACTGGATAATGAAGGATTTTTACTGTGCATACATTCTCATAAAAAGGATGTGATTGATGCAGGAGAGCTCACAAAATAGTAAAATTTTTCAACTAGATGTGTTACCTACATGTATGTTGGTGTCATGGAAACATCAGTAAAACCATTCCATCAACACAAAAGATCAGGATCTATCACTCAGTTATTTCGGAGTGAGTCAAGTAACAATTCAACTGAAAAGGTAATTCTTTAAAAATCAAAATTTCTTCATATTTCCAGATTCAGGTGTAATCTTTTTGCTCAGATGAGAATTTTGTAACATTAATGTTCATTTAGTTTGTTTTTTCTCATCATTGATGATGTTTTTTTTTCTTCTTGATCATGAATTCCAGGAGCATTTGGCGTGGCTGAACAAAGTTCTGAAGAAGAAGAAACACAAGCCTTTGACAGATTTCCGCAAAAGTGTGTCAGATGGCCTAACTCTAGTCAACTTGCTGGAGATCTTGTGTGAGTATAGTCGGTGATAACAAGTACACAAGCTAGCACAAGAGCAAAGATTGGTTTAGCTCTGGAATGCTCTAAAGTGCTGTTTTTTTCTTCTTAAACTCAGACGAGCTTTGGTAAAACATAAACATACATTTAAATGACATTGGAAGGAAATAGCGAATGCCCCAAAACACTTGTTAACAGCAGCAACAACAACAAAAAAATGATTTTACTCTGTACATGTTTAACTGTGTTTTTTCTCTTCAAAGAGCATTCCTGTGATTCTGGAAGGGGGAAAAACAGTTACATTTGTCAAAGGATACATAATTCTTGTGACACAATTAAACTACATTTAAGCGGCTACAGTATTAGGGCTTAACATGAGGTTTACTATTATTTGTCATGCAATGTATGATAATGGTTAGCACTTAACCGTTTAGCACCAATATGGTTTCAGTCAAGGACTGCTATTTTGCACAGCATTGATAAGTGTGAGACATGATAGATGCACAATAGGCTCCAGTCCTGGCTAATGAACATTATTCCCATAACTGAAGCTTTCTAAATACAAAGGGAAGAGAGAATTGGCTTCTTTTCACTTTGTTTTCTTTTCTTTGCAATATGACCTTTGACCTGCTCCACCCTATTTTCTATAAAACATGACCATTCGTCAGAGCCCTCTGATGAATGAATGTAAGGGACATTATTGATCTATGCTGTAATTGGTTTGACATGTTCTTGACAGATGTGACCTAGCTGTCCTACAGAAATTGGACAAAACATCTGCAAGCACATCATAGGACTATTTTGATGAAAGAAGACACCTTCTTAAAGAAAAAAAATTAGTGGTCCATGCACAGCAACAAAGGTCCTGAAATAAATCCCATTTGCAAAATTGCTGTGATAATGGCCAACATTAGCAAATTCAAAAGATTAATGAAAGCATCTTCCATATATATTCATAGTATATTTAAATGCACAAATTGTTTTTTAAAATAATAATCAAGAAAAATAGTGTAACAAGCTAAAATGTAAAAAAAAAGAAGGTAGGAACATGATAGCAGTTCAGACAACTTTGGTAATTGAATGAAAAGGAAAAGGACACAATGCCTTTTAAATAAATAATTCACTACATCATATATATTTAAAATACAAACTAATAAAAATGAGAAATGGTATGCCCCATATCTGGAGGAACATGTAGAATGTAGCATCAGAAATACAGCTTATTTTATATACTTGGCCAAAATCATTTTGAATTTGCAAACTTAGATGTCTTTCATACTGTTGCAAGCTTGAGGAGCTACATAAGTTATGTAGAATGTCAAAAAATTATACTACATGCATAGTCTCAAAATGTTAAGAGAGAGAGAGAGAGAACGTTATTATTTATTTTTCATTGGTGACTGAACTTTAAATTTCTAATTGAAATTGGTCAATTTTAAGTGTCTTGTACTCTTATACTTAGAATTGTTGTTTCTATGTGAATATATGTTTAGGGCTAAACATCCAATGCTCTTAAAAGGTGTGGATACTGTAAATTTCAGAGAAACTATTTTCCTTAATATCTCATTAATCCCTGTATCTCAGAACACACGTCATCATGTATTCTATAGCCTCTCTGTACGAGGTACAATTCCAGGGACACCTATTCAGATTATTATCCCTTCGTCGCCGGAGCATGAACCTATGTTCCACTCGGTGTACCTTTCAGCGCTATAATCAATACCTTCTCTTCAGTGGAATCTTGCTCCTTGTTCATTAAATATTAAGTGGTGCTCATTAGGAGAAACTGATGCAAGATCTGTAAATTCAGGAAAGAATTGCCCCTACGTGTAGGTCTTGAATTGAATTATGTTGTATTGTTGTTAGATCTTTAGATTAAATGCAACTTTAGTCACGGAATGGTAAGGGATGACAACATTCCTAGAAATTGTATTTTAGTCTAGTTTTGACATGATATGTTCATATTGATTATTAGATTGAATCCCTAGGATCAATCAATATTGAAGGCAGATGAATTAGAGTATGTTAAAGGAACGGGTAGAATTAGAGGGAATCGTGAGGGAAATAATCAGCTACACTTAAAACTTATCAATTCACTGATTGTCAGCAGTAAAATATAGCCCTTGTTTATCTTATTTATTAGTATTTGCAATATTTCACGAACCTACTATTTTGAAATTTCACTGCACTATTCATAAAAATGGTTGCTTGTTTTTTCTATTTTCTTCATCTGTTTCTTTTGAAAACCAAAATGATCTCTTTTTATTCTCTGCAAATTACGCCTTCAACAAATAGAATAACTAAAATGAAAAACATGTTGAAGATATTTACAAAATATTGTTTCTTATCTTTTCTAGCCTCAATGAGAAATGTTAGCCTGAAATACATGTAATATTTCACATGTAGATAGATTGCTTAATCAGATGATCAGTTTTAATTTCACACGCAAACTACACATACACCTGTATGTAGGGCTTAATTAGGCTTCTGAGAATACTGGCAGCTCTTTAATTACAAGGTGCATAATGATGGATGAGTGATATATTTCATTCATGCACAGATTGTAATAATCATCTTCTATATTTTCTGAGGAATAGGCTGTTGATAGTCGACATGTTTGTATCATCAGAGCTGAAAATTTAATTTTCATGTTTTAATACAGCTTTAGTCTTTTTTTAGTTAAGTGCATACCACAGAAAAAGTTAATATTTATTTTTCGGGAGCTACTTTTCAAGCTTGTTCTGCATAAAAATAACACTCTAAAATTTGTTTTGCATTGAACTCTATGCAAATTTACGGGGGCTCTTTTCTGATTTTCGGGGGCTCTTTTGGGCATTTCGGGGGAAATTCACCCTGAGCCCCCGTATATTTTTTTCACTGGTGCATACAAATCGTCCCTGTTTTCACGAAGTGACGGTAGTGAGGAAAATCGTCACGCAAAGTGAATGCAATTTTTTTTCACTACCGTCACTTTGTGAAAACAGCGACGAAATGTGCCTTATTTAAAATATTTTTTTAGTCACTTTATGTATGAAATATTTGAAGGAATTGTGCATTTAGTTTTTCTCAGATATCATTATAGATCTCAATCTCAAGTCATGTAATTATTTGAAACAATGATTAATTTAGGATAGTTTTATTAAGAGCTTTATTTTAGGCGTGACATGTGGTTAGTTGATGATGATGAGTTCAGGCACCCTCCAGCTAGGAGATCATTATGATTGAACATTGTGCATGCTCACTGCCTAAACAGCTTGCTTCTCTGGGATTATCTTCTAACAATAGCTGGAAGAAATCAATAGCAAGCCAGGAATCAATAGTCTGAAGACGTAGAGAAAGAGAGATTGGAGTGAGCGTGACTAGATTGCGAGATGAGTCTCTTAACATGTCGTTTGAATGATACACTTGACTCTTCGGGAGAGACAAAAATGGAGACAGTTTGGCTAGCAGTGGTTTTGCCATCAATAGTCTCAAGACTGCATCTGTAACAAAGATAGCATACTGTAATTGCTGGAATTGTAATTACTTAATTTTGAGTCAATATATTTATTTAGGTCTGAGTAGCAATCTATTGAACTGGAAGTAGTCCTCCTTTCCAAAGTGTGTTGAACTTGAAGGGTTTTTATTAGTGGGAAGCTTTTTTTACTCCAGGAACCTGATTGTTTTGGTAATTGTGTATGATGTTATAATGAATGCTAACTAATCTCTTCTTCGTATATGGGAAGAGGGAGATAGAGGGAGAGAAAGAGAGCAGGGAAAGAATAGATTCTGAAATAAGTAAAGAAAATGATCCCTCATTGATCCACTAATTTTCCTGTACATATTTACTAAAGGCCTTCTTAATGGACTGTTGCCCCTATGAATGGGACTAAACCAAACACACTAAATGCATTACAAGTTCATGGGCATGGTCGGTGTAGAGAAAACTGTATGACTGAGTGCACAATATACCTACACATGCTACTTGCACAAAGGCCCTATGAAATAAAAATTTAAATGAAAACTCCATGCATTTTTTTTTTGGAGGGGGGGGGGGGGGAATCATGATAATTACAATGATGATTAAAAATTGCAATATATGGATTCAACTTGTATTTTTCACACATTCATATCGTTCCAAGATTTTAAATAATTGGTTTCCTCTGACAAACTCATATAACATGTACATTATGTAGCATATATAGTCTATGCTCCACTTTTTTTTTTATTTAAAGCTATCCGATTCACTTCCCTTTCTGTTTTAAGCTAGTGATTAATCCCTCCGTTTTGTAAGGTGCAATATACTGAAAAGCTTACAACACTGTTCAAAAGCTAATCCTGAGCAAAGAGCAATTATAGGATAAACTGCTTGGCTTGATCCAATGATGATAGATACTTATTGTTTTGTGTTCCAGATGAACTAAAGAATTGATTGGACCTAAACACTATGAAATGGCAAGAATGTATTCTAAAGAAGCTTTATATTGTTGTTACAATTACAGTTACTAAACCATTAGATTGATATGTAGACCTGTCATCTCTAATTGGACAAATGTCATTTAAGTATTATGGTCAATTATATTTGGACACATCGTTTACATCCTATCTTCTTCAAGGAAATAATTTTACCTACTAGTTCATGTAGAGTACACAGACACTACTACCAAGATATTAATTGTTTAGCTTTTTGGAGAAGTGTCTTCAGATGGAATTGACTTCTTTTGAGTTTAGTTCATGCATTGATAGTTCATATTCATATGAGGTTTAATTCTTTGTTATTGCTAAGTAAAGAAAACAATTTATGCTGTTTGAATAAGTTGTATTCAGCATGTAGGCAGTATAAAGTGATTAGTACTTTGCTGGCTTCAAAGATTTTTGTTTTTACACTCACAGTCACTTTCCAGTTGGTGTAAAAAATGAAATTCATATTTCTAATGTACTTTATTTTTGTATTATCCACAAAATACTCACTGGGGAAAAAATGCTAGAAAATATATGAACTCTAGTGGGTACCACTTCAACTCCTACATGAAGGG